CGCTTTAAATTAAAGAAGAACACATTTAGAATGAAGAAATCCTCCAAAGAGGTTGTCCACTTTAAGATTGCAAAAGATGTAAAAAAAATAAAGACAGTAGTCATTGTCCGGAGTGATGAGAGTAAGTCGCTGAAAACGTCTTTACATTGTTGTGACCGCGCGCGCATCATCGAGGGGTGGGTAGAAGATGAAGAAGACGAAGAAGAAGCCGAAGTCGAAACCATCGGGAGGGGCAAAGAGGGAATACGCGGGACGTGGAGCCTCCACACAGATAAATGCCGTTGAAAACCGGTTGGGACGAGATAGCGTTCACCTGTCCTTCAGTTGACGTGCTGCAGTCGTCCTCTTCAAGCAGACGAACGGCCAAACAGAGACCGTTCCTGCGACTCCATTTACGGAGGGAAACCGAACGAGCAGGTTTGTAGATTTAGCTATTCCTATCAATCAGGTGTACGAAGAAGACGACAACCTGACTTAAAATGGGGAAGACGAAACGCGTTAAACTAAGGATTAGGAATCGTTATTGTCGTCCACGTTAAGTAACTTAAATTAAGATAATAGCAATGTAATTTATTCGGAAAACAAAACGAGTTTTAAAATGATAAGAATTCGATGGTTACTTTGTTGGATTAATTTATGAGCTGGTCATGAATTTTATTGAGCGAAAATTAGCAATATACGCAAGTATATTGGTACTGTAGTCAAGTACGGAGTGCTAATTACCCGGTTTGACCGGGTACAAAACAATCATGAAACCTTTTTTCATTGGAAAGCTTTAAAGCTTTGCATAAGATCGCAGCGGGAAACGTGTTCGCTACCGACACGGCCGACTGCGTCTCCCTGAACCTTTCTCATGCGTTATTAATACGAAAATTTGTAAATAATGGTGAATAAACGATGCGACGTATTTATTGGTCCATTGTGTCTAGTACAACAGTTCTCGCTATTTTACTGGGAAACTTTTCGTAAAAACATAAGAAAACAACAAGTTATTTATTTATTTATTATAAATACACATTACCGTATGAACTCAGCTAAATCAAACTCATTCCTTAGCAACGGATTGGTTAAAAATGGTTTTAATCCACAACCGAGTTATCAAGAGAACTGGAATTTTGTCACGAACAAACGATTTCGAATTTCGAGGGCTGAGGATATCTTATTTAATGTTACTCATACAGTGGTTACCATATAACCAATATATAAATAGTTAAAAAATAATGTGTTCAGTGGGTTGGAGTCTTGGAGTTAATGCAGTGCGGTCTTGATAACTGTAAAACAAGTAAATTCGCCTTCAATCTTAATTTCCAGTCAAAATATGTCAAAAGTATTTTTTACATTTGCTTTGTTTCAATTCATAAAGTTTCAATAACCACAAGTAAAATTAATTTATGGTAAAATCAATGTACACAAATCTATTAATTCACTTTCAACTGTAATAAAACGTTTTCCTTAAGCTTAATTGAGACGATTTATAACATTTCACTGGCAGTAATCATTTAAATACTTTTGTAACTTTTGTACGATGTTAAAAATTTTGTAGAACTTAGATAATCTTCGCACCAAACGATATCAAACGAATCTGATATAATTTGCAATATATGAATGCAGTAACCATAGTTACGCAACTACTATGCACTTGCACTGTCCCACATAAAATGCAACATAGTTTAATAGTACAGGCATTGGGTAGTTTTGCAAAGGAAAAGTTTTGCTTGGAAAAAGGTAACGTCTTTGTGATAACCCTGCGTTTTCGTTTCTTTCGTTATTCATCGTCTAGAATAACACTACAATTTTTTATTTACTTCTCACCTTGAAAAAGACGCGATGAATTTCGAATTTAATCAAGCCAAATTAAACAACATTCGATTCGTCATAGCTTTTTGTGAAAACCACAAAATGCCGAACTAAATTTTAGCCTGTTGACCTTGTCCAAATGACACCATGATCGTCTCGTCGTTTATATACAGTTTGTAGTGCCAAAAATTAGGTGGAATAAATTTATAGCAAATCGACCGTAACGACAGAAATATCTCCATTAGGGTAATTTAATGGTTTATGACTTAATTAGAAGCGTCAATTCAGCATTATGTATGAATTTAATTAAACTTTTATTTTGAAAATGGTTCAACTCTACTTTTTTCGTATCCACTCAACTTGTTCTTGAGTTTGAATTGTGAGCTGAGATTTGGGTCACGAGGTAGCTTCATAGCTGTTGCTAGTTAGCCAGTGGTTATGTCCACGGCGTCGTTATTTTACAACAGATGTCGAAGTATCACATGACTTGGCAAGTCGTATCTTATAAGTTTCACTTCAAGGTATTAAAATTCAAGTAAAAGAGTGTTTATATTTGTGTTGATGGTTAATTATCATCGTTTGAACATTATAAAAAAAATGATAAGAAGAAGAATACAACACATTTAGGAAACTAAAGAATTGAAAAATATGATTAAGGTGAAATGCAGACTTATACTAAAGCAAAAAGGGTGAAACAATTTCTAAGCAAAGATTTTCTATTCATGAAAATATGGAAAAACTTCAAAGGGTGTGATAAACTCCTTTTGCATTTTGGGACTGATTCGAATATTAAAAAACGATTCACGATGGATAAGAAGACTTCGCTAAAATTATGGCAGTCGATAAATACATCCCATAGCAAGTCCCAGTTGCGCTCAAAGCGATAATGAGAGAAGAGGATGATGATCATAAAACGAACGGAAGATAACCTAACCATTGCGATGTTTACTATTACCAGCGGCAATTGCAGGCTTAAAATATAATGCTGAAAATAAACCTGAAAGTTTTGCCGAGAGCAAGAGGTTTCGGTATTTGGTGCTAATGTTACGAAATACATCAAGATAATAACTTATCCTTAAAGATTACTTCCTCCAGAGTTTTATTAGAAATACATGAGAAATACAACCCAGAGCAAGTCACCAATTGCGCTTATCCATCAGGACTCTTTTGGAGGAAGATACCAAGGAGAAAACACAATGAGAGAACAGAATTATAATCACAAAACTCACGAAAGAGGTCTAAAAAGGCCTAACCATTGCGATTTACTATTATTAGCGTCGATTGTTTGCTTATGCCAGAAGACTTTTTGCCTTATTTACCTGAAATGCTTTTATAAATAATTAAAGAAGAGTAACAAAATTTAAGCTGATGTGTATACATTACAAATTAGATCATTTTCATTTCAATTTCTTAACAAATATTTTTCTTTTATACTTGTCTTTAATATAGTTGGTTCAAATCAAGAAGCTTATAGTTTACAGTAAAACCAGAACGTGACTGTGCATTTTAGCTCACGTTCTATAGTGTTCACGTTAGGTTCCTCGAAAGCCGTAATAACAAACGTAAACGTAAACGTTTCAGACTACATGACGGTCGGTAGGTTTGAAATAAGTCGCGTTTCCTGTCGGCACATAGTCGTCGATACCCCCCTCGTTCCTGCTAGATTTATTTCAGTCGCACGCCCCGTTCGGTGAAGGAACGCATAAATGCCATCTTTACTGCCGATGTTATTAGTAGTTAGCGGCATCGGATCGGCAACTCTTCAAGATTCCCGCGCGAGCAAAGAGAAAACGCATACGTGCGTGCCCTGTAACCATAAACTCTCTCCGAAAAATGTTTCTCAACCTCCTTTAGTCTCAACGATCATGTAACAAAAGGAGGGTTTTAAGCAATTTTCCTTTTTCATGACAATTTCGAAAAGAGACGAAAAACGTGAAAGACGATCGATGTCGATATCCATCTTTTTTTAGCTCGCGCACACTGAGTTTCGTACCTACCGAGTAGGAAATGTCTAAAACGAGCCAAGACGTATAGCGAACGAGATAAGATGTGAATTAGCATAAAATTCGAATATGTCTCCCGGTGGCGGTCGTTTACGACGAATACCTCTACAATCCCACTCTCTTCCTATATCCACCACCACCCGAAAACACGTCTATTGTTGTGCACGAAAACGCGTTTACATACCTAATGGTGCGTACGTTACGTGAAAATATTTAAATGGGAATATATTCTTTGAAACGTATTTTATTTTATGTAAATGTACACAAATATCAAAAAGAATAATATTAAGTCAGTACATCGATATGAAGTTTATCAAACAGACTATTCGTACTATGTAGAGTATAGAAAATTGTAATAAAGTTCGCCATGAAGGACACAGCCATCAAAAGTAATTCCCAAGTTCCTGAATGAAAATTGTTTTTATAAAGAATTACCTTCAAGAAATAAAACTAGAAACTTCCGGGTTGTAACGAGTGTCTATTAAACTCGTCACTATTTGGCGTTTCGAATGCCATGTTACAATCTTCTTAATAAACAAGTTAAAAAGTTCACTTTCTGAAATTAGCTATTTTGATATAACTGGTTATAAAATAGCTTGAAATTGAGGGGATTTATTGAACCGGTATTTCCGGAATAAATCCTCTCCTTAGAAAAAGAAATAGCAGTAGATTTAGTAAGGTTAAGAATTAAATAGCTTTTTGTGCAAAAATCATATGGCTTGAAGTCTATAAGGTAGGATATATTAATTCAATTAAAATAATAATTTTATTTGATTTAGTTTGTATTCTTTTTGTGTTTTGTCATCTCATACTCTTATCTAATCATCTGAGAGCTATATAATCACCATGGTATGCTACTAGCTTTATTTTAAATCAATAAATATTAAACTACTTAAAAAACATATGATTCAACAGTTTTTTAATAAAAAACAAACATGATATTTTAGAAAATACAGTTAAAAACAGGATTAGGTACATATCCTGGTATCGTTTCATGATATCAACATGACCCACGCCTAAGTGTTAATTGTTAACTTATTTTATAAATGGTTGTTATTTTGTAAAATTATCAAAACTTGTATTCCGTTTTGAATCAAAAATATATTCTTTAACAATATGTGTAGGAGCAAATATTGAATATAAGACAAATCATTGAAAAAGCCAAAGAATTTAACATGCCTACTTATTTATGCTTTATAGATTACACAAAGCTCATCGATTGCGTTCAAAGGCACAATCTCTGGATGAAATGGGAGTACCAAGACACTTCATAACCATCATCAACAATCTCTGTGAGAATAACAGTATACGTAAGTGTTGAGAACAAGCTGATCGACCCATTCTAGGTAGAAGAGAATGTCAGGTAAGGGTGCATACTCAGTCCAACATCTATGGCGAGTGGACCATGAGAAAGTCTTGGAAGACTGGAATATCACCCTGATTGGGGCATCAGAAGAGGAACTAAATGAACTTTAACGAAGAAGGCTCCAGCGGAGAGATTAACAGGGGAAGCCAGCTAGCCACACTAAAGAACATATGAAGAAGTCATGCAATCTCTTTGACAATGAAAATGAGGCAGGTAAGGAGTCTAGTGCAAAAGATGTTTTGCTGGTGCAGAATTCTAAGAATTCCGTGGACACCGAGGAGAACTAACGAGTCACTACAACTGAAACCAAGAAAAAAGATGCAAGCATGGTGGAGGAAAACATTGCAACATTTTTTGGACATGTGGTGAAGAAATGGTCTCGACCTTATCATAAACAACATTACGACACAAAGTTTGGCGCGCACATTTAAGATGGCTAAGAACAGGAATGAATGGAAAAATGCTCTGGAGAGCAACTCTTAAAAACACGATTCTCGAATAAAAGATTTCAATTGAGAAGATTGTAGGTGAGTTATTGATACATTCATTTCACTTTGATTTCAATGTCAAATAGTCGTTTTTTTCGACATTGTATCACTTTAATTTCATCCGACAATACAATAAGAATTGAACTATTACTTTAGAATTATAAACCTTTGTACATACGTAGAGCTTGACACACCCAAGAGCATTTTAAATGCATATAATTAGCCTTGCTGTATATATAGTATTATCTTGCTGTTTCAATTCTATAGTGGGAACATATTTAACCAGGTATTAAGAGTTGCGTGTCTATACGACATAATTTTCGGCCACTGTGGTTTGTATGAATCCACGTGTGTAACGCCCAAATATATTTATCTCTAAATTTCTGCGTTAAATATTGTTTGTTTTAAGAGAATTGAATTGTAGAATTACTATTATTAAAGCTTAAAATATAACAGAAAAATAGAAAGATAAACACATTATTATACTTAGATTAATGCTTAGATTGTACTTTCAATTCAAGTTCTATATGAGTTATTTTTTCATAAACATAACTTTTTAAGTTAACATAAAAGCTTAAAATGAATCAATAACTTCTTTTGACTCAAAAAAAAGTCATTACAACACTTAAAACCAACAAGATAAATGTTTGTAAAGGTAACTTCACGGCGACTGGCAGCACTTAACCCTCGTGACAAACCAATTGGGACGCTGATACATCGGTCCGGTTGCGCACATAAACAAACGTCGCGAACATAACTCTTATCGAGATTAATTTAATGTAAACCCGGTGCTTTGGGTTTCCGTGGAATGCCGCGGCGGCAACACCATGCTTTGTACAGCGCGATGGCGGCCAAATGAGAGAGAGAGAGGGTTAAACTGGAGACCAGTTTGCCTCAGAAAAGTTTTTTAACTCTCGTTTTGCGTTTTGCGTTTGCGCCCGGATTAACCACGCACACCGTCGGCCGGCTTCACAGACGGAGATTTATCGGAATTTTATGGTAATAATCCACGCTCTCTTATAACTGCTCTCACTATCAAAAGTATCAAGACAGAACAAGCATCAAGATACGAAGAAATCGATTATATCACATTATCAAGAGAAATTCAAAATAATTTTATTAAGATGGGATTTAAATAATTTATGCTGATGATGCTTTCTAAGTAACGTTTATTTAGGGATATTGAGAGTTTCTGGATACTTGAAAATGGACTTAATTCATGATTGACATTTAAAATAATACAAAAAGATAATGAATAGAATTTGTGATGGTAATACCGTTATTTTTCTGAAGTACACTAGTACAATTCATAAGCATAATGGTCAGTTAATGACTGTAATGGACGGATGACTGGCGCGCGATTCATCAACGGCTTACGGGGTTCAACAAGCGATCAATTATTATCGATCATCGTCGCACGCTTAAGCTTAACATAGCTTATGCGATACGGATTGGCAATATGTCAAATACGGTGAGTCACCGTTGCAATTAGAGATTTAACGTCGTTATGTATAAGTGTGATAAAGGAATTTCCATGTGATAAATAAAAATCTTAGAAATAAATTAGTGTAGAGATAAGAAAATGTCTACCATAGAAAAGCTTTGAAACAAACCACAAAAAATACTTTAGTGAATTTATCACTATTGGTTATAGGCAAACCATGAAGCTAACAATCGTATCTACCGTTTGAGATCTTTTGCGTGTCTCTCGTTTAAAGAAAAGAAAAAGAAACTTTCAATAAGAAGCATGTTCAATGGGCGGCGGGAATTCGCAATAGAAGCATTTATTACCGACTTTTTTGCCTTTTTTATCGTCTTTTAAACCAGTAGTTCTCAATCTTATTGCGATGAATCAGTTTTGATTTATTTGGAAAATAGGCATTAATTTGTGTTAGTTCTAGTTTTAGTTCAATGAAAAATATACAACAATCTAGGGCTAAATAACAACTAAAACTAGAACTAGCACTAGCATTAGAACTAACACTAGACCTAAAACTAGAAACCTTTGGGTTTAGCCGTACGGCTTCTTTAGTTCTTTAGTTCTATAAAAACATACAACAATCTAGCGCTGAATAACAATTAAAACCAGAACTATCAACGTTGATTAATGAATTTTCTAAAAGACAAATAACGTTGTTGAAAACCACTGTTTTAGATACTCTGAAAGTCTAAAAGTAATTGAATAAGGCAGATAGTTCCCCCAGGATTGGGCGGAACTTTTATCTTCCATTTTTCTTCTTTTTCCACGGCTCCTCACCATGTTGCAGCCAATTTTCGATGATTACCACAAATTGGAGGATCGTGACGGATCGTGCGTTACAGATTGGAAATGTACCCGAAATTTTAGACCACGAAGCAGTTCTTTTATTTTCTTTTACTTCACTTTCCCAAACACACTTAATAACCACGAATTACCTTAAAAAAAAATTACAAAAATTTTGTGTTTGGGAATGAAATAAAACGGTAAAAAGATTTTTATTTATTTCTTTTTTTCTTATTTTTTTCGTGGTAGATTCAAAGAAATAGGGAAATTTCCCAAGCACTGATTAAATTTGAATTGCAAATAACCTCTCGACGGTGTTCTAACGGGATCGATCTCACCGCCTCCCTCCCTTGTCCCTCTTCGCTTTGCATAAAACCCGAAAACTGCTTGGGATTAGGAGACGCTGAAAACGTCTAAATCTGGATTGTTACTTTTATCTTCCCCGGCGTTCGTGAAAAACAACACCCCGATGCCATTCGAACCCGATAAAATTGAGTCGTTTTCGTCTCACGAAAAATCCACGTTGATCCCGATCGTTTCAGTTTTATCTGTAAGCGTTACTACCGCGAGATATTTTTTTCTTATCCAGTTATATATCTAATTGGTGTCGAAAAATGGGACGATGGAACGATAAAGTGTTGTAAGTTTCTATTTTGCTTGAAGTGAAATAGAGAAAATTCAACACCTGTTAACCTTTCACGATTTAAACGATTGTTTATTATCGTCTTGTAAAACAAGACGAATTAACGTAATTACTCTATTGCCTTTCGTAACTTTTCGTAGACGTGGAACAAATGGGTTCTTTAAATGATCAAAACAATACATTCATTATTTGAATCCCTTTCTATTTTAAACATTTCAACGATTTTATTGAATTCTAAATCAGAATTCAATTTAATGAGATTATAAGTTATTTATTTGCGATATTTAATAAATTCCTTAAATCATAATTAATTATGAAGTGCATAGAGAGCCGCATTACGCAGCTAACTACTGATTGTGATACTGTCGAACATCATTTTTTTTCTAATATCATTGTAAGTTGATTAATTTGCTTCCTTCGTGTTTCCTGGAAATGATTAATGATCTCTAAGGTCATTAGTGGAGGAAAAGATAACGATCGTAGTTTTCCACGCAATCACGCAAAATCGCTTTTTTAAACTAATTGATTGACGAGTGAATAGTGTGTAATAACCAACTGTCTAAACGTAAACATAATTATTTAAATAAAGAGATGTTTTATAAGCAATGTTTTAGACCATGTACAAATTTTCAAATCTTCTTTGATCAATTCATTGAATTAAGTTATAAATGTATACTGCGATTTTGGATATAGCGGTAGATCTTTATTTGGTTAACCATGATAGTCGTTTTAATGTGCTGAATAAAGTTCCGTCGAAATAAGTTATAACTTTACATTACGGCTTTATCCTTAGAGAACGCTTAGACACATAATAACCTGAAGAAATAGCATCTAAACAAAGTTGGTTTGCGTGCTTATGTCCCATCTTTATAGTTCTGTGTTATAACAAGTTGAATTTCGTGACAAATTGAAACTTAATTCTACGAAAACATATTACTCAATATAATGTTTGAGTCATTTTTGGATATTTCAAATCTAATCTAACCTATCCTCTAGAACCCGTATATGTCAATAGATGATTGTAATCTTCGAGTACCTAACTTAGTCGCTGTCTTAAAAAGGTCTTGTATAGAGACTTTCTCTTTAACGAATCTGCAAATAGATTTAGAGGATTGAGATTGGAAGATCTTGCAGACCATAACGTAGGACCACTTCAACTAATCTATTTGGAAAGTGTACCATCTTAAATTGCGAGCAAAGCTGGATTTCATCATGTGTTAAAATGATGTTAGGGAGAATTATCAACGAAATTTCGACTGTTACTTGATACATTGATTACATAATGGTATTAAGGCAATTATGTAAGTAAATTAGTCTAACGATCCTATGATTAAATAAGACCAACCAAATATTTTCACCATCTCTGTGCATCCTATTTAAAAACTGAACTTTAGAATCCTGTTACGAACAACGTCGGTTTCCTCATGATGCCAAGTGTCTGCCTAAAAAATGATCTTGTTATGTTAAATAATATTCGTTCATTCCTAACAATATCTGCTGCATTTACAGTTTTCTGTCATAATTTTTCATGAATTTCAGGATTGTATTTGAAAACAAAGGATTTTTTTCTCATCCCCAAAGTCGTTATAGTCAGGATTTCGTGGTGGCTACGCATAATGACAATCCATCTTCACGGAAAATTCATGTCGAGGTAATCTCGCACGTCCCTGGAAAAATGAGGTGGTGCCTCATCTTACATAAACCACATGACTGTGCAAATATTTAATGGTAACTTAGAAATCATATTGTCTAATTAGTTTTGCAGAAAATGTAAATAACTGTGGCCGATCAAATTATTTGGTAATTCATGGAGACTCAGAATTATGTCTTTGCTTTAATCAAAAAAAAAAACAATAGGAATTCACTGTTGCTTTGTATCCTATTATTAACGGATCACTCTGTATAGTTGTTTACCTATAAAGTTGAGCGAACGCTGAAAAACAAGGAATAATGGTTTTCTTCTTCCTCTTTATTTAAGACTATGTGTTGTTTTTTCTGCTTCATCAGGCCTCTTCGGATGCTGAAGTGTTGGCACTCTTGGCCCATTTCGCCCAACACTCGTCCTCCATCCTGTCCACGTGATCCATGTGGTCTGCGCATCGCCGATATGGAAGTTATTATTTCTGCAATACCGAGAGGTATTGACAACGCTTTATAACACCTTACTTTGGTATCATTAGATTACTTCTAAATTGCTGTTAATGACAGAATCTACCACTGCTAGGTGTCATATGTCCATACAGGCTTGACTTGTTCCACAAAAACACTTTGCTATATGTTTATATATACTTTCCTGTATCGGCACATGGTGCTTAGATTTGCTTGAGCTCAATAAATCATTTAGAAAACTCTGTGGTTTTTCTGAGAATGCTGGGGGATGTCAAAACCAATCGTACTGAAGAATTGGTGGAGAAGATCTTTTTTCCTGGCGTTGTTTCTCATTTTTTCTGAATTATAAAATATGTTTGAGAAAGAGTGTTGCACACTTTGTATCTTTATTAAGGTATATAAAGAATGATTTCATATCAGCACTAACCCAGGCAGTTTTAAAGAATTTATTTTATGTTCTCTCTCGCTCTATTAATTGAACCTCGATTCCAGCGCCTCGGCGGTTTGTGGCGAAATCATTCTTTATATATCTTAGTAAAGATACAGTGTGCAACACTTTTTCTCAAACACATTTTACAGTACGCGAGGAAATGAATTGAGATGGAATATGTTTCTTCCGTATTGCCAAATATCTTATCTGATCTCAGAGGGTTATTCCTTTAATCGCTCTTATTTTGGTAGCTCTTGGCATGCTCCTAGTTTTTGACATATCCGTCGTAGTTTTTGATGTATAAGTCAGTATCGATCCTGCCGTTTTGTAGATGCTGACTTTGCTTTTCTTTGATATGTACTTGTTCCTCCATACGATGTCTATTAGATATCCAGATATTCTGGAGCCTTTGTTGACTTTTGTCCAAACTTCTTGGTGCAAATTTCTGCATGTTCTGTGTAAGGGGGTAGATTGCTTCATTTTTTTTTTCAGTGACGGTTTTAATTTTTGTAAATTTTTGAGAAAAACATGATTAATATTTTTATTATGTATTATTGTTATAATCACATCAATAAATAGTTACTAATAAGGGTGTTGCTATCTGCGTTTATGAATCACATGGAAAAAAAATTTCCTAGACCTGAATTATTGGGAACATTAATAACCGATAACGCCTTATCTTATACATATAAACACGTCCAATAAGTACGTACAATAATAACAATAATAGCAATTAACCATATTAATTTTATCAAAACAGCCAACTTACATTCTGTATATGTCGACTTACAAACTTTCCTACAATATCAATTATAATATAACTAATTAGTTCCATAGAAATCTGTTTTTGATGTAATGTCTGAAAAAAATTAAGTCTTATCGTGGTAATTAAACAAAAATGTATAATACTTGAAATGTATTACTAAAACAATATGAATCAGAGTATAAATGTCGAAATACTTTGATTGAGTGTTGTTGAAAAATAATTTGTAATGATTAATGCATACGCATATGTGGAATCAAGTTCGAAGTTCAAAATGGTACAAAATTGGAAACATGAACATATGATTGAAGAGGCATTATTACAGGTATTATTGGAGTGTGAAGATTAGGTTTAATTATGCGATTATAATGTTACCCAATAAATGCTAACTTTATGGGTGCACTAAACCCTCAATTTCGATAAATCCACACAATAATTGCAAACCATCCGCAATTACAGTTATCGTCGTTATAATTTCTAATTAACTATTATTACCGATTATTAACCTAACAGTAACTATTTCTTACGAAACATTTATATAGTCGTCGGTTTATAGATTTGTATCTTTATTTCAATGATAAAAAAGTAATTTTCGTAAAACAATAAGAACATAGAAAATTTCCATTGAATTTTTAGGTTTAAAGATGATTTTTTATTATCTAAAATAGTATTAATTAAAAAATTTTAGTTGATTTAAAAGATTTATTTTTATGAAAATAATGGATCACATGTTTATTTTAGAAACGTTAATTCCAAGACGATTTCGATTCTAATCGAGATTAGAAAATGTTATTATATTAAATAAGAATTCGTGGTATGAAATTAGTTTATAACTAAGACGCAATCAATTATTTTTTTGCTTCTTTATTTATAGGGAGCGCGACGAGATGATTAACCCGATTTTTTTGATAAATAAACAATAATAATTTATACACGGTACCATGAAATTGAATCGTGATATGTTTATTGGGCTATAATTTCCATCAGAATATTCCCGGTGGTTTTAAATTTTAATTGATGAAGATAATTCCATCATTGTTATCGATATAAATTTTAAAATAAAAATTGAAATATAAATTTACAATCGAATAAAATTATTTACGTAATGATTTATTGCAAACGATTATTTTTGGGAGACCTAAATTGGTGGTGCTATGAAAAAATAAAGCCTGTCATTGTGATTTCCTTATTTATTTTTTTTTATTTAATATAATGTCGCTTATAAAGATTCCTTATAATCATAAAAAAGGTTTAGTGACTAAGAATTATCTTTCTATCTTTATTGATGTATTGAAATTTTTTTTATTAAAAATAAATTTTATTAAAATGGAATTTATCGATTTAAGTGGCTGTTAATCTAACTTATATTATTCATTTATTATTGTATTATATACCCCACTGTGCAAAAACACTCTTAAAGAAGTAGCACATATTTTCGAAAACGAATTAAATAGTTGCAAGATTTAAAATTATATTATACAAAATTGTTAAAAATGATTTTTAATCAATATTTATCATGGACACATGTACTTTATCAGCGTGAATACGACCTAGGGCATCTTCAGAATTTGTTTTGTAAACCAAATCTACCTTATTTAATCAAACACACTTTCTCAAGAATTTAATTATGTAAAAGTATCAAATTAGATTAAAATTTGATTGAAAAGAAATTAATTGCATTTTAAGTCTTTATAAATGATAACATCACTTCGTAAAAGGATATCCTGCATTAATTCTTTATCTTATTTCGAAAGATTTGATTTATTATGGGATGCAGAATCCAAAAATAAAAATCAATATTTTTATTGTGTAAGAATTCCGAAACGAAATGCTTTTTTTTAAATCATAAATGTGTTTTCTGTTCACGTACGCCTATTTTCCGGGCATTTAACCAAGGAAACAAAAGCAAATGTGTTCCCCAGATGTGTCACCCTCCGTCTTGTTGTAGTACGCGTCTTTAATATGTAAATTCCTGGTTAGGTTCCCCCATTTTCTCTTGAAATTGCCTTCTAATAAAACTATCTTCTTCGGTAACCCTCGCTATCCCTTTAAATTCTCTAAGCGACAATTTCGATTTTAATAATAATCGAAATCATAAAGTTTTCTCCTTGTTTTAGTTATAAAAGTATTTGGGAATGAGGGGAGAAGAAAAGAACAAAAAAGAAATATCTCGTGCATCATGTCGAAGAAAAAAGTTTTTGTAACTTCCGAGACATCTTCGAGTCCAGCTTCGAGTTATTAAGAAAAGAGAAAGAGCTCTTTCAAGTTGTTCAGTTTCGGGGGAGAAATCTCCCTTAGAAACCCACCTCCTTTCTCCTTTTTCTTATTCTTGTAATTCCAAAAGTAACGTTGAATTTAATGCTAAGAACGTAAAATGCATAAAGCAAATTAGTACAGGTCATTAACGTTAAAGGTGCTGCTGCAGTAATTGAATGAACTTCTCTACGTTTCTTTTTTTGTATTAATTTTAATTTAAAAAGTAAATACATTGAATAAATATAAACTGGGGAAAAAAAATTTAAATCATAGTACAGTAAAAGTTCTAGAACTAAGACTAAAACTTGAAACATTCAGTTTTATCGCTGAATAACAATTAAAACCAGAACTAACACTAAAACCATTTCATTAAAAATATACAGCAATCTAGCGCTCAATAACAACTGAAACTAGAACTAGCACTAGCATTAGAACTAAGACTAGCCGTGCGTCTCTTAAGACGGCTAAATCCGATTGTTTCTAGTTGTAGATCTAGTGTTAGTTTCACTTCTAGTTCAATAAAAATATACAACAATCTATCACTGAATAACAACAAAAACTAGAGATAAGATTTTTTTAAACTTTCAAAGTCTCAATGTTGTTGAACACAATGGTCAATAAAGTGACGTTCTCGTATAGAGGCATCGTAAATTTCTTTCCGTTTTAGAAGTAAAAAACGAGGGGTTCCCTCCTTGCTATGTTACACAAAAGGTCCGACGCGTGACAGATGGAAAAAGTAGGGTTTTCCTTCTCCTCGTTGAGACTCATTTTAAAGAATGACCGGTTTAAACTTGAAAAGCTTTTAAAGGAAACTGACGATTTATAACTTCGTTTTTAGACGAGGAAAATTGATGGTTTAAGTGGATTTTTAAATTATTAATGGGTGGAAATTGAGTGCTTTTAAGATGCTAAAAAATGTTTTGAGTTTTTAACAAGATTATTATTAATCAAATAATAATTTAAAAATTAATTAATTGTGAACACATTATCGGAGATAATATGTTTATTACAGAAATTTCTACGAAAGAATCATATCAAGTAATCACGAAAAAATATCTTATTTTTTTAACTAAATCTAACAACAAATATATCCCAAATAAAGATAAAATTGTCACCGCCTCTGTTACTGGCTACTTATGTTAGAGGCATAATAAATATCACATTTTTTTAAGGTGTGACAATTCGATAAACTTAAAAAAATGTGTCTCCTAAATTGCTTCCAACCAGATAAGATTACGATTACCTCCCAATAAAAGGACGCTCGTTTTGGGAGAATCCTCATAGTAAAATTAAATATATTCAAAGTTGCACTAAAAGTTACACGATGAGAAATTTCCTAATATTATCAGTGATATTATCATATCTGAATAATTCAAACGCTGGTATTTCATATTTACGCAGTTCTGATGAAGAACCTGATGAAACTGTGAAACTATTAAGACAAGAAAAGTTTCCGGAAGACTTTAAGTTTGCTGTCGGAACTGCGGCTTACCAAATTGAAGGCGGTTGGAATGCCAATGGAAAAGGTGAGAGTATTTGGGATAGATTCACCCACGAACAACCCCATCGTATTTTGGATTCAAGTAATGGTGATATAGCTTGCGATTCTTATCACAAATACGAAGAAGATGTTCAAATGATGAAAAATTTAGGAGTCAATGCTTATCGATTTTCACTTTCTTGGACGAGAATTTTACCAACGGGTTACAATAACGTTATTAACCAAGATGGTATAAATTATTATCACAAGTTAATTGATGAACTTCTTAAAAATGGTATCGAACCGTTCGTTACTATTTATCATTGGGATTTACCACAATCTTTACAAGAAATTGGTGGTTGGACGAATGATTTAATACCAGATTTATTGGTTGATTTAGCTGATATTGCATTTAAAGAGTTTGGAGATAAAGTTAAAATTTGGGTTACTATCAATGAACCTAGACAAATTTGTAAAATGGGATATGGTGATGGCTGGATTGCTCCATCAAGAAATTCACCCGGTATTGGTGATTATTTGTGCACGAAAAATGTTTTATTGGCACATGCTAGAATGTATCATCTTTATCATGATAAATATGCAGCACAAGGTGGTAAGTATTTTTTAAGTAGTTTATATATTTTTAGTACATTAAAACCGCTATGTTTAATACATCAGTATATTTATTGAAATATCAATGTTAGCGCTAGTAGATAGAGTCCAACTTAAGTTATTCCTAAAGTTGCTCTATTCACACCTAGAACTAGAATAATTCGGGTTTAGCCGTAAGTCTAGCTAAACCCAAATGTTTCTAGTTCTAAGTTAATTCTAGTTTTAGTTGTTATTTAGCACTAAATTATTGTATATTTTACAGTATTAGTAATTATTATTTCCATTATATCGAGATTTTACTGTACTTCATTTAAATTTAATCACTTTTTTTATCAAAAATAACGATATTAGTCATAATTTTATAAATTATAATTTATAGATATTTTTATAAATCTTAGATTAGAATGTTAAATTTATTTTTTTTATTTAGGCAAAATTGCTCCGGCCATGGATAATTTTTGGTTTCAACCCATCTCGCCCGATGACGAAGAGGCGGCACATAGAGTTTTCGATTTCTACGTAAGATTTAATAAAATTAAAATAAATTTCTCTAAATAAATCGAAATAACTTTTTTATTTATAGACGGGGATTTACGCCAATCCAATTTTTGGGTCCGGTGATTTTCCAGAATCGGTTAAAAAATTCGTTAGTGCTAGAAGCGCGAAACAACATTTCGCAAGCTCGCGATTACCAACGCTTACAGAGGAAGAAATCAATCTGATTAAAGGAACTTATGATTTCTTTGGTTTGAATTTTTATACATCGGTGATAGTTAATGATGCCGAAGAATCACCGGTCGATTTGTCAATAGTTAGTTGGAATAGCGATATGGGTGCTGATTATGATTGGGATCCAGAATGGGAAAGAGCGACTTCATGGTGGCTTAGAGTAACACCATGGAATCTTCCGTTTGTACTAAGAGATTTAAAAAGAAGATACGGGGATATCGATATCTATATTACTGAAAATGGATTATCTGATCACGAAAATAAAAATGATATTCAAAGAGCTAATTATCATTTGGTAAGAAATAAAGAAAAACTTTTTTTGTATAACACCACTTATTCTTCTTCCTACTTTTACAGAACCATCTAAATGCGTGTTTAGAAGCAATCGCCGATGGTGTAAAATTGAAAATGTACACCGCTTGGAGTTTAATGGATAATTTTGAATGGACGCATGGATATACGTAAGTTATTTTTATTACAAAAAGTTTAAGGATTCTAATTTTTATGGTTACAGCAATCGTTTCGGGTTATACCATGTTGATTTTAACGACCCCGAAAGGAAAAGAACACCAAAACTCTCCGCGGAAGTATACAAACAAGTCCTCGCAGACAGAAAATTACCAAACACAACCATTTCGACCAAGGGAGCATCGAACACGATAAAAATTTCATTTGGATTGATTACTATTAGTGTTATTCTCAACAAATTATTTTAAATAATTTATTGCATTTTACCAAGTAAACTTTATTATTCAAACTTTACTTGTATGCAGAAATCAGTATTATTATGTATTAATTTATTAAATTCAATAAAATTTAATTGTGAATATAGATTATTAAATATAGATATAATCAACCTGATATAAAATCATAAATATTATTTATAACATTTAATAAGTCCTTTATCAATTTGTTGTAAATATCAATATGTTTTCGTCAACATGTTTGATATTTACCATTATGTGTTTTCGCTCAATCGGGGTTACATCGAAAGTAAAAAATTCGATGAGAATAACATAAAAAAACATGTTTTTTAATAATAATATATTGATTTTTATGGAAATTCTTTTGATTTTAAATGTAGTAGATGGTATTATTTTTAATGGGACGTTAAATCAAAAAGAATTTCCAAATGGTTTTCAATTTGGGGTTGCTACTTCCGCTTATCAAATTGAAGGTGGTTGGAATGCAAATGGTAAGTGACGATAATAATTTATATGTGTTAAAATTGATGACCACTCTATACTTAGAGTAAGTAGAAGAATTGCATGGCTAAATGCAACAACAAAAGTCTTCCAACTTCCAAATTTTCAATAAGCAGCTACTAATTTCATTGCTACCATTAAAGTTAATTACTCATCGTTATACAATAATTTGTCTTGTCTGTTTCTATGCCTATTTATTTTGTCATTAAAACCATATTTCCAATTTTTCTGTTCATCCGATTATTCTCCACCATTACAAATACTTCTTCTAGATTAAAAAGTATTCCTTTAAACTTGACTTTGTATTCATCACCCAAATTTTTCTTTCCATAATCATTCAAATACATCTAATAAAACCTATTAATATTGGGCACCAAAGACAGGCATTCCTATTTGGATTTTTTTTCGGGAATAATGCGACGTTCTGTCGGAAACATTTTTTATACGATTGACAAGATCTTCATTAATCTTATGGAATAACTACCACGGTGTCGAAATCTACTAAACTAGGCATAGGTATATATACCTAAAGATAATACTTAAAGAAAACCTATTTGAAGTAAATAAAAAAGTATTCAAGAAATCTTAAAATTGTTAAAGTTGTTAAGTTATTTTCGATTTCTTTGTACTTACAGGAAAAGGTGAAAGCATCTGGGATTATTTAACCCATAATCATCCAAATAAGATTTACGACAACAGCAATGGTGACATAGCCTGCGATTCGTACAATAAATTCAAAGAAGATATTGAAATGGCAAAAACTCTTGGAGTTAATCATTATCGTTTCTCGATTAGTTGGACGAGAATTTTATCAAGCGGACTCCCTAATTCATTAAATCCAGATGGAATTCGTTATTACAACCAAGTTATCGACGAAATCGTAGCGAAAAATATGATTCCAATGATAACTTTGTTTCATTTTGATTTGCCACAAACCTTACAAGAACTAGGTGGTTTGCCGAATGAAATATTAGTGGATTATTTCGTGTATTTTGCTCGGATTGCTTTCCAAAATTTTGGTGATAGAGTGAAAATGTGGATAACTATAAATGAACCTTTACAAATGTGTAGGTTTTGTTACGGAGGTTGGTATGGAATTTTTAGTCCACCATTTCCTAATCAACCGGCTTTGGCCGATTATTTATGCGCAAGAACTTTAATTCGAGCTCACGCCAAAATTTATCATTTATATAATGAAGAGTTTAAAATTTCGCAAGGAGGTCAAATTGGGTATACTATTCATAGTTATTGGTATGAACCCAAAAGTGATAGTCTTGAAGATATGGAAGCAGCAGAAAGAATGTTTGAATTTTATGTAAATATGGTGTTCTTAAAAACCCTTTTTTGATCATTAAACCTTAAAATGAAATTTCAGTTCAGCTCACTTTAACTAAATTCTTCAAAAAGTAGTCAACTTCTTCCGTGGGAAAATCCACCAACAAAATTATCATTTCATAAAGATTGACAAAACATTTTTTTTTAGACCGGACTTTTTGCTCAACCCATATTTGGCAACGGAGATTGGCCTTCGATAGTTAAAGAAAGAGTTGGAGCAATTAGTGCATCTCAAAATTTTCCAAAATCGCGATTACCTGATTTTACAACCGATGAAATAACACAAAACGCAAAATCTGCCGATTTTATGGGTTTAAATTATTATTTCGCGGTCACCGTCAAACATAGAAACCCCGAAATCGATAACATTCCCATTGAATACGATTACGATGCGGGAATTTCGTATCGTGATGAAGCCGATGAAGGATATGTAGTTGGACCGCAAGGTTTACGCAAAACACTATCAAAATTGAAAAAAGTTTATGGTGATATTCCAATTTATATTACTGAAAATGGTTTGGGAAATACAGATAAATCGTTAAAAGATTACGATAGAGCTAATTATTACTTGGTAGAATTATTTTAAGTAAAAAAAGATAAAATCATGAATTTGTATTTTTTTAGACATATTTAAGTGCTTGTTTAGATGCAATATATGAGGATGGAGTTAATTTAGTTGGTTACACTGCTTGGAGTTTAATGGATAATTTCGAATGGGTATTTGGATATGCGTAACTAAAATGAGGTAAGCAAAATATCCAGATATTTACAAAAATGTGTTTTTATAGGAAATATTTTGGGCTTTATGATGTCGATTTTAACGACCCCAATAGGCCGAGAACTCGGAGGTTATCTGGAGATGTTTACGCTGATGTTATAAAGAACAACAAACTCCCAGAAGAAAGTTTGGTTGTTCCTGATAGTTCATCTTTTTTAACCTACAATAAAACTTTAATTGTATTGTTGACTTTGTTGTATGTTTTTATTAGTATTTAAACGATGTTTCTAAATAAAACATTTTACCATAATTATAGATATTTTCGGTACACATTGTTAAAGCTTTATCAATACATGCAATTTATTACAATTATAAATAGATAAACGTAAACTTTATTTATTTAATATTGCACATAATAGTCTTTCTCGAAGGTCATAAAGTTTCATTTATATCGTTTTTACCAGACCTTATCTATTTGCTATAAACAAAAACCTACGTGAAAACACAACACCGACTTAGTAGCGCCGTTTTATCGAAGATACCCGAATGTACTGCTAATTTATCAAGTCTAGTTTATACGCCAAGATACTTGTGTGTACTTATTATCTCTTCCAGGACATCTGGCAACTCAAATACAAACCTTTCAGATCATCTACTCATAGATAACCATCAAATTTGTATGGGCATATCTGGGTTAATTAAAAATAAGTAACAATCAAAAGTTAGGAAACTTATTTACTGTATGTTTGACAGCCATTACACTGTCATTTTGGATATGGGTATTTCTTTTGCACTACCTTTCACCTTCTTTATTTTGACGTACCTAACAACATAGCGTTTGCCTAAAAAGGAAGGTTTTCAACCAATGTATTCTCCCTGTACTGACATATAGACTTTGACGATAACCAAGAAAAACATTAAGATACAAGTGATGCACCAAAAATGGAGAAGTCAATACTTCGAGATAAAGTTCCGAACGACATCATCAGAGGCAAAACAGGGCTACAAGATGTTGTCGAGACTAGCCTTCCTTTGATGTGAAAATGAGCAAGCCATGCGGAGATTGACTGACGGTAGTTGGACTGGTTCAGTTGTCTCTGAAGTACTTCTACAGACAGAGGATAAAGGAAGAGAAGTCATGAATTACCTTACTGAGGTTATGATGGTTGTATTGCATTGGGTACTATCTTACTTTAGCACCATCCAAAATCTGATTAAGATTCAGATTATTTTTTCGTATTTGGTCTGTATTCGTCCTCTTCTCATATACGAGTTGTAGAGTCCTTTTTAGTCGTACTCATAATCACTCATTTTCATCCACAAAATATAACAATGTGACATAATTAATGATCACTGAGCACCAGTAACACCACTAACACCAGCACCTAAGTGTTTTGTGTGGTGAATACAATTCTGAACCTGTTTAGATGTCTCATTACATTGATATCATCGACTACGAAACATGAATAATATATTTTATGTCTGGGGATTGTAAAAGCTACACTTATAGGGAGTGTAAGAAAATCTGTCAGAGTCATTCTATGGAGACAATTTTTAACTATAAACAATCAGAACCGTTATACAGGTTGTAGTTGCTGGGATTAAGGAGTAAATGTAAGAAAATTTTACAAAAACTGTGTCATATACAGTGTGTCCACGGATTGTGTCCCCGTAAGGTATAAGTGACGATAAATTTTTGAATTCAAATTCCATCTTTTACAATTAAAGTCTGGATGTCACAAAACGAAATATAACCAAGTTTTACGTCAAATGTCCTACCAAAGTTAATGCAAGAAGTTTGTTAACCGTTGCAGGTAAAGTGGTCTTTCTGAGCAATGTACAACAAAAGTTGATTAAGATAAAATGTTTGTTATGTTAAATTATAGCCATATGCGGAATTTTATTAATAAATAAATTTTATTAATTTTATTAGCGCATAAAAGAAAAAATGAGTTTTTTCTTGAAAATTTTTTTCTAATATTCCGTTTTACAATAAAAACAAATGATCTGAGTGAACTAACAATTATCATTTGATAGCTTAGCTTTAGCCTATTGTCTATTGTGCCTATTGTTAGATTAATTGATCATGTTTACATTACAACATAAAATATTTATAGTGCACTGCTATGGATTGGGGAACATTAGTTACAATGCAGTTTTAAGGCAATTTGAGGAAAAATTTGGATTTTTAGTACTACAAAAACAATTAAGAGAATTGTTAAAAAAAATTCAGAAACAGGCAATGTGGAAAATAAAAGGAAGGAAAAATAGCTTTTAGATGAACATGATGCGGGGTCGATTGTTGCAGTAACAAACGCAATGGATTACGGTAAAGTATCGTTAAGAAAAAGGGCAGTTCAAGTCGGTATAAGTAAATCCCATGTACTAAGAATTTATCGAGAAAATAAAATATTGCCGTATAAACCAAAATTTAACCATACTATCGAATTAGGTGATGAAGCAAAACGTTTAGATTATTGTTTGTGGCTTGGGTACAAAATTTTGAAAGACAGAACTTTTTTAAAAAGCATAATATTTTCGGACGAAGCATCGTTCACCACTAATGGAGTGGTTACATCACAAAATTGTCGATTCTGGTCAAAGACTAATCCACATTATCGCATAGCTTGTAAACGCCAGTATTCCCAGAAAGAGAATGTGTGGTGTGCTGTTTCTTGAGACGGTGTTATTGGACCTTCCTTCATAAACGGCAATTTGAATCAACACCGATATTTGGAAATACTAGAAAATTGTTTATTTAATTATTTTCACGGCGTGGATTTAGAAAAACGCAATAAATTATATTTTCAACAAGATGGTTGCGGCCCACATTCGACTATTTTAATTAGAAATTATTTAAATACGTTATTTGGAAAAAATTGATTGGTAGATGTGGTCCGCAACCATGGCTGCCAAGAAGTCACCGAAGTTGGACCATATTTGAAAAAGTTATAAACAATGTCGGAAAAGGGCTGAATTATGTGTTAGTGTTGGTGGTGGTATCATTGAATAAGCTTTTATATTAATTTAGTTTAGATCGAAAATGTTTTGTTAATCTTATGATTTAAAAATCTGCATTTTGCTTTTATATCCTAAATTAATAAAATTCGGCATAGCGCTATAATTTAACATAACAAACATTTTATTTTAATCAACTTTTGCTGTACATTGCTCAGAAAGACCACTTTACTTGCAACGGTTAACAAACTTCTTGCGTTAACTTTGGTACTTTGAGGACATTTAACGTAAAACTTGGTTATATTTCGTTTTATGACGTCCAGACTTTAATTGTAAAAGATGGAATTTGAATTCAAAAATTTATCGTCAATTATACCTTACGGGGACACACTGTATAATTAGATTTCAGATATTATTAATCAGATGTAAGAGACATGCTTTAATCTGTAAAGACTGTAATCTTATCACATTTTTTTATTTTAACTGTTGTTACAATGAATGGACCCAAATGCATCTAATTGTGAGAAGTATAAAGATATTTCTAAAGAAAAGTATTTCGTCCTCAAATATGATCACACAATTAACTTATTAAAAAAGTCGTGTAAACTAAACTTTATAATTAAGCAGTGCGATATCTTCGATAAAACGGTATATGTTGGCATGCGGTTTTAAATTATTTCTCACTTTGCATTTTAGATCGGTCGCGGCAACGTGATTAAATAATTTGCTGAGAAGAAAATTAGAAAAGATGACGGTTTTTAATAATAAAACATCGACTTTTCTAATAATTGTAATAGTGTTAAACATTGCAAATAGTATTATTTTTAATGGAACGTTAAATCAGAAAGAGTTTCCACCCGGTTTTCAATTTGGTGTTGCTACCTCCGCTTATCAAATCGAAGGTGGTTGGAATACGAATGGTATGTTAAAAATAATTTTTTACAAATACTTTTAGTAGTTTTTCTCAATCTTAGTGGTTGTCAAAAATCATATCAAAGTTTCCTGTTTTAATACTTGGTAACTTGTGATTAGATTCTCTTTCTATCATAGTCTTTGTGTTAACACACCATGTTACTATTATGTTTAAATTCCCCCTTTAGCTATTGCCCTTTTTGTCTTTGTACCACTCTGCGCTTCCAAACGAGATGGTACATACTACACAACTTGATGTAATGTATTTCATTTAAGATACAAGCGAAACGCGTTTGGGTGAGGTTGAACATTTCGCAGCTACGGTCGAAGTTTTTGTTCACGTCAGAAACCTGCTCACTTAAAATGCGTTTCTCTGCTCATTAACTTAAACGGGCTCACTAACTTAACGGTTATATAGGCGGTATTAAATATAAATAGATTTTGATTGGGAAGAGAAGTAACTTGCAATATCATTAGTTTTGTGGAAGAAACTAATCTTATCAGATCTCATTGAAATTCATATATTATTCTTATTTACAGGAAAAGGTGAAAATATTTGGGATTATTTAACCCATAATTACCCAAATAAGATTTCCGACAACAGCAGCGGTGACATAGCCTGTGATTCCTACAATAAATTCAAAGAAGATGTTAGAATGGCTAAAAGTCTCGGAGTTAATTTTTATCGTTTCTCATTAAGTTGGACGAGAATTTTATCAAGCGGTTTCCCTAATTCATTAAATCCAGATGGAATTCGTTATTATAACGAATTAATCGACGAAGTTATCGCGAACGATATAACTCCAATAGTCACGTTATTCCATTATGATTTACCACAAACATTCCAAGAACTCGGTGGATTATCAAATAGAATTTTAGTGGATTACTTTGTTGATTTTGCTCGGATTGTTTTTAGAAATTTTGGTGATAGAGTGAAAATGTGGATAACTATAAACGATCCGTTACTAATGTGTAGGTATTGTTATGGAGGAATGTTTGGTCTTTTAAGTCCGCCTTTTCCAAACCAATCGGCTGTGGCAGATTATTTATGCGCAAAAACTTTAATTCAATCTCACGTTAAAATTTATCACTTGTACAATGAAGAGTTTAGAAATTTTCAAGATGGTCAAATTGGGTACACTATTAATAGTTATTGGTATGAACCAAAAAGTAATAATCATGAAGATATCGAAGCAGCAGAAAGAATGTTTGAATTTTATGTAAATATCGAGTGTTTCTAAAAAAAACGTGTTCCACGTTCTATCATATACTCCCAAGGCAAAAATAGATCAAGAAGTTAATTTCTAATTTGGTTCTCGTGGTGGGTATTTTGCACCTTATGATGGAACGTTGTGTACGTTTTTTTTGAGACACATTTTGTCTTTCCTTACTTAAATTAAGAAACTAGGGTGTTATGATGAATTATGTTTGCAACATTGGTTATATTAACTTTTTACCACGTTGTATGGCATATTTGATTAAATCAAAATAATAATCCAACATTTCCAATAATTAAAGGAAAAATCAAAATACTTATTGCAATTAAAAAATGTCATTAAAGATATATCTTGCTTCTATTAGCAGCAAAGATTGTCCAAAAACCGTTACCAGGAAATCAATAAGTATTTGAATTTTGCCGAACGGCAAAGGTATATTTTTATTATTATGACTGGTTTAATTATTAGGTATAAAAGGTTTTAGATTAAATTTATCCCAACAATGAATGATCAATGCTAAATTAGAAAATATTATTAAAAATTTATGCGATGTTAGTGATAAAAACCCAAAAATAATGAAATACAAGAAAGTGACAGTAAGCTGAGTGATGAATTGGAAACTGTGCAGTATATGTCTGATACTAAGTTGCAGACTCAAAATGAAGGTAAATTATAATCCCCTAAGCAAGAGAAACCTTCAAGTTCGAAAACTAGAGCTGAAAACATTGTTTTAAACCTCTCAGTGCTGCCGTTGTAGCTACAGAGACAAAATTGAAATAACAGCACTGTTTGGTTTACTTTACCTAACTACTATTTTCAAGTCAACACATGGAGATGCAAACAGTATGTGGTACCGATGGTTCCGGGACATCTCAGATTAACAATGAGTTTGAAAAAATCCGTTTTCCTGCTTTCAGTTATACGATTTAATGAGCCTGATATAAAAGAGACAAGAAAAGCTGAAAGTGATTTTAGTATCAGAAGTTTTTAGCAATTTCATCAACAACTGCAAGACTAACTACAATTGTTAGCTACCTTATGATACCATTACGTTATGATTTCAAGATATGTCTTTTTATGACTTAAAAACATTTCTGCTTATCATCTTTATGTAACTGGAAATAATTTGAATGTTGAGAATGCAACACATCTATCCATACCTATGCTTATAGTCCTAAATCTGGTTACAGAAGCACCGGAATAACTTAATTCAGAATGTCAAAAGAGATATCCTTCGGAATTATTAGCTAATAAGCTATGAGAGAGTGTATTGTTTCAAATACATACTCAAATTGGGTCAAAAACTCAAAATGTTGTTCCAGAAATTCAAGAAATCAAAACAACTCACGAACGACGTTGATCGTTCATACATCCATATATCATTGAATACTATTGTTCAGAATTCTGGAGTTATTCAGTTATAGGCTTGCATTTTGAACGAACTTGGTCTTAGCTTTTAACTTCAAGTTTATGATTTCAGAATTCGCATTAATAGCTGCTTATCAATTTCATGCATCGATTCTATTATAGAAAATTATATTATCGGCCTGGATTATGAAGAGACATTGCTCCAAGTTGTGAAACTGTTCAATCATAGATTTGACAAATAAACTTGATCTTGCTTAATCTATAATTTCACACAAAAATCAAGCTGTAAAGGGTTAATTTATCCATATCATGGAGTATACATATTTATTTATACAATGCGCAGTAAATGTAACCCTCGTAATTTGAAAACGATTCGAGATATCATCATGAACCAAAACAGGGAGAGATTATATGAGGAGATGTAGATATCCTCAAACCATCTTGAAAATGGTGTACATATTTATAAATAAATAAATTAGTTCTTCTAGTCGTTCGATATTTCGGATTTGTCCACTGCAATATTATCTCTCCACCGCATCCTCGGAGTCGTAAGCCAACTTCCCTTGCAGCAACATCCAATTTAATCTCTCTTCCTTGACATCTATAGTTGTATTTCCCACTATATCTATGTAATCAGAGAAAGCCAGTATAACTGTGTTTGTCTTTCTCACGACGCTTTCCAATAAGAAGTTAAAGAGAAGTAAAGATAACGCATCTCCCTGTTTTGATTCATCAGACCAGTGTTGATTGCAAACGCATCTCCCTGTTTGAGACCAGTGTTGATTGCAAAGGAGATCGACAGTTTTTCTTCAAGTCTTACTGCATTTGTAGATCCCTCTAGACAGGCTTTCCCACAACTTTACTAAAATCGCTGAAATTTATTCTTTCTAAACCCACACTGGTAATCTTCCATTTGATATTTCACATACAACGACCTCGGCTTAAATAATTCGCAGATTCTTAAAAACTGTCCAGGTTATTACATTAGCCAAAATGTGGTAAACTGAGTTATGATTCATGGCCATATCTGTTGTATAAATTAAATGATATCCAAGAACTTGAAATGAAGAAGATTAATATTAATACTTCAAACTGTTTTCAAATTAGTTGGTGGTAGTTTACATTTGACGCGCACTGTATATTTTGTAATTGTGTTTAATAAAAAGTCCTTGAGTCTATTTTATATTATGATATTGCGATATTTATATGAACAAAATATATTTATTTACATAACAAACACTTTTCTTTAGACTGGACTTTATGCTCAACCAATATTTGGTGACGGAGATTGGCCTACAATAGCTAAAGAAAGAGTTGGAACAATAAGTAAATCTCAAAATTTTTCAAAATCTCGATTACCCGATTTTACAACCCAAGAAATAACAGAGAACACAAAATCTGCTGATTTTTTGGGTTTAAATTATTATTTTGCGACACTCGTTCAACATAGAAACCCTAAAGTCGAAAATATTCCGATTGAATACAATTACGATGCTGGAATTTCGTATCGTGATGAAGCCGATGAAGGATATGTAGTTGGACCGCAAGGTTTACGTAAAATATTATCAAAACTCAAAGAAAAATATGGCGATATTCCAATTTATATTACTGAAAATGGTTTGGGAAATACAGATAAATCGTTAAAGGATTACGATAGAGCCAATTATTATTTGGTAAGATATTTTACGAAAAATACAATAAAATGATGCTTTTTTATTTTTTAGACATATTTAAGTGCTTGTTTAGATGCTATTTATGATGATAAAGTTAATTTAGTTGGTTATGCTGCTTGGAGTTTAATGGATAACTTCGAATGGATGATGGGATATACGTAAGACGAAAATAACTACTAATTAAAAGTAGGTAAGAAAAATAAAATGTTATTTATAGAGATGTGTTTTTATAGGACATATTTTGGGCTTTACGATGTTGATTTTAACGATCCAAACAGGCCGAGAACTCGAAAGTTATCTGGAGATGTTTACGCTGATGTTGTAAAAAACAATAAACTACCCGCGAAATGTTTGGATGTCCCTGATAGATCATCTTTTACAACCTATAATATTACCCTAATTGTCGTCTTGTTGTCATTATTGTATGTAATCTTGATATCTAAATGATTTTTCTAAATAACATTTTCAAAAACTATTAAATTAGTATTCGAGTATTAAATACCATTATGTAATTTATTGTGTTCAATTGAAATTATAGATAGATAATTGCAATCTTTAAGCAATAAAATGAAGTATATTTCAAAAACATGTCTTATTTTATCATTGCACATAATAATCTATCTCGATAAGGTCATAAACATTCTTTTAAAACATTTTTAGAAACCGTTATCAATTTGTTATAAACGAAAACATATTTGAGTTAATGTTTATATCCTTTAACATTATGAGTTTTCGGTTAATCGCGACAACTTCACTATTTAAGAATTTACTTAAAAATTATGATTTTTAACAAAAACATATCAATTTGCATAATAATTTTAGTAATTTTAAGCATTGCAAATAGTATTATTTTTAATGGAACGTTAAATCAAAAAGAGTTTCCATCCGGTTTTCAATTTGGTGTTGCTACCTCCGCTTATCAAATTGAAGGTGGTTGGAATGCGAATGGTGAGTTTTAAAACACTTGTGTTTAACACAAAATTAGCCTAAAATAATTTACAGGAAAAGGAGAAAATGTTTGGGATTACTTTACCCATACATTTCCCAACAAAGTTTTTGATGGTAGTAATGGTGATATAGCATGCGATTCATATCACAAATTCAAAGAGGATGTGCAAATGGCGAAAAGCCTCGGAGTTCATTTTTACCGTTTCTCGTTAAGTTGGACGCGAATTTTATCAAACGGACTCCCAAACTCTTTAAACTCCGATGGAATTCGTTATTACAACGAATTAATCGATGAAATTATCGCGAACAACATGATTCCAATGGTTACTTTATTCCATTTTGATTTACCACAAACACTTCAAGATATAGGTGGTTTGCCAAACGAGTTAATAGCGGATTATTTTGTTGATTTTGCTCGAATTGTTTTCAAAAATTTTGGTGATAGAGTAAAAATGTGGATAACCATAAACGAACCGATGCAAATGTGTCGATTTGGTTACGGAGGATTTGGTTTTTTGGCACCAGCTTTAAACCAATCCGGGTTGGGAGATTATTTATGCACTAAAACTTTAACGAAAGCCCACGTTAAAATTTATCAATTATACAACGAAGAATTTCGAAGTTCTCAAAATGGAAAAGTTGGCCATACTTTTCATAGTTATTGGTTTGAACCAAAAAGCAATAACGTTGAAGATATCGAAGCAGCAGAGAGAATGTTTGAATTTTATGTAGGATGTTCATTTATTAGTTCTCTTTATATCGTTTAATATCGATTTTTAGACTGGGTTGTATGCTCAACCTATATTTGGTGACGGTAATTGGCCTTTGATAACCAAAGAGAGGGTTGCAAAAATTAGTAAAATTCAAAATCTTTCAAAATCAAGGTTACCCGATTTCACAACCGAAGAAATACTCCATAATGAAAAGTCAGCTGATTTTATGGGTTTAAATTATTATTTTGCTGCTATTGTTCAACATAGAGATGATGACCCGGCTAATATACCAATAGATTACGATCTCGATGCTGGAATTTCGTATCAAAATGACAATGAAGAATATAAAGTAAACTTTTTTAATTTATAAACAAAAATTTTAGTTTTTTTTTATTTACAGATTGGACCGGAAGGTCTTCGAAAAATTTTAGTGAAATTAAAAAAAAATTACGGCGATATTCCGATTTATATCACTGAAAATGGGTTAGGCACAGGCAAAGGATTAAAAGATTATGATAGAGCTAATTATTACTTGGTAAGATCATGTTTTAACTTTTTTAGATAATGATATATGATAACTATGCAACAAAAACTCAATCAAACTTTGTAAATAAAATAGTCAAATCATGTCAGGTTCCATAAAAAGCGTTTATTATATACTCTTCCCAGTATATCTCTTCAGAGCTTTAAGGGTTTGTGATCGAACTTTGTACCTCAGTTTTGACATATTCCCCACAGAAAAAGTCATACTTGTTCAAATCAAGGCTTCTGAGTCGTGTTCTTGCCATACTCTTCCATTTTGTGGTGTAAAAAGTTCTTCAACAAACTATTACTTTTGGGCTGTGAAGAGATATTTGATGCAGAAGACTTCTCAGATGCCCAATATCTGCATGGTGACTATTGAGATAAGTATTGTTCCTCCTAGCTGACAGCAGCTGCCCCCACCCCTCTCTTCGGTCTAACTAAGTAAGGACTAGGGACTGCATTCTACCTCACCTTCATCCACGTATTATCCATCTGAAGGCACAAACTAAAATCTGCAAGCAGGGTTTTTCAAGCTCCGCTTTTTCCTGATGAAACCGCTCTTCATATTCATCACTGAGCCCATATTTTCCAGAAAAATGAGAGTGTAGGAAATGGGCCTTCAAGGACATACAGCTTTTTTGTGACATCTACAACAACCAATCATTACTGTTTTGTTATGGAAGATACTTTTCTTAAAAAAATGAATTATTGATCAAATATCTCCTTTTTAATTTTGGCCTTACTAAGTCCAAAAAATTTATTTTTCAAAAACTCAAATCCTACTACGAAGTACTTTCACAAAATTCTTGATCAGACCTTTAAGACCAGTTTTGTTTCAGTTTTTTTTAATGTTTTATTTTGCATACTAAAAGTACTTAACACGAATCATTATTCCAGATAACAGCAAATTGTTATAAAAATCATCTATATTCTATTTTTAGACATATTTAAGTGCTTGCTTAGATGCAATATACGAAGACAACGTTAATTTAGTTGGTTACACAGCTTGGAGTCTAATGGATAATTTTGAATGGATCTTTGGATACACGTAAGAAACAAATTAATTACTAATAAAATGTAAATAAGAAAAATGAAATGATATTTATAGTGATGTGTTTTTGTAGGAAATATTTTGGCATTTACGATGTCGATTTTAATGATCCAAACCGACCGAGAACTCGAAAGTTATCTGGAGATGTTTATGCTGATGTTATAAAAAATAACAAACTACCAACAAAAACTTTGGATGTTCCAGACGCGTCATCCTTTATAACCTATAATGTTATGTTAATTCTTGCTTTATTATCTTTGTTATATGTTTTATACCATGCTTAAAGAATTCCTGAAATATATTTTATGTGTAATTTAATGTAATTTGTTAAAAATAATTCGCAACAATTATTAAACAATTTCCGAAATTACCGAGGCGAGTACTTTATGACCAAAACTAAATTAACGCTTTATGTCTCGCAATCAGTTAAAACGTGTTAAAATTTACTAGGCTTCCTTAATTAAGATGTCTAACTTTAGCCTGAAAGATATTATGTCGACAACATTAAAATTTTACAAATTAAGATTTTCTACTTCGTCAACTTACAGCTTTCTTCTTTATCGAAAGTCGAAAGTAAGTCGAGAAGATGTTTTGAAAAACATTTAGTTATATCGAAAGTGAAATTATTTCAGATATTTGGCTAAACGAAATAACACAATGATAGTTTTTCGTCTTTAAAAAGCAGATATTTGATGCAGCTGCACTTTTATTGTGTGTCAGAACATGAGTTATGAAAGAAATTTTGGTGGAGCTTGATTGCAAACACAACCTCCTTCAGAAAAAAGTTGCATATTACGTAAAACATCTCACAATATGGAAACATACAAATTTTATCAATAGCCAAAGTATTGCTAATAACGATTTTGAAGTCTTCAATAGTTACAACAGACCACTTCACACATAACGTACTTACAATCAGAATCATCACAGTAAACATTTGGAGCACAAGGACCATTCTAGAAATAATATATAATATGGAACATTTTTGCTTAACTATTTGAAGATAAGACTATTCCCGCTATGAAGAAATGGAATAGTTATTACCAGGATATTATAAGATATCAAGGTCGTATGATGACAGATTACTGTTGAACTTTAGGAGGAAACTAATACATTTCAATGACGCGTATGTCAGATTCGATGAGTCTATTTGTTCAAATTTGTATGACTTAGACAATAACGAAGATTGTACTTAATTGTCTAAAATTGTGTAAAGTTCCAAAGTTCTTTAAATCTGTCACAATCTAAAATAATACAAAAAGAGACTGTATCTAAAGTTATCTATCACTATTTAACGTCATCTAAAATCGTTTAATATCAATTAAAAGTGTGTCAGTAATTGGTAAAACTGGAAATAAAAAGTAAGAAAACTAAAGATACTTAAAAAACACTTGCCTTAAAGATTAATATCCTGATCCTGATTCCAATAATAAGATTTAAAAAGCAAGAAGTCACTAATTGATTTCACCTTCAAACTTTATAAAATGTTAACACAAAAGACACATAACATAAAAAACTTAAAATAACAATAAAATCACCACCAAAAATCACTTTACACTAAAAAAAACTAAACTAAATCATAACCCAAAAACACCATAATCCTCAAATTCCTCAATCGGGTCATATCATTATCCTTCTTCTTTCAAAAATCACCAAAGACACTCTTAACATCTCTACCAAAACAAAAAATAATTTTCGAGAAAGTTCCGAAATCACTTTTTCAATGGCGTCTCGACGACAGATCGTCTTCGTAACACTTGCCGGTTAACACGATGTGGTAGCAGGGACTCAAAGCGTACCACGCGGATACCAACGCGAAGAGATCAACGTTAGTATAAAGAAAGAACGGACGGAAGGCGACCGTTTCTGAAGAGTAGGATGAAAACTGAAAAGAACTAAGAAGGAGGATGAAGATTGTTGAAGAAGAAGAAGGAGGTGGTGGTGGTGTAGAGAGACGTGGGGCGGAGGTGAAGAGACGACGTTGCTGATGGACTATGGTAGGAAGGACGAAACGAAGAAGAAGGGGGACTTGCGATCCGGTAAACAGGTGGCTTAAACATTGTAGAACGTTCACTTCGCGATCCAGAGGTCAGTATCGGCCAACGAACACGAACGGAACGGCCAAGTTCTTTAGATGGAAGAGGAAAAGGGGGAAATCGAGGAGGGATCGAGGGGGACCCTATGCACTAGGTAGTACTACTATGAGGATGGAGAAGCAGGTTGCTATGGAAGTTCTTTTTCTTTTGTAATAGGTTGCAACCTAAGAAAATAGCTACTTATAAGATCATCGATAATTTGAGAAATTGTTTGTATTTTTTTCTTCCAGTTTATTACTTCATCTTCAGAAATAAATACGGTGGTTATCTACACTTGAGCATTTTACATAGATTGAGGTATCAATTTTATGAAATATCTTGTTACGTAATGGATGTAATTGTCAAAAATTTGTCATCTCTATTATATAAAATGAAAATTAAATCATAAATACTTAATAAATTCAATATTCCACCTAGTTTAGAACCTACACAAGATTTTATTGTAATAAACAACTCCCGTGTTGATATCGTATTACACTTGTTGACCAAACCTGAATCAAGATTAGCATTAAAATGTAAATGATAAACAAGTATTATGTTCCAACAAAACACATATCATTTTTCATTGGTGGTAACGCAATAACGTTATTCATAAAACTATAAAAAAACACCTTGTACAAAAAAACTACTATTTAGTTTAAAATATCAAAAATTTTAATTTTAATTTAAAGATTTAATAATTTTTTTTTTAATAAATATTGTTATTTGAATCGAGATTAATATATAATTTAAAAAATAATTTATAAAAATTATTTATTTCGAAGATATGCAACCAACATAACTAGAAAAAATTCGATTTAATAAAAATATTGTTAAATATATAAATATTATATTATATATATTTATTTATATAACAATGTTATACATATATTAAAATTAAAAATTATACATCAATTTAGAAAATATCTTTTTCTTCGTGTTTTTAAATAGTATATGCAACCAAAGATACATCATCCTATTTAGTAACGTTTATCAAATTTTAGTTATTTATTTTATTTATATATTATTGTTATTGGCGTGCACAAGCCAGTTTGCGTTTGCCACCTTGAAATTCTTGTTTTAGTTGTTATTCAGCGTTAGATTGTTGTAAATTCTTATTGGACTAAAACTAGAGCTAATACTAGCACTAGAACTTATGCATGACGTCACGAACGGGCCGGGTTGTAGTAGTCCTCTCAGCTTCTACCATCCTTGGAATAAATATAAAGCCACGTAGACTGATTATAACGATGTGGATAGCTGTTCGAATTTTTGTGCATTCAAATTATTTATTCAAACAGTTTTAATTGCAAATTAATTAACGCACATTAACACAATTATAAATTTAATCAGGATAAAAATTAACATTTACAATTTACCTGCACATAATTTATTCGATTTAGACAACAAATAACAAACAAAAAAACAACGATAACCACTTAAGTTATATATAGGTATATAAAAAATAGGAAGACCATCCTAGGTCATGGAAGAAACGAAATTCGTAAACACATTCACCACATAATTTTGGATATACACAAACATTGATCATTATCTATGGGGTGTCTACAACACTTAAAATTTACATTTACAATAATTATGTTTTTATTTATAATAATTTGTAGCTTTTCTTTATAAAATCCGTTTTGGCCTCCACTTTCTACTTAACACATTAATATCTAAATATATCATCAGTTTTTAAGGTTGACTAGCGGTGTAATTGCGCTTTAAAAATAGAAAATAAACAAATTTAACATTAATTTAATTTAATACTCAAATTATTAATAAATTGTGTGTATTGTAAGTTTAACACAAAAAAAAACGGTGCGTTTTTACTATTTGTATAAATCATTGTAAAAATTAGTTTTGTTCTTTTGTTGGTTTTGGTCCTTTTCTAATGATAAAAATGTTTTCTAATAATCCTCTACTTATTGTTTGTAGAATTTGATATGATGGATCATTTTGGAATGTAAATTATTCCGGTTAATGAATAAAATGATTTAATTAATAAAATTAACATAAAACGAACCTAAACAGGATTGATTTATCTCAGAAAACAACCAACATACCATTACGATGTAATTTGTTCAGGTGAAGTTACAAACGATGTAAAGAATGCTCTAAGATAAAAATTAAATAAGATTTTGTTTTAAAAGGTTAATGAGTGATTGAGATTTCTAATTACACCCATAAATAGTTGGTAAAAAATTACATTGAAAAGTATTTACAAATATATTTTTCATATTATATAAGTGTATAAGTTTTATCTCTTTTTTAATACGACAATAAAATTAAAAATCCACCTAAATTAGATTGTAAAAACAGTTTTTAGCCTGATTTAAGAAAAAAAATTCTACCTAATCCTACACTCATTATCATCATGATTTCCCTTTATAATATATCCGGTGTAATTCTTCAGTTTCCTTTTTTAATTTTAACAATTCATCTTGTATACGATCGGTTATTTCTTTTCGCGCTTCAACATCGGTCGCATTTCTAGCTCTCAATTTTTTAACCATATCCGAAAAATCTATAGGTTTGCCATAATTAAATGTCAAATTCTTAAATAATCTTAAATAATACGGTGGATCATTTGGTAAAACATCGTCCATTCCAATATGCCATATGGGAATAACAATCGGCGTAACTGGAGATTCAAAAATCATCCTTCCAACACCCCATTTCAAACGCATAGTTTCTTTTGTCATGTTCACTTTGCCTTCGGGAAAAACGTGCACCCAGGAACCTTTCCTTAATTGTTCTATACAAAAATCTACGGCGTTTTGGAAGACTCCAGCTCCTCGGACGACCGGAACACATTTTCCATAAGCGAAAAAATAGGAATGAGGGGCGCATGTAAAACAAATATCATGCGCAGCAAGTGACCATCTCATTGTATCCCGTGTGAGTAGATGTTTTAATTTTAATGTTCCTACAAAAAAATTTTAACAAAACACATTTGGATTTTTATTTTTTTACCCCATAATCCAGGATCATCAAAACAAGAATGATGATTTGATACGGTTATTAATGGTACATTTCTAGGTCTTTCATCTAATGCTCGTAACATAATATGACGATTATAAACTTTTGTCCTATTAAGAAATTCTAAAAAAAAATCGAAAACAATTTTTAGGTTATGTTTCAATTTAAAATTAAAATACTTACTAATTAATATTTTACTAAAAATTCCTACAGCAGCCATTGTAATTGTACTAGCGATATTCCAAAATCTTGTTGGATGCCTTAAAGCGGGGAATATCCAATCGATGCTATAAGCCATTCTTACGGTTTGTGAAATACTCATCTTGTAATTATGATATATCCGGGGTGTCCACACTTACAAAATGATAAACGTTGGCTTTCTATACTTTCATGTTGTGATCTCAAAATTTCTTGATTTATTCCGTTATTACGCAACGAAATAATCGTCGCGTAATCCCATTCAAAGTATTATAAAAAGTAGCAGCATCTTTCGCAATTAATGATGACATAAGATCAAATTAAATGAGAAAAACTAACTTTGAATACGTACTTTGACCACTTTGACTTCGACTGATTATTCGTGTGTTGATGATTTTGCTGGTTGTCAATTGCGAACTGCTGTCAAATGCGGATTGAAGCATTGAAGGTTTTATTTAAATTTCATTTAAAATACTATCGTATTGTATTTTCGGAATAATAAGTAATGCTATTGTGTTAGCGTTAACGATACGGATTTATCGTATCAGGTGCGATATGAATGAAATTTAAGTAGGATGAATGCGATAAAACGTAATCACGTTTGCTATTTTTTGAGGTTAGATTAAAAATATTACGGTGTGAAGTTGGGTTTTTATGAATTGAAATGTGAAGGTAGTTTAGGTTGATGACTTTTAAATTATAATTAATTCTTGAAATCAAAAAACAATTAAAATTTAATTTTGAATTATTACATTTTTAATGATTTTCGGTTAAAAATAAATTAAATATATTTTCTTTTCATATTTTATTAAATAAAAATTAATGTTGTGAAGTTAGGTATTAATTAAGTTTGATTAATATCATTTATTGCAAAGGAAATCAACAATTTAATTCAAAATGTGAATCGATTTATATTAAATTAAATTGTGAAAATATATAAAAGGTCAATACACTTTGAAAAGAAGTATTAAAATAGGATTAAAATAAAAAATAGACTAAGAATGAGAAGTTAGAAATGAATACTTCCTGTGTGAAATTAGCTGTTATATGAAGTGCAGGTTGATGACTTTATGTTGTGATGATTTTTTAAAACGAAAGTAATTATTTAAAATGAATATAATTTTTATGCGCATTTTTAAGTAAACTTTCGAAGGAGTATGATTGCATTTATAATTAAATAAATCGAAAAATAAGTTATTCAGGTAAGACAAGTTATTAAATTTTTAATAATTTTTAAAAGGATTTTTATAAATATACATTTATCTAATCCGATTATATACATCTCAAGAGCATATCTCATCTTATATTTACCTTAACAATTTATAATTATGTAATTATTCCATTTTTGATCTTTGCATTTTTGATGTTAGGTTATGTCAAAAAGAAAAATATTTTCTCAAAGAATTATACTGTTTTACCTTTAACTTGATGTAAAATTTGTTCTGTAATGTACAGAAATTAAGTATTTTATTTATTTTTTTTTTGTTACAGGTTATTCTCAACATAAAAAATGGTTAAACAACCAAAAAAAGGAATTTTAGATGGAGGAGAGGCTAACCCGGAACACATTTATAAACACAAAAAGAACAACCATCACTCAATCACCACATTTGATGCTTCTATATTATGTTTTTACATAGGAACACTTTTTGTAATAACTATGTATATAGATAAACAACTTCCAATTGGTTTAAAATTAATTGATGAGCAATCAAATCCAGATGCATTTATAGCTGAACGGGCCCAAAAAGATTTACAAAATTTAACAGATTTAGGCCCAAGGGTTGTAGGTACCGCTGCGAACGAAATTTATGCAGTAAAATTTTTACAAGACACTTTAACAGACATCAAAGAAAAAGCAAATCAAATTCATGAGATTGATATTGAAACTGAAATAGTTAGTGGATCTTATTATTTAGATTATCGCCCATTTGGAGGTTATAACGCTTATGGAAATGTTCAAAATATTGTCGTTAAATTAACCGGTAAAAATCAGAATTCTAAAGGAATTTTACTAAATTCGCATTTTGATTCCGTCCCTACAAGCCCTGGTGGTAGCGATGATGGTATTAATTGCGCTGCCATGTTAGAAATTTTACGAAAATTAACACAATCTCCAAGACAATTAGAAAATACAATTTATTTTTTGTTTAATGGTGCTGAAGAAACACCATTACATGCATCTCATGGATTTACAGCAAACAACAAATGGGCGAAAAATGTTGGTGTTTTAATTAATTTAGAGGCCGCTGGTTCTGGTGGGAAAGAAATTTTATTTCAATCTGGCCCGGGTCATTCTTGGTTGCTCGATTATTACAAAAATGTTCCTCATCCTCACGGACAAGCTGCTGGCGAAGAAATTTTTCAAAGTAATGTGATTCCTTCAGATACCGATTTTCGAATTTTTAGAGATTTTGGTGGATTAATCGGTTATGATATAGCGTTCGTACGAAATGGATATAGATATCATACGAAACATGATAATTTCGAAAATATTCCGTTGGGATCATATCAACACGTCGGCGATAATATTTTGGATTTAGTGAAAAGATTGGGCGATGCAGACGAATTAAATCTGAATAATTTTGGGTCAAATAATGAAAAAAAATCCGTGTATTTTGACATTTTCGGATTTTATATGATAAGTTATAATGAAATTGCTGCGGTTGTTATTAACGTATTGGTGACGGCGTTGTCGTTTATGATGTCGTCGTTAACTCTGGTTAAATTTGGATTGAGAAGGGAGAAAAATGGAAAAAAATATTTCTTTTTTGTTGTTGGGAAATTTCAATTACTTATAATAGCTGGGTGGGTTTTAGCTGTAATTTCAACGATACTTATGGGGGTATTTTTAGATTGGGTTAATCATACAATGTCTTGGTATTCGAAACCTTGGTTGTTAATTGGTTTATATGTTATACCTAGTTGTGTATCTTGTTATTTGCCATTGATGTTATGGAATAAATTTAAAAGAAGAGTAAGTTTTAAGACCAGGATTAAATCACAAGGTTTTCTTATGCTTTTATTATTTATAGTCTAAATTAGGAATAAATGTACAAAGTCAAGTTATAAATATCTCAAACCGTTTAATTTGGACCTTCCTCTTATTCATTGGAACTTATCTTGGGATACGATCATCCTATGTTCTTATGATTCCAGTTTTATTCAATTCATTAGCATCGGCGATTATTTTTATTTGTAATCTTCAATACTCAAGTAATATATTGCTGTATTTTTTTTGCTACAAAAAATTAAAATCTATTTTTTTAGCCAAACTCTGGAGATATTTGTACTTAATAGCAAACAGTCCACCCATAATGATGATTATGTGCCAAGCGATTTTGGTGTTATCACTTTTTATTCCTATCACAAGTCGCATAGGAAGCGATAAGAATCCAGAAATTATTATTGGAATTATAACGTGTTTAATAGTAATATTGATTTCTTCGTTTTTCATACATTACATTCCGTTATTAAAAAATTCTAATATTATTTTTATTCCATTGATTGTTACTTTTATAACAGTTGGATTAGTTTTTTCACCAATTGGGTTTCCATATAGTGGTGATAACCGTGTGCCAACACCACAAAGATATATGATCTATGTAAGTAAAATAATTAATATTTTTTGTATTAACCACGATCAATTTTTTTATTTTTCAGCATACAAATAGATATGTTCATGATGAACATCAAAATGTAATAAAAGAAGATGCTGGATTTTATGTAATAAACATGGATAGAAATTCACCACATGTATTAAAACCTTATATGCCTGATATAGAAGAATTCAAACTCAAAGTGGATGATTGTAAACAAGTATTAGTTTGTGGTTTACCATTGCCCTCACCAAGAGTATTAGCTATAATGTAAAAATTTTAAAATTTTCTTTTTTCAATAAGTAAATTATTTTTATAATTTAGGAGTGAACAATTATGGATTCCTGGATCATCACATTCACCAAACGCTGAAAGACCAAAACTTATTGTAACATCCAAGCAATTATCGCCAACAATCCGAGAATACCAATGTATTGCAAAGGGTCCTTCTCGTATGAACATATTTTTCTCACCAACATTGAAGTTAATTAAGACAAGTTTGTCAGATGTCGTTCCAGAAAATGTTGCAACGTGGAATAATCGTTCCATTTATTTCATTAATTATGTTACGGGCGAATCCAGAAAAGATTTGGAATTTTCCATTCAACTTGAAACTCCTATTAATTGGACACCAGAACCGGTTTTAACTATAGCTTTAGCTGGTCATGAATTTCATTATGATTCGAAGTTTGAGAAGTTTCTTAAAGAATTTCCGTCATGGGCTGACATAATTCCACTACAATCTACTTTTGAATCATGGATTTTTTAGAAAAAAATTAGATTTAAATGTTATTTTATAGTTTTATTTATATGAAGCAATAAAGGTGTTTAAATAAATGTGGGTTTACTACTAATTTTTGAATTAATCACATAAGAACTTATTTAATTAAAATTGAAGATTGAAAAATAGTTAATTTTCTAAAAAACATAGTTTCTTTAGTTATGAAAATTAAGAAACAATTTATGCCGAAAATTAAAGCTGAAGATGTTCTCTTTCGAAATCTGTATGTTGTTTAAAAAGTTTATATAAAAACGTTAATTACTTTTATTAGATAATTTAACTCTACTAAATTGAAAAATAGGTAATTTTCAAAAAATCATAACGTCGTTATTTATGAAAATGAAAAAATGATTTATGGCTCAAATTAAAGCTAAAAATGTCTTCTTTCGAAATCTGTATAATATTTAAAGTTTATATAAAAAAGTTTTGAGAAAATTTATTAGATAACTTAATTCGATTAAAAATGAGTTAATTTTCAAAAAATTATAACCTCTTTATTTATGAAAGTGAAGAAACGATTTAAGTCTCAAATTAAAGCTGTAGATGTCCTCTTTCGAAACGTATATAATATTTAATCAGTTTAAATAAAGAAATCTTTTTTAACCACTTTTAACTCCCTCACATACCTGTGAGGGCAAATTTCTGCCCTCACAGGGCAGAAACAAACAATACAAAGAAAACATGTTTGGATTCTGAACGAAAATAAAAACTGTTTATAATTTATATAAAATAAATTTATTTTAAAAAATATAAATCATCTTTTTCTTTTTTTATGTATAAAATTACTGTACAAAAATATATAAAAAAAATTTACAAAAATAATACGAGGAGATTTAAAATAATTGTGAACTAAAAGAAATGGTAAATTCTTTTTCAGTTTATTAAATTTGAAAATGTTTTAATATTGAATCATCTCAGGTTATATTACCAACCCAATGAATAAATCACAATCATTTTAAATCCCAATATATCAATAATAATACAATTTCTTACAAATTACAATTTAGTTTCATGTCGGAATGGCCGCCTTAATTGCTTTACAACCACCGGAGGCGTTTGATAATCAGACTCATCATCGGCAGAGTCAACATCACCATCACTACTATTCGTAGAAGGAACCGGATGTATAGGTTTCCGGGACCTCCCTCTTCTATAATACTTAAATTCCCGTGGAAGTGTATACGATCGCGGTAATGAAATTTGACTTTCAATATCGGAAGTTGTTGGTGGCGCGGTTATTTCAACAGGTTCCGCCGGTTCAGGGACAACACAATCACAGTAAAGATAACGCGGGGCTAATAATAATTCGGGAGTACGACTACGAGTTGGTGCTCTTGGTGGTGGTCTTCGATTCAAATTTACACCATAACTTGCTAGGTTGTTTAATGATGCTAAACTAATTAATTGAGGTTCTACATGTCTTTTAGCTCTGGGGATAGGTTGACGGTCGTCTGGATCGCCAGCTTCAGGTCCTACTAATTTACCTTAAAACATAAAATAAAAATTTTAAGGCTGTTATTATAAATGAAAAAAATTGTTATTTATGAAACAGTGTGTGAAGTTCGCTTTTTGCGCAAAAAGCACTTCAGATATTTTCGGCTATTCTACAATTCCTCACAGGTACAGAACTATTATCTACGAACTAAAAATTATTTATAAATTAATTTTTTTAAACTTTCTAATCTGTCAAAAAATTATTTGACAGTTGATTGTTTCATTTGAAATGTATTGCTATTTTACGCACACTTTCGCCAAATTTCACGCACTACTATTAATAATGATGTTCTTTACGAATTGAAAATGTGCTCAAAATGACGAATTTACAAACGAGAGTAGATAAAAATTATTAATTAATTAATAAATATATTTTTTTAAATATTTTAAACTGTCAAAAAATTATTTGACAGTTGATTGTTTCACTAGAAATGCATTGCTACCAATTGCTGTCAATAATGACGTTCTTTACGAATTGAAAATGTGTTAAAAATGACGAATTTACAAAGGAGAGTAAATAAAAACTTATTGTTAGGTTATGTTTATTTATAACTAACCTTGTTTAATTTCTTCCTCAATAATTTTCAACTCCGCTAATTGTTTCTGTTTCTTTTCCTGTAGTTTTTGATGAATATTCACCCTAGAACCCACACTGCTCCCTTCATTTTCACTTGATGAAGGCAAAGGACGCCTCCAAAACGGTACCGGAGTTAAACCAGGAGGAGGAACAAAACTCGTAGGCTTCTTTTTCTTTCGATACAAAGCAGCAGCCGTTGGATTTGCAAACCGACAATTAAACACACCCGGAGGAGTTGATGGTTTATCCATTAATCGTCTCACGTGAAAAAACCGATAATAAATCAACATAAAAAATATACCAACCATAAATAACACAAGTGTTAAAATTGGTATTAATTCCCAATTAATTGGAGGTGATGACCAAATTGCAGCCATCCATGCTGTTATGAGAAGCGAATTTTCCATTAACATTACAATGTAGAAAACTGTCATTGTTCGTGTGTGGGGTTTATCTTGGAAATTAATATATGCTAAGATATATATTGCAGCTATTAATACGCAAATTCCTAATCGAGAACCTTTTTGTCCATGATAAGCACTTTTGGGTGAAATTAACCATAAAAACATACATGTCCAATGTAAAGCTAAAACAAGGAAGATCCATGATTTATAAGATGCCGCATATGCTGCTAAAGCTAACGCTCGAGATGTTACAGTTCCAGCTCTCCATAATAACTGTGAAATTACACCTAACCAAGTTAAAACAAATCTTTCAACACTTTGAACATGTTTACTAAACGAAGCTAATGACCAACAAATTGAAAATAAAGACAGTGTAGCTGAAACAATGATTAAATCTCTTGATGGTATCATTTCAGATTTTTCTGATAATAAACTTAATTGTAAAAGTAGCATTGGAGCAGCTTGAATAAATCCATGTAATAATCGGAGTATACATAAATCACGAACATCTTGTTTTACACTAGATAATTGTATAGGAGCAAGTAATCTTGTGTATCTCCATAATACTCCTAATTGTATTACATGGATAAATGCAAGAATTGGTTTGTTAACTGTAGTTTTTTTTCTTGATAAATACCAACGTAAACTTAATATTTGGGAGATTATTGTCGATAAAAAGACCATTGTGAGGCATTGTGCGAAGACTATAAACAGTTCTTTTTCATATAACGCATAAATAACTAATATATCAAAAACAAAGTCGCAAAAATATACTGCAAGGGAGACAACATTAAATAATAAGTCGCATAGTGGCAAGAATTCTGCCATCTCTTGGTCAATTTTTCTTCCATTACATCCTTAAAGAAATGAAATGAAAAAAATTATTTTAATTTTTGATTATTCTTTTTGTTACTTACATTCCGGGTAGTTTTACCAAAAGGTATAGAGATGGCATAGAGCCCGCATTCCTAACCTCCAGACATTTCTTCTTCTTTTTTTTTTGGTTGTATTGCAATCACCAGTAGCAGAGCGAAACTTTTTTTGATATAATCAACATTTCTAATTAAAAATGTACGTAATGTTTAGATTTTCACTTGATTCACTTGAATTATTGTGAACTATTTCAGTTAATGCGGAAGAATTCTTTCGAATTCCTTCGTGGGATATCTTATGACAGTTGTTGACCACTGTTACTCAGAAATTCCGTGACTAAAGTTACCAGTTACCATTCTATAAAGTGAAGAAGTTGAAGAAAATGTAACTAGGTTTCTAACATGTAATTTTTTTATTAGCGATTTTAATTTATTTATAATAACGTATAAAAAAGAAGTGAAGTTATCTTTGTAGTTTAAAATTTAATTATAAATCTTAAGATTATCTTCTTTTGGTTTATGGCAACCCAAAATACATTTACAACAGTTATTTATACGGAATGTCTCAGTGTGTCTCAGCGAGACTGGTTATTAGATGTTTCTGGAGTTCTGGCCAAAATAAAAATTTGAGAATTCCTAAAGTTAAGTAAATAAAGTTATTCATAATCCTTGAAAACAGACAAATCAAAACTTGTAAAAATATAGAGGATGTTCCATTTAAAAAAATAAAGTAGGTGGCGACTTCCGGTATAACCGGAAGTGCTAGAAATCTGAAAATATTTTAGTCGAAGAGAACGCAAATGATAATACTTAAGTCTGAATTCTCAAATTTTTATTTTGGCCAGAACCCTAGAAACGTGTAATTACCGGTCTCTGAGATTTAGAATAAATATCGCTAGTAACTGAAATAGAAAAGAAACAGCTGAGCTAGTATGGAGATCTAGTCAGAATTCCAGAAGAGCGAAAACGAAGGAGAGGCAGGCCAAGGATGAAATGGGAGGATGAAGTGGAGGAGATAGTACGCAAGAGAGGACGAAGTGTACAGGAGGTGAAGAATATGGAAGGGACAGACGTAGTTTTAGAAAGTGGATGGAGGATCCTTTCCGTCTTTTGATCTTTTGTAATCCAGAAATTGACGTCAGTTAGTCAGCTATTTCTATCTCAAGTTAAACCTGAATGTTTCTAGTTCTTGGTCCACTGTTGTACTAGTGCTAGCTCTATTTTTAATTTTTATTCAGCGTTAAATTGTTGACCTAAAGCCAGTTTGCATAAATCGTTGTGTGTGAACGCTGGCCTAAAGTTTGCGCAAGCCAAAAAATATGGCTTGAATAAAATCTGTCCTGATAGAGAATCGGGTTGAGGTTGGTGTATTGGCATGAGTGTATGAACGATGCTCAAGCCTCAGTTACGATCTCCGACTTGATTGAATGATAATCTACCACCACCCGTAACCTCAACCTTATTAGTTGACTTTATCATATATCTTATCACTTATCGATCATTTATGATCCGTATTCCAGTATGTGTTGCGTATATTTACTGTGGTGTTGTTTGTAATTATTGTTTCATAGATCAAAATGCCTAGTGAAAAAGAATTAACACGTGAATTCATTGAAGTGTACAAGTCGTTCTTATGGGAAAGCATGGGCATCAAATTTGAGAGACTTCGATCCATAACAAGCTGTGCGCGCAGAAAAAATAATAAACGTGTTCTATGAGACACAGTTGGGTGACTTGAATCGTAATTGCTTTCTACAAATTCAACTGAAACATAAAAGCAATATTTAGACTCCATTCTACATTCATTGCTCACTCGACCGTCATTCAACAGTCAACTCCTATTTAGCACTCAGCTATTATTGCACACTCAACTATTAACCAACACTCAGCAATCATTCAACACTCAGCCCTTATGTATGTATGTAGTTTCACGTGGGGATGAGTTTCTTCACTGCCCTTTGTCTCCACGATTACTGTTCATTCAAGAGTCAGAAAACCAGCCCAATCTTTTCATGAATGTTAATATAGAACAGAAAGGTATGTTCCTTATATCCGAAAGTTGGAGCCATGGTATTCCGAAAATGGATTCCCTTAAATACGCGAGGTTGTGACAGTCACAAACAATAAGGCTTACCGTCCCGTCTTCCATTTCACACCCTCTACAGAGGGGTGTAATCGCCAGCTTCATGTAGAACATGTGCTTACGTAACCTGCAATGTCCGGTCAGGAAGTGGGTGAGAAGCTTCAAGTCACTTTTTGATTTTCCTAGAAACCGAGTAGATCTCAGCCCTTATTCAACACTCAGCAATCATTGCGCACTCAATCATCAACCAACACTCAGCAATTATTCAATACTCAGCCCCCAGTCAACACTCAGCAAAGTGCTGCCGATTTGTTTCGCAACCTCAGTGATTTTGAGGATGGAGCAACATAATTTATATTACCTATGCATGTATTATACTAACCAACCCGTATTATTCTGTATTATTTATTTGATGAGTCTATAGTTTGGAAAATATTTTTATACCACATTAATTTTGTATTTTATAACTTATTATTCAATAAACTTACATTGAGGTATGTGTCGTTTAATGGCACATATTTTTGGAGCATAGCATAGCTGATAACCGTTCATTGAGGGTAATCGCACGTCTCATAACGGTGTCTGCTTTCGAAATGATGGGTGTAATTAAGTCAAAGTAGTAGCGAAAATCAGTAGGCTCACTACGTATTCAGCAAGTAAATTGGTATGGGAAAACACATTCCTCTGTAAAAACCACGGTTTACACCATTGGCACAAGCCAGTTTGCCCAAATGACTTGATGTTCAATTTTTAGCAGTATTTCTTAATCCTAATTCAAAAGCCATTTTGAGCATAGGCAACACAATATGCAGCAAAGATTTAAACGAAAATCATTATTTTTCCAATTCTAACCTAATTTAAAATCATTAATTGTCAATAAATATTAAAGAACATAAAGTTTTTGGATGGAAAAATAGAATTGTTTATAATTAATTTAATTACTTCCATAATTTCTTATTAAAAGGTGTTACTTTAACCACAAAGTCAACACTGAACCACTCTCTCTATCTCTCATTCTCCGAACTTTGCTTTTTGAAGTGAAACATCGCATTTCGTGTTTTCGTACTCGTTTTCTTTGGTTAGTGCCATGTGCTCAAACGGAAATTCCATCTTTAAGGAATTTAATGCAGATGAATTGGCAAACGAAGCCACCGTAGTCGAATCGTTATGCATGCAATGTTACGGCAATGTAATTAATTTATTAAAATATATTTAAAATTATCGTTTCTTATTTTAAATTTTCTTTATAGGGTATTACAAGATTACTTCTTACAAAGATTCCTTACTATAAAGACGTCGTAATAAGTTCATTTACATGTAAGAGTTGTGGATATTGGAATAATGAAATTAAACCTGGTGGTCCTATACCAGAAAAAGGGATTCGATATAATTTAAATGTTTGTGAGAGTAGTGATTTAAATCGGAAGGTGGTTAAAAGTGATTATGCAAGTGTTAAGATATTGGAATTAGATTTTGAGGTTCCTGCTAAAAGTCAAAAAGGCGAAATTACAACTGTCGAAGGTGTTATTGATCGGAGTATAAGTGGTTTAAAGCAAGATCAAGATACACGAAGAGTTGAACATCCTGATATTGCTAAACAAATCGATGAATTTGTAGGAAAATTAGAAAAATTGAAAAATTTAGAGTCACCTTTTACATTGGTATTTAACAAATTTAAATTTATCTCAAATACTTAAATTAATTTATTTTTAGATATTGGATGATATCTCAGGAAATAGTTTCATTGAAAATCCATTCATTCCAGGAAAAGATCCTCGATGTATTATTCATAATTACATTCGTACCAAAGAACAAGATCATGAATTAGGTGTTTTTACACATGAAGAAGTGAGTAAAAAATTAATTTTAATTTAAATATAATTAAACTATGTTTAGGTTGATGAAAACAACCCCATTCTTCATCCAATTCAAGAAAACGAAAATTTATTACAAGACTTACAAGGGGAAGTTTTACAATTTCCAACAAATTGCAATAATTGTGGGGCTTTATGTGAAACTAACATGAAAGTTACAAGTAATTTATTCATTTTTTATGTCATTTTAGCTATATTTTTATGTATACAATTTTTAGATATTCCACATTTTAAAGATGTTGTGATAATGGCCACTTTATGTGAAAAATGCGGAAATCGTACTAATGAAGTTAAATCAGGTGGAGGAATTGAACCTCATGGAGTTCACATTGAAGTTGATATTCATGGAAAAGAAGATTTTTCACGTGATTTACTTAAAGTAACTTAAACAAACTAAAGGGTGTGTCCATTTTAAATGATCTAATAGAAGTTAACATTCTATAAAGAAATGATCTTTTGTATTTGCATGATTCATACAGAGTCCAAGAATTTTAGTTCTACTTTATTTTATATCCAATATTCATGTAATGTTTTCAATTTCTTGCATATATGAAGTATATAAAGAGAATGTATTGTAATCATGCAAGATTTGATCTCAAGTTTCTGATATATCTTGAGTTCCAACTTTAGCTGTCCTGGCAATGAGCCTTTTGATATAAAAAATCCCCAATTAATAGCAGTAAGGTAAAAGAACTATCTACAGTTACTTTGCTGAAACTTTCAACAACTTTATTAAAGTATTATTTTATAATAAAATAGTTGAGCAACAAATTTTCTGGGTCATTTCACATGGACAGACCTTAATAAAAACTAAATCATAATTTTTAACTTTTTTCTTAATTTAGTCTGAAACATGTTCATTGTCAATTCCTCAATTGGATTTGGAAGTAGGCCCTTGGGCTCTTGGAGGTAGATTTACTACAGTGGAAGGTTTATTAACAGCTGTAAAAGATCAATTGAGTGATCCTCGTTATAATCACATGGTTGGAGATTCTCAAGATACCGAACAGAAAGATAAATTGCAAGAGTTTATGACTAAATTTAATGAGATATTAGAAGGTAAAAGGATGGTTACCGTTATTTTGGACGATCCCGCAGGAAATAGTTATATTCAAAGTTTAAAAGATGATGATCAACTCGATGATAACTTGAGAGTTACAAAATATGAAAGGAATTTTGATCAGAATGAAGAACTTGGTTTGAATGATATGAAAACTGAAAATTATGAAGAAAATTAACTGAATTGTAGATTAAGAAAAAGTAATATATTTGAAATAAATTCAGAACATAATATAAAAAAGTGTATACAAAAAAATTCCTTAGAAAAGAAAAATCATCGAAAATCTGTCCTATTTACCTCGTAAATAAATTTATATGTTAAGTGGACACATTTTATGGAGTCATTTTCTGCATGATACTCATAAAAATTCAAAATACGTTTTAAAAAAATGTTAAAATTATTCATCATGAAAGACAGGTTCACCATCAAGTTTCTTTAAATTTGGAAGTCGCTTGGTTGCTTCAATTTTCCAATTACTTTCTTCCATGTTATCGTATAATGGATTTCCAACGAATAATAATTCTTCTAAAACCGGTAAATCTTGTAGTTTATTAAATTCACCCCATTCTTTAACCAAATTATTACTCATATAAAGTACTTTTAATCTTCTTAATACATTAATACCTTTAACTTTTTCTATAAAGTTATAAGATATCCATAACTGTTCCAAACAATCACCAACACCTTCCTAAAAAATTTATAAAATAATAAGCCCCTTTTAATAATAAAACGTCAGAAATTGGCAATACCAAATAATACTTACCAACCCAGAAAAGTTTTTTATGTAATTTCTTGACAAAGATAAGATTTTTAAACTCTTCAATGAACTGATTCCAGCAATTTTTTCAATCATATTAGTACTCAAACTGAGTTTGCTAAAATATTTTTTTCCGTTCATTAATCTGTATTGATTCTAAATGTTTAGGATAATACAATTTCTGATAACTTACGTGCAACTAGTTAATGCTGCAAGAGAATTATCCATTTTTTCTATCGGCGGAAATTGAAATTGAAATCCGACTTCCTGTGCGTCACCTATATTTTCGCCTGGATGTTTTTCTTCCCATTTTTTAATTGCATCTTTTATAGTTGTTGGTTTAGACATTTTTTAATTTTCTTAAAAAAGAGTTGTTTGTGTTACTATGGAAACAAAATTTAGGGATGTCAAATTTGTAGTACATTAAAAGTTGAACATAGGCAACTAAATATTCACATTAGGTTTAGATTTAATCCTTTGTTTCAAGGGTTGTTCCGTTTTTGCATGCCATACTTACATTTTATTGAGAGAAATCAATTCTTTTTAGAACTTAATATACCTATTATATTCTGAGAAAACAACAAGATATTGCAGTTTTCAAGCATTACAGCTAAAAATAAGGCGATAGCTGTAAGTGCTATGAAATGTGGCTTATAAAAGATAAAATACAAAGAGCACTAAAGAATGGATTGGAGATGAGCTGCCAATCATGATAAAACTTGTAATTTTTATGAAAATAAACTAAGATTAAATAGTAATATTACAGAGTATTAATTTACTATGAGTTTATAAATTAAAATTAGTGGTGCCATCTATGTAAAGTATTCCAAATATTCACGTAATAATTTTAACACTAATTTTTAAAAAAGAATTCATTTTTATTAAATTATGTGTGAATTTAAATTTATATTCTTTATTAGTTTCTTATCTTTATTACCGTATTAATTATGGAAATGATGAAAAATATAGAAGAGAAATTATTAGTGGTGCCATCTATATGAAATATTTGTCATTGAACAAACACTACAATCGACTTGTACATTTTCCGGTAAGAAGAAGACGTACCACGTGACTTAATTTATCCAATTAGCTGTCAGTATAGATGTCCGCTGTAAAGTCTTGATGCGTTTTAACCCTAGCACACCCTAGCACGGATTCCGTTAGGGCACAATTCGAATGTTTTTCCCGTTATCGGGGTGTTTAATTTCGATTTGAGTTCGGTTTTTTGAATCAAAAGAATCCGTGAACGTATCGAAAACATTTTGGTGTTACAGTAGGCCGCGCCAGCAAAGTTGCCGTAGACATTTTCTTATAAAGTCTATTGTATATGTGCTAAAGAGGAGAGCAGTAGGCCTGGTTGTTGACGCGGTGATCGTTAAATTCATGTTTTCGCAATTTATTGTTGATATTCGCTTCGTGTCGTCGCCCGTACATTCCTAACCTACAGTTTACGTTTCGCCCACAAACATGGTAAGTACCAAAAATAATACATTTTAAGGTAATAATAATACTCAATTTGTATACATTTAGGTTAGAAACTCATTTTTTCATTTGTTTCTACCAACATCTTTTTTTTTGCTTAAACTTTTCGATTTCCTTTTAAATGTTGATTTTATTAATGATTGCTTATTTCAGGACGCAAAAACTAAAAACGTGGCCGCACGTAACGGAGATAATAACGATGCAGGAGAGGTAGGTTTCTACGTATTTTCATTATTTACCATAAAAAATACTTTCGAAAAATTCCCAGAAACAACCACGATTTTGGTCAGGTGAAAATTATTTATTTTTAGAGTATCCCTGTTATGCGAGGAATGTTTCTGCCACACTCATTGCTTTTAAAACCTCTTTAAAATAGTGTGTAGTACACTAAGTACTCACTGGTGGTGGTAGTGTTTTCTTTGAGTGTGTAAACGTTTTTCAGTATGAGGCAGTGGAGGTTAGCTTAAAATAGGAATACGTTTCACGGATGTCCCTAATGTTTTGTTATTTTAGGTTATGTGTACTTTAAAGTGTCATAACCTTATTAGAAAAACCATACTATAGTATTATTTTTGTCAGGTGGCCAATTTTAAAAATTAAAAACATTTACAACTCTATTTTATCTCATTGTAGTAGCTATTTATAAATTGGCATAAATTAAGTTTTATATAACTTTTTTTGATTATAAAAACACTTGTTACAGTAAAAAATGAGTTTATTGTTAATAATAAACAATTTCAATTAAGGAGGAAATGTTTTTAAAAACGAATAATTATAGTTTACTTTATAAAAGCTGCTAATAGATGGCAGCAACATCATTAAGAAAAACCCGTCTTTGGTGTGCTTTAGAAATTATCAGCCGACATTTCATCAGCTTGTAATGTTTACAACAGCTTACCCGTGTTTTTAATCAAATTGTTTGTTTATTTGAACATCTTATAAATTGCTTAAAGTAAGGAATCCCATTTTTAAGTTAGGTTATGTAGTTTTAACATAAAGTACCTGAGGCAAATATGTCTCACTCAATTTCAAAACGCAATGAAGTGTGTAAACAAAATTCATTTATTCATAATTACTTTTTATAATAGCCAAAGAATACGTAACATTTAAAATGTTTGTAAGAATTGAGGCATTGACTTTGAACAGGAGGTAAATGCACTGCTCATTTTTGGCACTTACCTCCTTTTCAAAGTCAATGCCTCAATTGATAATTCTAATTTCTAATTTTTTAGGTACGATTCAATCTAACAAAGTTGCACTATATAAATGTGTTAAGGCTTTCACAGCCTGTGTTAATTGACCTAAAACTAGCACTATTACTGCGTTTTTTGAAAAAATTTTTGAAAGTTTAAATGCCATGTTCCAATATTCTTCAGAAACAAGTTTGAAGTAACGAAATCGGTTAGAGTTTGACAATTGTCTGATTGTCAACTAAGTTGTTTTTATCATCTTTGTGCAGCTAAGTTCCCACCGTCTTCTCTATTCATGTTTCTATGTTGATAAATCTCTATTGGCTCTCTTGCCATTCTTTGGAAATAATATCCGGTTCTTGCTAACATCTAGCATCTTGGTCTTGTCCAAATCTATGCTGTGTCTCCCTTTGTGGCAATGCTCTGCCACTGCCTACTTTTAGATCTTATTCATGTTCCTTGATGCGGTACTCGACGTTACGTTCAGTTTGGCCAACATAACAGTTTGGCGTCCTGATCTCAGAATTCACAAACTTTCAAAAACGTGCAGCAAATGATGAGGCGATAGAGTTCCATCGACAAAGGAAAAATGAACAGATAAGACGACTGCGAGGCATTCACCAAAATAAAAAATGCTGCACTAAACATGGAGCTGGTCATAAACTTCCCCAAGTCTAAGTATATGCGTACATCACGCCGACACGAAACCATACAAGAATATATAAAGATTGAAGATGAACTATTGGAGGTGGTGGAAGATTTTCCGTATCTGGGGACACTAATAGATAGCCAAAACGACAAAACCAAGGAAATAAAGAAAAGAATATGGCGAACAGATGCTATTTTGGCCTATCCTCACAGCTACAGTCGCCAAATCTGTTCAGGCAGACAAAACTATACAAAACATGAATACGACAGGTATTAACATTTGCATCAGAAACTTGGGTGCTTGTCAAGTGTAGAGGAAGAGGCATTTATTGTGTTTGAAAGGAGGGTGCTACGAACTATCTTTGGCGGAATAACCAAAAACGGACTATGGAGAAGACGATATAACTTTAACGATTAAACTTATCAAAATCAACCGCTTGGGATGGGTAGGTCATGTGATAAGGAGGAGATTCTGGTCGGAACCAGAAGACGAGGAGACCGAAACTGAGACGATATAAAAGAGGATTTAAAACTAATGGGAATAAGAGCATGGCGAAGAAGGGCGAGAGACGGGGAAGACTAGAAGGATATTCTGAGGCAGGCCAGGGCCCACCCAGGGCTATAGAGACGAAGAAGAAGAAGATTTGAATTTGACAAAAACAACTTTTTCTTAGTGTTTCTAGAATAAAGTTAATTATTTTGCGCATTTTATTTTAAGGCAAAAAATCACTTGAAATGATGAAGAATTTAAATTTAAATCTAATAGTTACACTAAAAAATATTATTGCATTGTTAATCTTAACGATTTAAGAGACTTAATATCGAAAATAAATTTTTTTGACTAAATCTTGAGATTTAGACACTTCACATTGAATCTATTATGTTCAAAACTGATAAAACCCACTAAGATTAAATGTTAATCTTAAAAATTAGTTGTTTTAAAAATAGTCCGACACAAATAATAAAATGATAAAAAAAAAGAATCATGAAAAAATTTTAAATATGTGCCATGTTATGTTATGTAAACGAGGTTTAGTTATATTAGTTCAGTGAACTTTTTATCCCGTTGCGGAAAATGTCGTGTTAAACAAATTAAACACACGCTTTAATTAAATACGTGTCATTTTAAGTGAATCGTTTTAGTTTAAACTTTTTTTCTTGGTCTAATTTTCTTGGTGGAAATATTTACATTTTTACACAAACCCTCCAGTTAAAATAACGAACCCAACTGGTAATCAAAATGTTTTGTTTACAAAAGTCCAAAATAACTCTATTCAACAACCAGATACTTCTTACGTATTTATTTTTTTGTGCTCGTTTTATAAATCGTTGTAATCTTGATTTGATCGCATTTAATCAAGCGTGAAAGTTTTGTAAATCGAAACCGAACCAAGCGACTTGTTAGTGGTGTAACTTTACCGTTTGTAAAATACTAAAAATACAAAACATGTTGATAAAGTTGAGGTTCGAGGCTATAGAAGAAAAAAAAGTTGTGGGGAACAGTCGGAGTACAGTGGAGTATGTTCGTCCTTGGTTGGAGATCGCGCGAAATTCGTTTGGCTTTAAGCCCAATGTTGACACACGCACACATAAGATCAACGGCGTGGCGTGGTGTTAATATCAAATTGCGATCGTTGTGGGGATCGAATTTTTATTACTCACCGCGTTGTTTTCTTGGCAAACAATTTATTCTCAATTTAAATGTCTCGTTTGAAAACAACTTTTCAACCTTTGACATAAATTTGAAAATATTAAAAAAACTCGTAACAAGAAGATATTTCCCTAGGGTTGTGCGTGTACAGTAGATTTTTTGTCGGACAATAGAATTTTTATCAAGAATAAAGCACTTGATGTTCTATTTATGGGGCTATACCAGCTTTGAATTAAAAAAAAATCGATGTTTATTATCGATTTAATGCCCTACTACCCTAAAACTACACAACGTACTACCCAAAATACGATAATGTTAAAAATATTCAAATAAAGGATAACGAATTAAACAGAACGTGAATAAACTTATATTTTCGTCTAGCATTCTAATGAAAGCTACGGAACAGAATTTGTTGTCACCTGATTTTGTAGCATTTCCGCGTAGATAAATCAGCACACCTGCCAATTAATTAGTTCCAAATTGTTCTTTTCTCCCACCTTTCCCTCCTTACGAGTACAGTATACTCCGGGATTATAATTCGCTGTTAGACTCGTATAAGCAAAACATTTATCCGTATCTTTTTTGGTACATTTTTTTATGTCCCGGTAGCATGAAATTCTTTAAGAGATAACAAACTCGCGTATCGTGTTCGCACCACAGAACGTTCCCTCAGTTACTTTAATCTTACATCTATCTATTCAAATTACTCTTTTATCTAGTCCTCATCTTCATGCATCACCGCACCATTTAAACTCACTCACGTATACAATTCCATAACACTGGTCCAAGACACGAATCCTGTGGACGGTCTTTGTCTGCGGCATACTTCACATATGAGTACTCACTATACACACTCTACGATTTCCGTTCTTAATAAATCTTTTATTACTGTATTAAATCCTCAAATACACAATAATAGCCTTATTTGCAGAACTCTAACGACTCGAACGTTTCTGATTGACTTCAAACTTGAAATTCTATTCGCACATGTGTATGACATGTGAGTAAATTATTTGACATGAGCGACTATAAAACGCCTATAGCCTAGGCACAGTTAACTGTAAGTAAGAAGTCCAAAGCTTCAATTCTATTAGTGATAACAGCATGCAAAAAGTTAGAGACCACACAATGTTTATCAGAGTTATTGGAGTACCTGTACCCCGGAATACTCCATCATGTCGAAAAGGCGTGTGTGAATTCGACGTTGCACATTGTGTCATGCATATTATGGGTACCACATAAAACCTTCAAATCAATAGCAACATCTGAAGTCTTATTCTCACATCTTTGAATGTTTTACATACGTTTGAGTTCTGCGATAGGATACTCTACGCAGCACTTAAATTCAACCTCAAACCATTCAGTGAGGTTGGTCCAACTAGTTCAAAGAGCTTTGCAAAATTGTTCGTATTGGACGTTGGCTTATAATTGATAACCATCAATCCGACAAGGTTGAATTTTGGGATGCAACACTCAACGAATAATGATAATCTTTACCCAAGAAACTAAATAGTAATCCCGAGGCATGTCACACACATTCTAACGCCGCAACAATCCTCCAGCCATCGTCTTCTGTAGGAGACCTGAACATGTAAAGTATATTTTATGTCATTAGTACCAACCTGGAAAAAATAACCCCACGCAACACCGATATTGTGGTACACATCTATTGATCATCAAAAACAACTACTCATAGAAACCATCTACTGCTGCATTCTGCCAATTAAAAATTCCAATGCCTATATATTGTATACTAACCTTATTTCTACAATTTTGTCGTTTTTTTTTGTAGCCGACGTGGAGGCTACAAAATTTATACTATTATTTAATGCACTCCTCCGTTCTTTTCCAAGTCATGCCATATTTTCTTTACACAACAGGATCACATCGTTCGTCGAAATTACTTCGGACACATGTTTCGTCTTTCCGTCTGCAATCCTTCAAATCATGACCTATCTCTGCGTAGTAGACATAGGATCTGATAGCTATGCTGCGAATGCCCATATGGCCAGCAATTGTTACACACACTACGTCAAAGCCTCTCTCATAACTCTGTATCTATTATAAGTGTCGATTATTTTACATGTACATACCGATAATTAGATTAATGCCTCTAATGATGACCCAGTAACTGAAACCGGTTGGGTTACATTTATCACAGTATATTGCAGTAGAATCATTAATTTTTCGATTTTTTTGCTTTACTAATTTATTTTATAGAAATAATTCATTATAATAAAATTATTATTAAATTTAGTTAAAACGCAATGATTAAAATCTTTTATTTTAATATTCAAAGTTATTAGTTTAAGACGCTATCAGAATGGTTGTCTAAATTTTAGAGTATCTACGATTCCCGTAGTTTATGCAATGACGCATTTCTCAATTATCTACCAGTTAACGTTGAATAACCTGCTGATTTGACATAAAACACTTTCATATGTTCAGAGTGGAAGTTATTTTTCAAGCGATTTGATTTTAATTTAATTATGGATGAGCGATACAAATTTTTGAAATTCAAACATAGCTTCTATCTGTATACTACTCAAAATGTTCATAAATGTGTCTTAAATATATCTTTAACTGACCTAACTTTTTCTTAAAACAGAACAAACACTTTCAGTATTCATTTCACTCAACCTAAAAACTTTTTTTTATATATTTCTTTTATCGCGTGTCTTAAAAAAGAAAACTGCCCACGCTAAAGACTCTCTTACACATTTCAAAATACAATTTTTACTGAATATACTTCGGATACCATTCCTTAGCCGGATCATTCTGTTATGTGACCGCGCAAGTACGCGTTGTCGTCGGCTGAATCGCTTCAGCCGTTCGTTGGTTGGTTGGTTTGTACACAGTTGACGAAAACGAAAATAAACCTCTCGCATTGCGACGAGCGGGGAACGAAAAAATGATTACGACCCGTGGCGGTGGAGGCTTCGACGACGACGTCGTCGTCGACAACCCAACAGTTTCATTTCGAAAGATCCATCCCGCGGAGGGGCTCACATTTTTTTCAAACCTTTTTTTTTATATTTAGTTTTTTCGTGCGTGTGTAACGTTTTTATTTAGTGACTGAGCAAGAGAATATATGAGTGCGTAGTGTTGCGTTCATTTGGGGCTCATCAAGACCCTGTATAGCGGTTTTAACCTTCATTAATTATTAAAATAACCAAAGTGGAAGGATGAAAATGTATTAAGGCAGAACATTTTAAACAGTAAAGTTGTTGTTGCAAGTAGACGCGATGTTGCGGGACGTGTGGTGAATTGAAACTCTGGAATATCTTTCAAAGAAACTGGAGGTGGTGTTTGTGGTGGTGGTGCTGTGGTAGTGGTGGTTCGGAGAAGTTTTTGGTAGTTGCGTAACGCAGACTGACAACCAGAGATGGAGTTAACTGGGTTTTTTCGAAGGAGAAAACGGGGCGTAACCGAAGCGGTACGCATATTTAGGTTTTAACATAATTTTTGCATTCCAAAAACAAATTAAGTCGAGATTGATGATAAATCGTATTTTCAGGAATACTTCTATTTTGTTTATTTATTTGTTAATTGATTTTGTTATCAAAATCACATTAATACTTAAATCTTCTTTAATACTCGAAAGATTACTTTTATAAATGACCCAGTTGGTCTTTGCGTAGAATCCGCTCAAATTTTCTTATAATTAAAAATTGTCTGAAACTGTCCTAAGTAGTTTCCTAATTCGCTTAAAATGCTTAAAGCACCTTATACATTTTTGTGTAGAAATGAGATGTCTAATAGAAAATGAATAATGGAGTAAGTCTGAATATCACAGTTTCTCAATATATTAGACATGTCGTAGATTGAGATATGCAGAGGATGCACCTGATGTCAAATTACCTTCGTCAGAATTCAAGCTATTTAGTATGACTGTCTGATAAAGATTGAGCAAGAAATGCTCAATTCGAAAAGCTAATTGATTGTATTGAACACACACTAAGGATATGTCGCAATGAAAGCCTTAGAAAATTTAGTACACTTTTGGAAAGAAAGAACAGAAACTAATATAGCATCCGTTGCACCTTGACCTTAGCTGCAGTTGAACCGCAATCTAAAACCAGATTGAGTGTTACGTAAGAGTTTAAAGGTTTGGAAGTGATTTCGTAGCCTTACTTCTAACTCAATCTTAGATTATCATAAGTGGTTGAATTATTGATTGTAGGAAAGGCTACAATCAGGGTTGTCTTAAAAGCATATAATATCAATATAATATATGTCAAATACTGTAATGCAGTGTGTATTTGCGAGGCTTATATGATGATGCACGGTTTGCCATAATGTAATGATTCAATATGATATCCATGGCTATCCGTTGAAATTCTTAAGATTTCGTGGTAAATTTCGACGAATCATTCAGACGATCCAGATCTTAGTAGAAAATATCGACGCATAACCTAAGTCAAAAAAGGCTTTCTAGTGTGAAAGGTTTTCCGCAATCTCTAGGTATCTAGTCGATAAAGAAGTAATTAATACAAATCAGAAACAAGAAACAATTGGAAATGGACGTTCTTGGAATATCCTGAAACGTAAATTTGCAGTAAACACTTTTTTTAACTTTTTCGAAAAAGATACTTTCTTCTCTTAAGCTTTTATCTTCGCAAATACTATCAAGCGAGGTTTTCTCCGCATTTTAAAACATATTATTTACTGTAAACGTAGATAAAATTATTACTCATCACACGTGCGCGGTAACTCAAAAATAACTTTTCTTTATTTTGTATTGCATACCGCGTATTTGATGTATCTTTAATGAGTGGTTACTTTAATGTTTCTATTCTATTCTATTTAGCGAGTATTTGCAGCTTTTTTCATTGCTGCTTCTCGCATCCTAACCGCCATCTTCTCCAAAACATCATCTCTGCTTTCCTTGGAGAGAGCCAAAATATATATTAAGATATATTTTTGTTTAAAGACATATGGAAATGATGTTAGTATTAGACAACAACTCTTAAAATACACAAATTATACCAAAAGCATTGATAATTTGGTACGAATTATGAACGCGTACATGAGACTCTAAATGAATCTGCCTTCCTGCAAAGATTTTATCCTCATTCAATAGCTTTTAGAGAAATTCACTATTTTAAGGTCTTTACATCGTACAACTTGTCTATAACAAGATATTAGCTATAGAATGTTTAGTTGAGTCTCTACGTGGAATTAGCGGGCTATCATTTGCGTGAAGATTGTCAAATAACCATTGAAGCCATGACATCATAGCGGAGTTCTGGTCGAGATGACCAGTAATCAAGACAGCTCTTTATCTTGATATTCACTATATTGATGATAAAAATTTTTATTTATTTTAAATTGCAGTAAATGTAGCCTTGTTGGTTCTTTATGGAGTATAGAAATTTACATGCTTAATTAAATACTTTGAAAAAGTTGATGAAATGTTTCGGTTAATTAAACTAATACTAGAACTAACACTATCACTAGGACTAGCCCTAGAACTAGAAAGTTTCGGGTTAAGCCGTGTGTTTTTTTGAAAAAATGTTTAATGTTTCGGATGCATGTTGCAATCTTCTACAGAAGTAAGTTCGAATTTCGGTTAATTGTTTATATTATCCAGAATATTGAAATGTTCCAACATACACTTCTCAGGGTCCTCTACTATTATCTATTATTGTTTTTAAATTAAATTCGAAAACCGATTAAAATATTACCACAACGTTAATTACGTCTACATTTAATACTTTGCGCGATACAATAATAATTGTTTTAGTAGATTTAGAGTCGTTAATTGCTTCCTGAAACCTTTAAAAAACCTCTCTGCGGACAGAGACCTGAAATTGTCAAAGAAAGCGCGCGCACATTCACTCGTTTGGTTCAAGGTCAATCCATGATCTACATCAACAATTCTTGGATAACTCTTTAAAAATTGAAATAATTTTTTTTTTTTAAGATTTTTAGTAACAAAAATGTTATTGAAATAAAATCATAATAAATTGGCTTATTACAAAACATAAAACTAGTTTTATAAACAGCCTAATAATATTATGTGTTTAGAAATAAAGTATACAGTAGTGTTATTTATAAATTAAAAATTGAATCAGTTTATAAATAGAAGAGTCGATAAAATAGAATGTTATCTAATCAACTCGTATGTATAAACAAAACTTAGTAATAATCTTTTAATAATCACAAACGTTGCTATTTCATTGTTATTTTAAACATTTCTTTTTCATTATTTATATTTTTAGCCTAAACTGGCTGGAGTACCACCGCCTACACCTTTAAACAAAACCAAATTAACAACCGGAACTGTACAGGGACCGTTAATCAAGAAGGAAAAGAGACACTCCAGTTCCAGATTCAATATAACCAAAAATAGAGAATTGGAAATGTTGCCAGCTTTAAAAGGTAATAACAATTATTAACTTTATCATTACAGATACTTAAAATGAGTCCAAACACGATTTCTTTTGTAGAAATGTTTTGTATTAAACCATAACCTAAAATAATTGTATCTTCGTTCTTTTTCAGAATAATAACAATAATCGTGTTTCGATTCATTCTAAAGAGATTTGAAGAGAATTTAGTTTATAAAAATATCATAAATGTGCCCTTAACGAAAAACTAGTTCTTTTACAAAGGTCACAAACATCATCCCCCCTTACAATTCCATTGCGCCCTCTTCGTTGTCATATTTCCGTATAACAGGTGACGCAGGCGCTTTCAACCGTGCCTCTAGTAATCCATATTCTTTCCCAATAGTCACGTCGGATCTTGCCCCCGCGACGAACCACCCCCCAACACTCTAAATGATTACCGTCAAAACACACCCCCGCGTCTAAGCCATCCCCTTCTTTAATAAATAATTGTTCTTCAGTTTGAATTTTGTCGCGTTTATCAAATGGTGCATTCAACTTTCGCACAGGGACATCAAGTTTTGGGGACGACGACGACACCTCAAAGAGACGTCGGTATCCCCAAATCACCTTCATTTCATAGTGGCCTCGACCTAGTAGCTTCGGCGAGTGCTGATTCATTAAAAATCGCCGCGGAAACTGAAGAAGAAAAAAATGTTGTTTCGAATACAGTGGGTTTTAAATTTGATTCGGATTCGATGCTGATTTGTGATGTTAATAAGAGGGGGCTCTTTTCTAAACCATGTATGTCAGTTGCTCCCCGATTAAAATCACCATCGTCACAACAGCAACAGTGGAACCGGAAGCGTGTACAAGATGACGTGGTGCGTGCGCAATCATTTGATAATAGACAATTTGGAGGACATTTGCCTCGGTTAGCAGGTGATTTTATTTATGTTTTTTTAAGGAAAAATATATGCTTTATTTTTGAATTAATTAAAAGAAAATCAATTTTTAAACTTGACATTACCTTGACGTTTAATTCTTTTTTATACACGACACGAGGGCGCTTCACATACGTTGCCAAAATCTATTTTAATCGGCCGGAACGACGTCGAGGTATCGTTATAAACTGATACACGTCCAAAAATTGTTAAAACATAACACATTCGGTTTTAAAGTTTGTTAATTTATAAAAATATTTTGATTTTATTTATACACCAGGGTTATGGTATCTCCATTATATTAAAATAGGTTCGATGATTTTGGCAGTAAATGTTGAGAAATAAAAAAGACTACATTGCCAATTAGGTTATTTATGTATCAAGACATTAAAGCTATTTTTTTATCTGACCCTCCCATTTAGTTACCTCTTCAACAAGCTGACTGTAAAGCCTGCACCGAATGGTTGCAAATTCAGGCATATTTCAAATCAACGCAGATAAGGGAGGAATAGACGATTCAAGGGATTCAAAAAGGGTTTATCTTTGGATAGTTTTTCAATAATGACTTTGCTAGAGAAAACGTTTACAACTGTGACGAAACCGGATAAATTTGAAAATTATGACTCGAAAATCCTGCCGCCGAGAAACCCTGCTCTAGATTTTAAAGTAAATAAGGAGCAAATAACAGCGATGGTTTGCGCAAATCTTAGTGATGACTATGCACCATACTACATGTTAGCCGGTTCACGTAGTACCTACTTTCTATAGAAATCCTAAAAAAAGAATGGGACAAGATTTGGTTTGACAACAAAGAGAATGACCATCTATGCCATCCAACTATACCAGTTGGTGGTTTTCAGTTCACAAATCTGACGCTGCGGAATGGTTGGATATGGACAAAGATGATTTACGGTATGACATCCTGAATGACAAGGATGTTGTTTCCTCAGTTGAAGTGTACGGAGATCAAGACGGCAGTGAAAATAGCGAGGATCTTTTAGACGACATCTGTCATTTGCATGCTGAAGCATTCACGTTGTTGGACACAGTAATGGCTTGGTACGAAATACAGCCAAAATTTAGTGAAGTCCAACCTTTATTATTCAAGCGAATGAAGGACTTAGCAGATAGAGAAAGAGTTTCAACAATAGATAATAAAGTCTTTACTTCTACACAACTACTTGTGTACACTTCCATAGTAATTAGAGTCGCACTTATCGTCTAGCAAAGCAAAATTGTTGGTTGTATAAATATAGTTTGAAAGCAGTGTCCTCAAAAACCTTCCAAGTTTTCATGAATTATCACATAATGTGTAATCTCGTGTTGGTGCCAATTTAACTATTTCTTAGCGTTTCAATGTTCTCGATTTGGTTCTTAGATAACAAAGAGAAATCTGTTTCTAGACCTCTGCCACTTATGGCAAATAACTTCATAGTTTTTGGATTAAACAAACAAATATATCCAATAAAAATTTGATAGTTAACAATTGTTGGCTGATATTTTGCACATACTTGAGTGGTAGTACTATTATTATGTTCATTTTTTTTCTTAACTACTTATACATATGATGAACATACGTCAAGATTGGCAATTCCTATACGTTGCCCAACATACAAAAATCCCAAATATGACGCAACTATTAATAATTATTAAATTTGACTATTTAATTAAATGTTACAAATATTAATTTATAAAATATTCATTGGCGTTATTAAAATATCGATGCATTCCGTGAATTTTTCAATGTACTTATTTATGTTTTAATTTCCTTTACTTAAATATGTGTCCTCATTCTTCTTTTATTTATAGATGCCGCCCTGCCGGACAGGGAAGAACTATTCATACAGAAAATACGACAGTGCTGTGTGCTATTCGACTTCGCCGCGGACCCCCTTTCCGATTTAAAATGGAAGGAGGTTAAACGAGCCGCTCTCCATGAAATGGTCGAGTTCGTTTCGCAACAAAAAGGCGTTATTACCGATGCGATTTATCCAGAAGCTGTAAATATGGTTAGTTTCCCTCTATTTTTAACAATTTATTATCGTTGTGTATAAATATTATTCTATAACAACTTTATTGAGTTACTTTAAATTTTTGAAAGATCAAAAATTATCAGCCCAGAAATTATTTCAAGAGGTTACGTTTTTTCAATGGTTTCAAATACAATAAATTAAAATGAATTAATATCATTATGTTTTGTATCTAGGGTCATTTTTTAATATGTTGGTCGTAATAAATATCTGTTAGGTATAATATTGCCATTCTTTAACAAAATTCTGCACTCATTAAAAAATAAAGATCTATACGTAAATAAATTTTTTTCTAGTTTGCCGTGAATCTTTTCCGTACATTACCACCATCGCAAAATCCAAACGGTGCGGAATTCGATCCTGAAGAAGACGAACCAACGTTAGAAGCAGCATGGCCCCATTTACAACTAGTCTACGAGCTGTTCTTACGTGTATTAGAAGCCCCCGATTTCCAACCTAACATCGCAAAACGCTACATCGATACTAAATTTGTATTGAACCTTTTGGATTTATTCGACTCTGAGGATCCACGCGAACGTGATCTTCTAAAAACAACGTTACACCGGATATACGGAAAGTTCCTTGGATTGCGCGCGTTTATTCGCAAGCAAATTAATAACGTGTTCTATCGGTTTATCTATGAAACAGAGCATCATAATGGTATTGCAGAACTACTTGAGATTCTCGGTTCGATTATTAACGGGTTCGCGTTGCCGTTGAAGGAGGAGCACAAAGTGTTTCTATTAAAAGTACTGATGCCTTTGCACAAGGTCAAATCGCTTTCAGTTTATCATCCTCAACTTGCGTATTGTGTCGTTCAGTTTTTGGAAAAGGATCCGTCCCTTACGCAACCTGTTATTAGGAGTTTATTGAAGTATTGGCCCAAAACGCACAGTCCAAAGGAGGTAATATATCTTAATTATTTTCTTCTTGCAACCAAGTTATGTTTAAAACGATTTTCCAAATTTTGACATCTTCCCTTTTTTTTAAGGTGATGTTTTTAAATGAATTAGAAGAAATTTTAGATGTAATCGAACCGGCGGAATTTCAAAAAGTAATGGTACCCCTGTTTAGGCAGCTTTCAAAGTGCGTGAGTAGCCCTCATTTTCAAGTAGCAGAACGCGCCCTATACTATTGGAACAACGAGTACGTTATGTCATTGGTGGCGGAAAACGCAACGGAAATACTCCCATTAACGTTTCCATCGTTGTATAGAAACTCGAAGAGCCACTGGAACAAAACCATACACGGTCTCATCTATAACGCTTTGAAATTGTTTATGGAAATGAATCAAAAACTTTTCGATGAGTGTACGCATCATTATCGACAAGAGAGGCAAAGGTAAGAAATATAGCTAATTGTTGTTGTTTGCAATTTAGGTTTTATAATACAATCGTGATATTACAATAAATAGGTCGGTCTTTTTAACTCTCTCCGTCCAAAAATAATGATATTCATTTGCAATTCTAGCGTAGAATTTTATTTTCATTAACATATATTTCAATTAATGTTGTTTTGCGTTTTCTAGGACTTTTTATGAATACATTAATGAAACTGGTACCGTCCCTGACGACAGACTTAACTTATTGATGTAAGAAATCATAAAATTTTGCACCTTTAAACAATGTGGTTAATTCTGTAAACTTGTGTAATAACCGAAAATGGTATTAATTGAATTTTGGTCTCCTTTGTTAATTATTAATGATATTTTTGGACGGAGGGACTATTAGTTTTAATACAGTTGCTTCAGTTTCTTCAACATTCGTTAAATTACTATAATAATTAATTTGTGTCATTATTTCATAAAGATAAAATTATTAACAGGATCATTGGTTTTAAGAATGCCCAGGGTGTTTATTTGTTTTATGAATTCATTAAAAAAACTTATTTTTTTCTTATTTGTTCATTTCACAACAATAAAAAAAGTAGTTATCATTTTAACATTAATTTTTGAAATGACACTTTAGTATTGATTTTAGTAAACTGTTTTTTAATTATAATTTTTTGTATTTTTTTTTTTGAGTAGGGAACGTGAACGACAATATGAACGTGAACGATTTTGGAATAAATTAGAAGATTTAGCAGCGAATAGTCCGGATTATGAGGTGCTCAAAATGAAAGAAGTGGATAATGAGGACATAAATAACGTCGCATGCAGTCCGAACGATGATGAGGAAATTTGTAGTCTCGCTAAAATTGAACAGGAAGCGCAAGAGGTAAATCACATATCCAATACTAATCCGTTTAAATTTTGCGATTATAAAAATTAGACAAGCTGATTACAAAAAAAGTTTTTTTATTAAAATTAAAAATGCAACAGCAAAATAAAGGAAACAAACACAAAACGGCGACGAACAATATTTTTGCGCTCTGCTAAAGCAGCTATATTTTGAATATAGGGAATACATGCTGCCTAAATATTTATATATGATTTTTAATTTATTTCTTTACGCAGCATGTTTAACATCCTTTTAACGCCAATTTTTTTATTTTAAAGTTTTGAGGATTTTTATTTGAGAATATGGGACTGATTATGATATTACAAAAAAGAAACTATAATAATCCCATAGAAAATGAGTGATTGAAAAATAGATTCATTGGCAATATCAATATTTATTACATTACACATTATTATTAAAAAATATAAACTTTGGTTTTATTAATCCGTACGACGGCGACGTATTATTAAATAGAATTAAATATTTCTTGTATGTGTTAAGAATAAATTTTTTTTCAATCAATCATTGTCGATATCTGGGTATTAAAAACTGTTGCTGTTTCCGTTGCTAGAAAATAAGCAAGGGTAATAAAAAAAGTAAAAAAACCTATAGCTTGTAAATGTGATAGGCGATGCCTACTTTTATAATTATTAATATGATGACGTGATATTTATACAAATTAAATCTTGATTTTTTTTTAGTTTTTTAATTTAATTTGATCAATGGTATAACGTGTAATTGATTAGAAATTAGAAGGAAGAAATAATAACGAATTAGTTAACCTTAAAATGAAATTAATATATGGGAAATCAATGTTAAATTGGGGGCTACTTCGTACAAATTATAGTTATTTTTTCTTTATTATTTTTTGGCTGTTTGTATACATAGATGTACTTGTTACAAGATGTATATACGTGTAAACGTACGTGTTTGTTGTGATGTAGCAATTTTAATGAAGAAAAATACAAAAACTCTAAAATGTGTATAGAGAGAGAAAGATTGTGTGCAGAGAGAATTAATGTAGTTGATTAACAAAAAAAAATAATTGAGAAGTTAAACAAAACAAAACATATCAGCCCTCAACAAACGCTTGTTTATTTTGAGAAAAAAAATCTTTACTCTTTAACGCATAATATTTATTTTATAATTTTTCTTATCCTATTTACTCCTACAATGTGATTAATATTTCATTAGTGACAGTACAGTAAAACCTCGATTAATACAAATATGAAAAATTTTTAATTTGCACTTTAGGCTATTTGAATGAATAATTATTTTAATGCACACAAATTCGAACAGCTATAGCAAAACGGGGTTGGTTTTGTGTTTAATCTACCTAGCTTTATATTTATATCAAGGCCGGTAAAATCTAAGATTACTGCTACATCCTAGGAACAGGTGTAGAGCTCGAAGGCCCGTTCGTGACGTCACTTATAAACACTAACACTAGACTTATATCCGAACCCGAATGTTTCTAGTTCTAGATGTAGTGTTCTAGTTTTAGTTCAACGAAAAATATACAATAATCTAACGCTGAATAACAACTAAAACTAGAACTAACATTACCATTAGAACTATCACTGAACTAAAAACATAGAACTAAAAACATTCGAGTTTAAACCCGAATATTTCTAGTTCTAGGTTTAGTTCAATAAAAATATACAACAATCTAGCGTTGAATAACAATTAAAACTAGAAGTACCGTCCTTAATTTATACATCATATAGACAACTTGGGGAATAACCCGAGTTGGATTCTATTCATGAGTGCTAACATTTATATTTAAATATACTGATGTGTTAAACAGATAATATTAATAGTATAACTTAAAAATATTAGTATTATTATCAAGGTTTTACTGTAACTTAATTGGATTTACTTGGATTAAATTTTACCTTACTAAATTTCTTTTAGTATTAAATAAGAGTTAAACAATACATAGTAATTTTACAAAATATATTTTTATAGTGCGTTAAAGGGTTTGTTTTAATAATACTCAATCCATCTTTTTTCGTTTTCTTTTTAAACCATTTTTATGCGGCTTCTTTTTATTAGTCTTTAATTTTTCTTTAACTAAGCTCACTTTTATTAGTAATAAAATAAAAGTCATGGTCCAAAAATTAATAATTACTTTGAAAGTTTATCTGAACATTGTACCTTATTATAACAGACATATTTTTTCAATAACTTTAGAAAGATATATGCCAATACTCATAGTTAGAAAAATGAGAATATGATAAATTTTAAGGAGAAAGATTTAAAAAAGAGTTATTATTTGAAAATGTGTAGAGAAAGAAAAATCGAAAGAAATTCTGTTCTAAATTCTCTTATTTTTAAATCGAACCCTTGGAATGTAAGGTACGTTTAAAACAAAAACAACATCGTTTTTATTGACATTGTTTATTCCTTGCGATTAGTGTTAATTTTTTTTTACCAAACTCAAGAAAAAAGTTGGAGTGTATTTGTCCATTTCATCAGTTTAGACTAATAAACAAATAAAAATCTTTTCAAAATTTAACTTCAAACATGACTCATATCCTAATGATGCCAAAATCTACAAAAAAACTAATTTTATTTGTTTATTAAGGAAACCATACACATAACCTTACTTATTTACTTCCTTTTTCATTTTGTGTTTGTGTTTTTTGTGTAATCTATTCGCAAAAATTTTCGAAAATGCAGGAAACTTTATGATGACTTTTGCTTATTTTAGCGAATAGATAATAAAATAAATAAATATATGGTAATTTGTGTATCAAAAGTATTATCTTTGATGATTGAGAGAAATTGTTATTGGGAAAACCAATTATGATGAGGGTGAAGTATGAAAAAAATTTTATTACGTAATTAAGTTAAGTTAATATAATTCATCATATAGTACATGACTTAGGAATCCCGGTGGGTGATGTCAATTTGAAGAAGCATAAGAGCAAAATTAATCTTTTACTACCTTAAAATTACCAGCAGATCTCTGCAATTCGGCTATATATGTTCAGATCGGCATTTATTTCTGGAAAAGATCACTTTCATCTGCATTCTACACTCAGGAATATATCCTTTATCTTTAATAATCTTAGCAAAGTCCTGGAGGGATGTTTTTACCGCCGTTTTATCCACTACAGTTTCGCCTTTAATTTTTATATTATAAACCTGTTCTTATACAATCTCTATATTTAGTTGATTAAGAGATGAACTGATTAGCTTGTTGTCTTCAATCTGTTAATATAGGCGTACTTCTTTGTACTTGATGGCATTTCTATTGTTTTCCTTAACATTATCTCTTGTATATGATAATAATTTTACACATACTTTCCAGAACATACTGACTTCTTAATTAATTTCATTTCTTTTGATTGTCTTGTTGGTAGCTTCATGTCCATTTTCAAGGCGATCCAAAATTTGAATTTTAAAATGTAAATAAAACACTTTCCTTTTTCTTTTGGTTGATGAGGCGTAAATACTTCAGTTGTAACTCACTACATACTTTTATTCTACTGTGCATGGAAAAAATAGTAAGATACACGATGAAAAGCTTGCCTAGGATAACCTCTTTTAAACGCACAGTACCGAATTAGTTCTAATAAAGAGATATGATTAAGTGCACAAATTTTACTTAGATTTTTCATATACTCTTAATCCATCCTGTGAATTGTAGGGGGTGGGTGTATCGTGGGTATTCAGGGGAAACTTTTGCAATGGTTTGTTTCCTATCTGAAGGAGAAATGCCAGATTGTTTCGGTTAATGGTTTTTTCTCTAATCCTGTGTCGGTTCCTTCTGGTGGCTCTTTGCTGCATTGGTATGTTGCCTTGGGTGTATATCAATAGTTATCTATTTAAATATCTATATACAAAAACCAGTAACAGAGCAGCAACAATAATGCCAATAAAGTCGGAAATAATTAATTTTTTAACAATATACTACTATTACAGTTAAGGTAACAGATCTTTTATAAATCATTTTTGAAAGCCACATTGACAGATATCATTTATTACATTCTGCCTCAGTATCCTACACAATATTATATTTCCTTCCCTTTTTTATACCAAGATCATAATGAGTTATCTTAACAGTCTTGATTCGCCTTGGCTAAAATGTCTCTCAACCGTCAATGATAAATATTGTACCCTTGATACATATAAATCATTATTTCCTTACACCATAATAAAATTAGAATATTTTATTATAACATTATTATGAAATATATTTTTCTAGGCACGTAAAATTCGTAACACAAACAAACCTCTGGTACGTCGCAAATCCGAATTGCCACAAGATCAATACACTGTGAAGGCCTTAAATGAACACAAACGGGCAGACGAGTACCTTGTAACCCCACCAGATGTCAACAAGTGCTAGTCTACTCAAAAAAAAAAAAATTATGAAATGAAAAGTAAAGTAAAAATTGAAATTAAAAGAAAGATAAGAAAAAATAATGATTATAAAGTTTATAGAGAAAAAAGAGAGAGGATAAAACTAATCATTGAATAAAACTACAACGTTCTTCTTTAGTGAGCTTAGTGCCAACAAATTTCCACTACGTTTTTATTTTTGTTTTTCGATCTATTCTTCATCTACTTTTACATTCATCCAATTAAAACTAGATATGAAAAACCGGAAATAAAAAAAATAAAATAAAATTATAATAAATAATATAAATAGAAAAAAAGAAGGAAAAACTCTTTGTTAATTATCACTCTATTTTTTGTTTTATTTTAATGATAGTTTAAAAAGATGTCTATATTTTAATTTTTGTTCAAGAGATTTTCATTCTTTTATAGATTTTTTTTTAAATGTATTCAATTTTTATTGACTCACATTATTTTAAAAACAATTTTATTAATCTGATTGATTGATTGATTCGATAAAAGTTGTAAACATTTTTAATGTAAACTTTGAATTTTTTCTTTTTTTTATGTATAAAAATACGTTGTTATAATAACGAAACTTGCATCATTAAGCTTTATTAAAATAAAAATAAAGGAAGTCGTTCAATACAAGAGAAAATTCTAGGGAGTCATGAGTCATTATTAAACTATAATAAAGTTAAATCAGTTAAAAGTTTGTTTTAGAATATTCAGTTAATCAATTGATTATCTACTTCATTAGCTTTACACCAAGTTATTTAAAAAATATAATTCAAAAATGGTTTATTTAAAAACCACTCATTTTAATTCTTAGTCACATGATATTTTTTATATTGATTATTAATAAAAAAATAATCTTAATACTTGATTATTACTTGGTTAATTGAATATTTTCAACAGAAACATCGCCAGTAATAAGTAATAAAATAAAATAAAATCATGGCTCTTTAGAATTAAATTATGAATCTCATTTATTATTATAAAAATTTTAAAAAAATAGTTATTATATAACAACATATTTCCATAATTTTTAACTATTATTATAAATGTATAATGTAAAAACCCCTGCTAAAGTTAAAGTTATTACAAAAAAAAAATAAATATTTTACTAATTATTAATTTTTTTTCATTTTGTTTTATTGTAAAATAATTTGTATGGCACTGTTGCTTTTAGTGTTCTTCTTTATAAAAAAAAGTAAAGTAAATATTCATCAAAAATTGGGTATAAAAACACACACACACATGTAAACTTGTAGGAGTTAGTTTGTATTTGCAGGTTATATTAGTAATTCGAAATGGAACAAAAAAGAAAACTGAAAACGCATATTTAAAAAAAAATCGTAAATATATATAAAAAAAACTTTTTATTACTACTATTCTCAATACATTCAACAAAATAGTGTTTAAGGCAATTTATTAAGAATTTATTATTATTTTACTATGTACTAAGTCTTAGTTGAATCATCTATAATGTGTATATATTATATATAAATTAAAAAAAAGTGTGTTGATATTATTCTAGACAGTATTTTTTTAATGTACAGCTTTGCTTTGTGAATGACAAGAATAATTACAAGAGGAAACATTATTATACGATGAATGGTGAAAATACAAATACTTGAAGGAGATTTTTATGGTTTTATTTTTCCTTAAACTATAATTTTACACAATATTTATACTAACATTTTGTTTTATCTAATTTACATGCACAAGATAGATGGTCGTCAACTTTAACGCAATTATTGTATGTTAGAGGAGGCTAATTTAATCCATACCTGTTTTGGCTTTTGTGCCTATACAAGTTGATTTTCAAAAAAAGATTCCCACTTTTTGGATACTTACGTGCATCAATTAAGAGCCTGGAACGGTAATCATTCTTTATAGCTGATAACTTTATCTGCTGAGGTAATAAGTTTTATTTCTGATACACTTTTCCTTTTTTTTAATTTTTTTAGCTTTTTTAAGAAGTAAAACAAAATGAAACAAGTAAAATTAAGATGCACAACAAAGTATGTAAAAAATAAAGCTGTCGAAATATAACTGATATCAAGATAAGAAAGCAGATGGAAGAAATACATGAAGTGTTAAATAAGTAATTTTTATGTTTTCTAATTATTTCTATTTTTAATGAATATTAAAACTTATTTTCAATTACCAGGCCTACTAGAAAAGTGTTTGGTGCTACATTTCTGAAAAATTATAGTCGAACCATAAGTTCTTACTGCACTTTTGTGCAGTAAGAACTTATAGTAAGTGTGCACTTGGTGTATCTGGAGTGAACAAGGATATTAGTTAAATTGGATACAAGTCGTACAGTTGACATGGATAAAGGAAAAAATATTCAAAAATAATAACAATGTTTAACCCTGCTTTCTGTTATGCGTGAATAGAGAAAAACATTGAACTTGTTTATACAAGAGTATAAATCAACCTCCTAGTGCAGTACAAAGATGGCTTTATTTTCTGTTTCTTCTTAAAGTGATCAAAATAGTGAAAATGAAATATAGGAAAGGTTTTAAGTCAATTCGAAGATGTATCCAACAAAAAACAAGATAAGTACAAGAATTTACCTTTTTTTTTTAAAGAAAACTAACAGTATAAAACTAGAACTAACACTAGATCTAGAAATTCGAAATTCGTTTCGAATGCTATGTTGCAACCTTTTTCAGAAACAAGTTTGAAGTTCCTTTCTTATCTTAAACTTAGGTCTCTTGCTATCTAGTAGGCAATCTAGCTGACAAATACTAGCCGGTTGGCGACGAATTTTTATGCTCACACTAAACTGATTGATGGCTGACAGTAGCAGCTTCCACAACTCGCGGTTGGCAAGCAGCTTAGTGTGACCCGCGCTTTACACTGTTTCATCTTAACTACCAGCCTCAGGATCCATATTTGTTTAAGAACTACACTCAATGAAATTGAAATATTGCACTCAGGAAGGTTTAGACACACTAATTATAGCTAGTAATCTAACATCCACACATGAATATAAAAGTTTTATATTAATGCTATCAGCTCACACTATAAATAATGGTTAAACTTACCAAACCAGTCACTTAGGCACACTTTTACCACCTCTTGATAAGTTAAATAAATAATAGACAAGTTTGGGAAAATTAAAACTACTTATTGTAAGGCATAATAATGTTTAGACTCATTTTTAGGAAATAATTTTAGTTGAATAAAAAAATTTATTTAATCAATTATTACATCAACTTTTTTCTTTTTACCTTCTTTCTTCTCATTCACTTTCTTCATTTTCTTTTTCCTCTTTTTAACATTTCCAGACTCCAAAATAACCTCCATTTTATCAAACATATCATCATATTCTTCATCAATCAGTATTTTATCTTTATCATCATCTTCGCTGTTGATATCTTCATTACCCTTGACAGCTGGTTTTATTAAAACCTTTGTAAGGGCTTGTTTTAAATATTCCTACAAAAATGTATTAAATAAGAAGTTGTTTTTTAAGACAATTTATAACTTTAATTACCGAATGAATTGATTTTCCAGTTTCTAGGTTATGTATCCGTAAAAATCGATCAAAACTCACACTAAACATATATGGACTGTATGGTTGTGGAACTATACAAGAAATACCACCGGATATGTTAGGAAATGTTCTTATTGGTAAGTTTGGTTTTGCAAAATCGAATATTTGCAAATAACCACGGGAAGTACCAAAAACAAATTGTTTTTCTTTATGAATACTTGCGATTGCTGTAAAATTATTATCAGGTTTTAAAATTTTTGAGACTGGTTTTCTTTGTGCTCTTTCATCATAAAGTAATAAATGTCCCTCTCGTGTACAGCAAGCGCTTAATTTGTCATCACATTCAAAAAATGTTATTCCTCGAATTGTTGTAGGAATTGGTAAATTTAAATTATCATGGCCTAACGATTTCGCTTTAAAAATACATTTTTTAGCTTCAATATCATATACTTTAAAATCATTCCTTTCGCCGCCTATTCCAATAATGTTTTTTCTATTAACATTATGTTTCATACAATCTAAACTACCATCAGAGTCTATTTTAAAACTATCATGAAATTTATCTGTCCAAATATTTATATGTCCACTATTTTTAGCAATAACTATTTTATCAATAACAGCTTCAGCCCCAACTATAGATCCAGTTCCGATTAAATCATCTTCAGGAATTTTAAAAAATTTTGATTCTTTTGTATCATATAATCTAACAATTCCATTTTTATGACCAATTATTATTTCGCGACTAGTTCTACCCCATTCCATTGATGTTATTTCAGCATCTTTACTAGCATGTTCTAATTGATATTTTGCACATTCTCCAGGTTTACATTGAGTATCTACAAAAATATTGTAGTTTAAAAATATATTGCTATAGAAGTAGAATGGAGACTTACTTCCTATAACACCTCTTTCCGTACCAAAATAAACGTCGTATTTTCCGGATATTTCCATTTTAATCAAGATTTAACAGAATTAGTAATCATAACCTAAAAAAAATATGTAAAGAAATTGAGGTTATGTATATAACTAACTTCACGTGTCCTAGACTTTTTGATTAAATTAGTTTATGTTCAGATGGATAGATGGCACTACTAAATTTCATTATACAATTAATTATTATATTATTATTAATAAGAAACGATTTGTTATAACAAAAATTTTAATTTACTTATATTTTCTTTCATATCTTCAATTTAAATTCTCTAATTTGCATTAACCTCAATTTACATTTACAGATTCCTGTAAATCTAACCTAAAAAAATTTTAATTTTCACATTAATAAAAATGAATTGGATTACAAGATTTAGTCGTTTAACGATTTCAAATCAACCCTTTCTAATTAAAAATCAGATTAACCAAAGATATTTTTCGTTATTTCCCCGATTACAGCTCAAAGAAGGTAATATTTTAAAAAATAACCTCAACAATTTAATGCAACATTTTTGTTTAGTTTTTGAGGAAGAAAAAGGTAACGAAACGATAATATCAGCTAAATACGTTGATTCACCACGAGAAAAATACTTGCTAAAGCCCGAACATTCTGGAGCATGTGCTTTATGTAGCAGTGGGTTGGATGTAAAACATACTGATGTGCTTATTTTAAGTCAATTTGTCAGGTCGGATGGGTGTATGTTACCCAGAAGAGTCACTGGGTTATGTAGGAAACAGCAAAGAAAGATTTCTGCGTTAGTTACGATGGCTCAAAAATCAGGTAAGTTAAAAATATGCATAAATAAATTTGTAATTGATTAATTTTTTTATAAGGTTTAATGCCTAATTTAGCTCCAAGTTACAGCAAGAAAGATCCAACTAAGAGATTTGGTTGGAAAAAGTATAATAAATATTTTGATGAGAGTACAATTAAAACTTAAGATTATTTATTTTTTTGTTAAATTTTCTGTAAATCCACTCAAATAAAAACACAATAAAACTTATTAAATATCCAGTGAGAAGAAGAAAAAATGGAGCAGAAAAGCTTTTCCATGATAAACCACTAGCAGTAGAAGAATCAATCATAAAAGAATTACTTTTTGTTATTGATTTTCCAATTAATGATCTATACCTAAAAAAAGTTAATTAATAAAACACATAAAACAAATTACGTTTTACCAATGTTCCACAATTCCAGCTGAAATTAAAATTTGAAAGGTTGATGAAAAACGGTGTCGATAAGGTGCTCCAAGACGTAAAGGCCAAGCATGTACACTAGGAAACAATTGTTGCTTTACCAATCGAAATCGAACCATTTCATTTGGTCCAAATAAATCACGACAAGTATTAAAAATCTATGACAAATCATTAAAAAAGATTGTTTAAAGATGATTTTAGTTATTTACAATGAAAGGCATCGCCGTTTCTTCATCAAATACAGCAACTTTTTTATTAAAAGTCTTTTTAACTGCTTCACAAAAATCTAAATCATCAAAACAACGATCAAGTAAATCTTTATAACGTTTATCAATCGAATTTAATAAACTTTCTTTCAAAACGGTCCAATCTTCAGTATTAACCTTAAAAAAATAATCATTCAGTAGGAAATTAAATTAATTTTATATTTACTTGGAAGGAATAACCTTGATTATACAAATCGATAACGGTATTTGGTTCCAAAATTTTCGGTTTAATCATTGTTGAAGCTAATTTACTTTTATAGGCTGTTGTTAATATAATTGACGCTAAAAACCATACCGAAAGTATTAATCGTGTGGTAATTAAGTTTAATTTTAATCTGGGTACAGTTTGATCGATGATATTCCGAAATGGTATCTAAAATAAATTTTTATTCGTAGCATAGTGATAATAGAAAATGTTTGAAGTTTTTTACACGCATAAAGGTGTAAAATTGATTTTTTTGAATTCTTTGTGAAACTCCCAAAATAAATCCAACTAAAATTAATAAAAGTATCAAAAAAAACCATGAAGTGATCTCAAAAGGTCTTAAAATTCCATGAAGATCTTCTGGTTTTGTTTCGGAAACGGTATAAAATGCTGTATAACTTTCCATGTGTAGCATTGTTGTAAAATCAGCTAGTTGTAATCGTTCTAAGGATGTTGATATTCCACCTATTGCCCAATCTCTTTTTTCAAAATGTACCTAAACAAAACAAACAGATTTACAAAATTTTACATATATTATGGACATAAATTTAAAGACAAATATCAATAAACAAAAACACAAAGAAATAAAAATATACCAAACTAACCAATGGTAACAAGTTTGTTCAGAAATCAAGGAAGACAAAGAGATACTGGAACAAGAGTAAGAAACTCTACCTCCCTTTTTCATTCAATCTTATTCCACAAAATCGAAACAGCACACTTATAAAATAAACGCACAGCAGAAGTCTTCTTGGACATCAACAAGACTTTTGACAACGTGTGGCATAAGGGAATAATTTACAAAATAAATCTTCAAAATAACTCTCCCTACATTCAAACAGAACATGGTAAATTGAGACCATCGGATAACATAAAACATCTAGGTATGATTTTGGACAAGAATCTACGTCTTAAGAAACTCTTCAAAGAAAAACAACTAGAAGCAATAAGGAGAGCAAAATATTTTCGATGCTTAACGTACAAGAATAAAGAAATTTCCACTAAAAGGGCCATACATTGGATTATGGACATGTTCTAAATATTACATTATCAATAAAACAGAAAGAAGATGTTTAAGAGTAATAACAAAGATGCGCTATCCGAATAATCCACTACGGCAATCTGAACGGCAGTCCTGGATCGAAAACGAAAATTCTCTGGTTCAGGCAGATATTTGGATATTGACAGATGGATCAAAAACGCAGGAAGGGGTGTGGGCAGAAGTACACAGCCAGCCACTCCGTATTAAGCAACCTTACAACACAGAGTAACCAGAAATGACACTGACGTCGATTCGTTTGATGTTGCGGCATCTCGTTTTGTGACCTCGATAATTTACCACCAATAGCAGCAATACCTTGGTGACCCTCCATAATATGGCGTCAGTTTTGGTGAGATACCCTCAGTGTCACTCCTGGTTATTCTGTGCTTACAGCCTGGGTAGTACTGTACTGTATTCCAGGCGGAAGTATTTGCTATTGACATGGATGCTAAAATCCTTCTTGGGAGAAGGGCGAAAAACAGTATGATTTTTCTCAGACAGTCAAGCCGCTTTCCAGGCTAACGACTGTAAAAGAACTTTAAACACTCTGAGTTGTGATAACAGAGTTTCTCCGATCTGGAGTCCAGGTTTCTGGGGTTGCTGGCAATGAAGCGGCAGATGAGCTAGCACGAGAGGGCAACGTTAAATCGTTTGTGGGGCCAGACCCAGCAGTTGGTATATCATTTGCGATGGCCAAACATAGGATTAGACTGTGAGCTGAAGTGAGACTTCGCCTATTGTGGACCAGTTCTGCTGAAATGAGACACGCTAAGTTGTTTATCAACATCGCCATTGTCAAACTCGGGAATATTTTAGGACTTGCTCGTTGCAGCATTAAAGTTTTAATGGATGTCTTTACTGGACACTGCCAGACACATCTCAATTTGATAAATTTAATCGGTGTACCTACCGATATATCATTTATGTAATGTAGTTACATAAACAGATATTTGCACACCTCATTATTAACAAAGATAACATTCTTAGGAGTTTTAGCGCAAAACTATTTGAGTATCAAATATCTGTTTTTGCATCTAAACGTTTTATTTATCACAATCTTACATCTTCAATCATTGTTCTCCAAAGTCCACCTCCAAGTTTAAATTCAGCTTTTCTCATAATAAATTTAAAATTAAGATATCCACTAAGTAACAATAAAATATTTCCATCGATTCCTTGAATATCACATTCGTTATTTAAATCGCTTTTATTTTTTTTACACCAAATAAATGGTTCATAAGGATAATAAGCGACGTGAAACAAATGTCCGTTAAAGTTATTAAATTTATTGCGATAATTTAAAAGTTTTTGATCTTGTTTTAAAGTTTGATTGATTTCTTTTAAAATTCCTGTTGCTTTTCCTACATAATAATGCACGTAATATATAATATCCAATTGAATGTCGTAAATAAAAATGCAGCCGCATTTATCTAAACCTTTTTGATTCCAAATATAAACCATTTTTACATGGTTCTCGTTAACATTTTTTAGTTGTTTAAAGTCTTTTCTTGTCATAAATAGAACGATGTCGTTAAATTCCAAGTTAAATTGTTGATTTGAAAATAATTCGAAGTAAAATGGGTTTTGTAAAAACACCAAGTGAACGTATTTGTGTCCAATGGGTCTTTTTAATAAATTGGCTTCAAAATTCTCGTTGTTGTAGTTGTACTTAACTAAAATGCATGGTGTTAAATAAGAAAAACTTAAAAAATCGATTAAATCATTTTTTGTGTAATCGTCGAAATGAAACATGATTTCATATCCAGGAAATTCTTTTAATATATCAATATCTTTTAACGATGTTTTTGAAACTTCCTGTATCGGTAATAACTTTTGATGGGAAAATTTTATCGATAATATTAAAATTAAGACGTTTTTAAATGCTTTATCCATGATTATTTTGTATTACTAAGTTTTTCCTAAAATAAAAAGATTTATTGATAATCTATGCTGTGTGAATGAGGTGTTTATTATAATGTCAGAAAAGAATTTTTGGGGGAGTAAAACATAGGCGAAAATGATGGGTTTTGAATTATTAAAAGACGGAAATGTTAAGGGTGAAAGATAAAAAAAAAGGGAAGAAAAATAATTGGAAATTGGTCTTGTCCCGTTGAATATTTAATGGTTTATCTGTGTTTGCATCTTATTTTGAATTAAATTACTTTATGTCCGGTCGAGCGATTCACTCCCTAAAATCTTTTTTAACAAAAACATCAAAATAAAATCCACAAATTCTTCAACAATTTTATTTAAATGATAAACTAACATATTAACTTCAACATTGTCATAATTATTAACATGAATTTCCGGTAGTTTTAAATTTCTGGTTACAATTTCTTGATGTTGTTGGAATATGAGGTTGGCGACAAAAGATGGATTTACTACCTACTTCCTTCTGGTTTTTATTCTGGCAATTTCCAAAAATCTTCTTAGCGGTTTCTATTTTGGTGTGGACGAAATCTTCAATATAACTTTCAGCCACCGTCTACGAACGCCAGACCCATGGCGCTTAACATCTAGAATGTTACCTCCATGGATTGCCAAATTAAGGAAATACGGTAACAATGGCCAGTATACGATGAAGAATTTGGGAGTCCTAAATAAATCGCAATTCTTGACGGTAAAGCTCCAAACGTGTTGCTGAATACTGCACTTTCCGTTCTTGAAACAAACAAAAAAATCTATCGTGATTGGTATCTGCATGCCGTAAAGCTGCGTATTCGAAATAAACCAAGAAAAATTAGTTCGTTGTTTATAATTGTTAATGTTCTTGATGACCCTGCTTTAGTCTTGTTCAATTTAATAAGCAATTCAAATCTTCGTTAATTTTTAAGAATGTAAGTTCTTGACATCGACAAGCTCCACCAATTTCTACGATGAGAGCCACATGAATATTTAATAAAATTAGAAGGAAAAAATTTGCTATTTAACAGTTTACCTTAACCATTAAATACATTTCATGTAGTGCGTTCTGAATGAATTCTTCAACTTGTTGTCTTGGCAAAACATTCCATTTCTTAGGTTTATGGTTTTTATATTTTTGTTTTAAAAAAGCTGCAAGCCGTTTTTAATTACAAGGATAGTTTTCAACATTGAGTAAAATGTCCATAGAGAAGCTGCTGGATATTTTTCTGATTTTTCCAAAAAATAGGCAAGATAACATCTTTGGAATAAAAAGGTTATGTTTATGAAGTATGGGGATGGAGACAACAAGGTTTACGGAAGGATGTACAAATAAGGTATTGGAGATGGGTACTAGGATTGGTGAGGGAGACTCTAGGGTATATTGTGAGGGAAGAGGTTAAGGTGGATGCAGTAAGGGTGGAAGCTGGGAGAAGAGCAGTGAAGTACGAGAAATGGATTGAAAGAAGACCGCATTGCAGAATCCTGGGAGAGTGCTGGAGAGAAATCAAGGAGAGAATGTTGATATATAGGGAAGGATATTATAAGAGAGTGGGATATTCACTAAGTGAGATCGACAACAGAAGAGTGGAGAGAGAGGAAATATAGAGAGAACTGATGGATAGGGACAGAGACATACAAAGGCAGGAGAGAAAGGAAGGGAGATGTAATGTAAGGTATGGGCAGATAGCGACAGAGGAACTGCCAAAGTATCTGTTGATGGAATAAGGAAGGGAAGAGATTGGTGGCCAGATTCCACTATGGCATTGAGGAAAGAGGGAACAGGTACTGGGCGGAAGATGAAGAGAAGTAGTGGAAAAGATTGGGAAACGCTGGAGCACTTGTTGAGAGGTTGTAGTGAGCTAAGGGAGGCGGCAGATTTGAGGTGATGGCAAGAAATGGATGTGAGAGGTGATTCCAAGGGAAATAAAACTTCATGACATACAGTGTGTGGACACAAAATATTGCCGCGGGCCACAAACGCCTTCATTACGCCCTTAATACATAAATAACTATTATAATTCTGCTAAAAAATCAATTAAAACAGCTGAAGTAAATAAAAAAGAAACTTTTAATTCAATTTATTTTATTTAAAAAACATACAAAAATTTATTTTAATTTATAAATATTTGGCAAACAAAAACATATGAGAGATCTTATCAAATGCAAAAAAGATACTGTTACGTATAAATACAGAGAAATACAAACTTTTCATTTTATTTAATGAGAACACCTTTTTCTTTAGAGATTACCAGAGAGATTTCTTGTACAGAGATACTGTTAGTTTTAAATCGTTCTTTTTTAAACTAAATAAACTAAAACAAAAAACTAGAATGAAAAAACCTTAAATCTAAATGGCAAACAATTTTTTGTTAATCAATTTTCAACATTATTTATATGAATCTAACAATAATTTATAAAAAATAGTTAATAATTATTCTGAACACATTAAATAATTATTGGTTTTAAAATATTTAGTTACAAACGCTCGTGCTTGTTGTTGAGTTACTTCGTATAACCCAATATCTTCAAGTTTTAATATGTATCCATACAAAAACGTCGTCCTCACTGTGTTTAATAAAGTGGTAGCAATACCATGTCTTCTGTGAGTTTCGTGAACCCAAAATAATTGTATTCCACATTTAATCACATAAGATTCTTTTGAACAATATGAAATATCTTGTTCAAATGATAACAATTTGTATGCTTTTGTTGAAGGAATAGTTAGGACACATCCGATTATGGTTTTATTTTTAATATAGAAATAAATCTAAAATTAAAAAATGATTAATTAAGAACGAAAATATAGAAAAAAATTAAAATTACCACTTTATTATCATTTTCAGTTTCCCAATCAACCCCTATCTCTTTATTTACTATTTGAAGGACTTCCTTAGCTTTTTTAAGCCATGCTTTTGAATCTGTTGATATGATTTTTATTATCCTACTGTTTTCATCTGTAAAAACGACTCTTTCATTTTTCCAACCCTAAAAAATTAATTAAATATCATTTATTGTAATTAAAATTTAAAAAATTTATAAATTTACCTTAAATTTTAAAACATTTGTCCCATTATGTACTTCCATATGGGCTTTTTCTTCGTTAATATCCCCCATACAATAAACCAATTCGCATTGTGGACATTTTGTAACTCCAAAACGTTTCTGTCCAGCATCTAACAACATTTGATCTGGAGCTATTTTGTCCCATTTCTTCGTTGTATTAACTTTTAAAGATCCATTCCCACCTTCATTTTCATTTAAATTGGTACCGCCTAATTTTCTAGTAAATATTGGAAATAATTTTTTATTATTTTCCATCATTGCTGTAGAGGAAGAAGAAACTTTATTAAAAACGTTCGTAATCGGTCTTTGCTTTAATAATTGATCATTCTTGTTCTCCAGCATATTATTAATATTTAATTTTGCACGTTTCGGACTGTTAATGGCCATTTCCGACGCCATATCGCACATTTGAGACGTCGGAGATAAAAGCATATCAGCTATTAATTGTTCGTGTTTTCGTTTTCGATCGTTTGATGGTTTTTCTTCGACTTTTTGTGTTTTTATATCGTTATCTAGTAAATTAAGTATGCTGTTGAGTTCTGGAACTTCAGGTTCTTCATTGAAATCATCAATAATTTGGGAAATAATTGTTTTGGGTTTATCTTCAATGTTTTCTTTGTTGTTTAACGTTTGTGTTAAGGGTTTAATTTGTTTTGGTAAGCCACTTTTTAATTCTTTAAGATCTTCCATGTATGCAATGAGTTGTTTTCCCTCCATAAGACTCATTCGAACGTGTTTTGGGGATATTTTTGTGGCTTTAACCTTTGGTTTTTTAATTTTATGCCCCACACCGGCATTAATTTGACCCAAAACGTTCCTTTTCTTTCGATTACACAAAAATAAAGTCGACTTTTTGACATTTCCATTCACTTTTCTAACCTCTTTGTGCTCGTTCACTTTCAAGGTATTGCAAGAAGCCTTTCTTTGCTCAACTTTTGGATAGAAAGACTTCGCAGGTAATGGATTTATTTCTATAAACAAAGCTGTACGTGCTTTCGGCGCTTTAGCATCATTTTTACTTTCGTTTTCACAATCAGAATCTTCTGATTGACTTTTTCTAGACAATCTTGGTAATTTGCTATTTGTTGTTGACGTATCTTGAGGTGTTAAAAGTGTTTTTGTGGGTGATTTATTCAAACGGCTGTGATAAAACGGTGACTGCGAATCAGAACATGTTGAATTGAAGTTTATCGGTGTCATTGACGAAGGTGTTAACGTTGATATATCGAGATTTTCTTCTTCTAAATCACAAGAATCATCTAACATAATGTAGTCTTCCATACGATTTGATGCAAAACAATTAGTGATTGATGGGGCTTCAGAGCTTGTATCGCTTAAAGGAGACATTGGCCCTAAATCACTGTTGTTGTCTTCATTATCAACAGGAAATAAGGCTTTCCGAAGAAAAGTCATTCGATCAGAATGCTCATATTTAGGTACGATTTGGTTTTTTTGATCAGAAGCCATAATAGAAACTATTCAAAATTAATTATTTATAATTCAAATACAATCCTATTGTTAATAATAACAGAAACTTACCTAAAAAATAGCAATTAAATATGAAAACAAACTGGTGAACACAAACTAAACCTAACCTATATTTAAATTAATAATAGAACGTTTAGAACTACGGAAATATCATTAATAGCTTCGTTTTATCTACTTTTCTATGTTAAATGAAGAGATTTCAACCAAAAACCGTTTAGAAAACGAGTTATCTGAAAAACGGTTAGAAAACAAGTGACTGCCGTTACTACATTTTTCTAACCAAAAAACCGACGATTGTTTACCGCCGGCGCGAACTTGTCAAATATGCCCCCATCAACCAATCAAATTCGATCTTGATCATTTTGACAACGACATCTATTATTATTATTTTTTTAAATTATTTTTTCCACATTAATTTATGTTTCTTTAATAACAAATAGTAATTAAGAAAATATAAAATGTATTCGACACTAACTCATTAATTTAACAATTGTAAATAAAAACAAATAGATATAAAAATGTAACTGACAAAATCATAATAATAATTATAATAAATAGATGGCGTTTTAGTGCTTTTTAAAAATTTAATCTCAAAAATAATAAATTCACCTTATTATTTTCTACAATTATTTAACAAGAAATAAATATTTCAAAAGGTATTTAATGCTTCAATATGTATTTTATCAATTTGTTAAGTAACCTCGAAGATACATTTCCTAATTATATTTATATAGATGTCCCACGTAACTGCTTCGTCAGAACTATTTTTAGATTCCACTATTCGTACAATTTTGAAATTTTGGTAATGCTAATCGATTCTGCGAAACTATCTATCTAATATACTTCAACGTCTTCAACCCGTACTAACAAAATTTCAAAAATCGTACGAATAATGAAACCTAAAATAATTCTAACGAATCAGTTACTGGGACACCTGTATAAATATAATTAGGAAATTATTATTGCTTTTTAAAATTATTTTTTCTACATTAATAAATTTTTTTTAATAATAAATAGTAATTAAGAAAATATAAAATTAATTCGACACTAACTCATTAATTTAACAATTATAAACGAAAACAAATAGAAATAAAAATGTAACTGACAAAATCATAATAATAATGATAAATAGATGGCGTTTTAGTGCTTTTCAAAAATTTAATCTCAAAAATAATAAATTTACTTTATTATTTTCTACAATTATTTAACAAGAAGTAAATATTTTAAAAGGTATTTAATTCTTCAATATGTATTTTATCAATTTGTTAAATAACCGCGAAGATGTATCCTAATTATAGTTATACCGGTGTCTCACATAACTGATTCGTTAGAATTTTTTTAGTTTCTATTTTTCGTAAAGTTTCGAAATTTTAATAGTACTGGTCGAAAGTATATTAGATAGAACGTTTCGGATTTCGGATAATCGACCCGCATTATCAAAATTTCAAAACTTTACGAATCTAAAAAGTTTTGACGAAGCAGTTACGTGGGACACCTGTATATTACGATTATATTTAAATATTCACTTTTGTAATTAACTCAATTTATAATTAAAATAAATGTATTGTAATTTTCAGTGTTTAAGCATTTCAGTACACATTTTTAATTGTTTGTAATTTTAGCAAGAAAAGTTGTTATAAATAAACTGTCAAAATTCCCATGAAAATATAGGTTATGTTTGCAAGTCGTTTTAATTCGCTTTAAGGGTTCTTAAATAATCAATAAGCATTGAAAACATATTAAAAGGTAATAATACAACTTAATTCTTAACTTAATTTCTATAATTTGATAATGCTTTAGGCTTAGAAATCACATAATGACTCATAAATAAAGTATCCTAACCTCACAAATATTCCAAAACAAACAATTTTATATTAATTTTCTTCAGATGGGTGATCGATACAACATTCACAGTCAATTAGAACATTTACAATCAAAATATATAGGGACTGGACATGCTGATACGATAAAATACGAATGGTTAGTAAATCAACATCGGGATAGTTGTTCGAGTTATTTGGGACATCCCGATCTGTTAAATTTCTTTGCAATATGTGAAAATGAGGCGAAAGCAAGGGTGCGGTTTAACCTGATGGAGAAAATGTTACAACCATGTGGTCCGCCACCAGATAAACCTGAAGATTAAATTAAGATTAGATATAATAAAAAAGAATTAAATTTTCAGACTTGTTTTATTATGAATAAAAATCGACCCTAAAATTAATACAAGATGGTGTATAAAAATTTCGATTAACAATATAATATTGTGACTAGCTTCTATAAGAACTTTCGGGGCAAATACGGACCAAATAAATAAATGTTGTCTTAACACAAATGCAATAAAAAATGTCACAGTTACGATCCAAAGGCGTTGTAAAATAAATAAATTCCAAGTCGAGGTATCATTAAACTTCCTTAAAACTAAAAGGTGTGATAATATTGGAAGACAATAAGTATGGCACAAAACTTGAAATGTCACAATTGGAGGGAAATAATCGTTTAAAGAAACAAAACCACTTGCAATATCAATGCTAGCTAAACTATTACTGTGACCTTGCACAAAATACATTGCCGTTCCCAACCATAAATGAGCAATAATAAACGTTTCCTTAGAAAGTAGTTGCTTTGATATGATCGTACTTAAAAATATTAACATTGGTGGTAAAACGATATTATGTGGCCTTAATAAAAGAGTTGATATCAACATAAATGTTGTTATAAGGTTTTCAATACAATTTTTCGTTGTTGTTGATTGAATAAGGTTTAGAATTATTAAAAACCAAATTAATTTTCCAAGATCTGGATTATTTAAATAAAATTTTAAAACAAAAATTAAAGTTAAAATTAGGAATGTAAAGTAATGTTTTGATTTTTGTATCTTTTTGCAACAATAGAATATTAACAGTAAACTTATAACGTAATAAAGACGTAAATAATCATAATTATTTTTAAAAAATTGACCCAAATCGGGTAAATGCGACCATTTATCTCCAGTTTGATTCAATTTTCTCATAACCCGAAAGATTATTAACATTAATACATTCGTCATAAACATATATTTAGATGATTTATTATCAAAAAAAATCGATTTAATTGTAATCGTTAACAATAACGAACTAAAATAAAAATACCAAGTTTGATGTTCTTCTTCAATAAAACTTGAAGAAGCCATCGAAACACCATGAACGATGTTTAACGAGAATATTATCATCACAATCGTCTTAATATTCAATTTTAAGTACTTACTTCCAATTATAATTTGATAAATAACTGTACTGATGATTAAGAAGCAAAGGAGTGATGATAAAAATTGATTTAATTGAAGTAAAAATGTCAACATTACAACAAAGTAAATAACCGCGCTATCTTTAAATTTAATTTTATAAGTTGATTGAGTAAATGTATATAAAAAACATGATGTGAAGCAAAATAATAACGCAGAACAACTTATTATTAACCCTGAATCATATTGCTCGATACTTTTTCTTATTAATTTTTGATTTAAATCACTTAAGCAAGATTTATATAATTTCAAGCTTTTTATAAATGATGAATTTGAATTCGATTTCAAAAAATCTTGATGATACTTAATTGATTTATTTAATTTTGGACACAAATTATTATCGTTTTGTAAATTTAAAACATTGTAATAATAAAAAAGCAGTAATTTTTCTTTAGTTAAAGATTTTTTTAACAAATTCATCGATAATTTTCCAATACTATTTTTAGGAAATTCTAATCCTAGTAATGATGAAAAAATAACTGGAATATCAATTTGATCGATTTTATCATTTTCACATTCGATTCCATTTAAAACTAATGGGACATGAGTTTCAGAGTATGTTGTGCCCCCGTGACCTCCACTATCCTTCATTCCATGATCTCCAGTAACAGCAAATAACACCTTTTTTCCATCAGAATTGATATTTCGATGAATTGTTTTAATAATTAAATCCATTTCTTGGAGTTTGGGTTGAATCAAGGAATGAAATGGCCCATAAATGTGTCCAATATGATCCAATCCTAAAAATTTTACTTTAAATTACTTTTTTTTTAATTAATTAAACGAATAAGTACCCAAATAATGCAAAATCATTATATCCCAATCTTTTAATGCAATTTCATTATAAACATTCCTTGTAACATTATCATCAACTTCACTAAAATCATTCACAAAAAATGAACTAGTTCCTTCACTTCGTAAAAACAAATCAGAATAAGCTTTTAACCACGTGTCATCACCATAAAACACAACCTTCTTTCCTTTTTTAACAGCTCCATGTAAAAAACTATCCTCCACAGAATCCACTCTCACCAAGTTTAAAACGACATCAATAAACTGAGGTACACTACCAGTTGTTAATGCTTTTATTCTTGGTAAAGTTACCGTTGGAGATTCCACTTTAACCAGACTCGAACAACCATTATTTTTACTTAAACTTGATAAATAAGGCATATTTTCCGGATTAACGAAATCATATCGTAAAGCGTCGATTACAACCAATACTAATCGGTCTATTGTGGGTTCACTTAAAGGTGTTAAATTGAAATTTGTTTGATTATGAAAGGACGGAGAGGAAGTATTGATTTTAGCGATTGGGAAAAATGAATACAGATATAATAGTATTGATAAGATACTTAGAACGTAGTAGGAAATCATATTTCTTCAATTTTTGTGTTTACATCATTTGCACATTACCGGGCTTGAAAAAAAGTGAGGTTAAAAATCAGGCTTATTTGATACAATTATTTTCTTTTACCATATTTAAATAAAACGCATAATTGTGTTATTTAGTATCACATATAAGAGAAATGTAAAAAAATAAATTTATAGCGATGTAAAATTCATTATTTACCACTGAATTCATGTAAAAACTCAATTTTATTATTTATCTGTGTAAAGTATAAAACAAGCCTTAAGTGTCAATGTCAAAACTTTAAAAATATAACCTCGAATAATTATCGGTCCGATTATTTTGGGTGTATTCCTAGTTTAAAATGGCAAACAAATACGAATGGTATGTTTTCATCGTCTTCTTATCATTAATAATAAATTGTTTTCTTTAAATCAGGAAAGTGAATACAAATTTGGATCAAAAAATAATCTCGGAGCCGGAGATGGCTGTGGTGGATGAACATCCTCTAAAAACCCCTACGGTAACTTACATTTCATTTTAAACAATCAATTACGATATTTTTATTTATTATTTTATTAAATTTTGAGGTTGAACGAATTCCTCGAAGGGTTTTGGGGTCACAACCAAGTACAGGTCGAACAACTCCAATATCAGCTCCATTAGTTATGTTAGATTTAAGTGCTGTTCTAGAGGGAATCGATCCATTAACTAAGTTTGCAATAGAAGAAATGGATCCTTTAACTCAAATGGCTACAGAAATGGTAGGTTTCAAATTATTATTTTTTAATGAGATTTAATATCTTTTTTGAATTGAGGCTGCTAAAGAACTTGATCCACCACATAAAAAGTTTAACGATAAATCTAAGGGTACTTTTCACATGGAACCTTGGAGTTCAAGAAAAAGTGCAATTTTATCTAAATTCACCACATCAGAAAAACTTACATTAATTACTAGCTTTTTATCAGATGGGGACAAAGGTAATTTTTTGATTTTCAAACCAATTTTTATTTTTATTTCTTTTGTTTTAACCAGTTGTTGTAAAAGCACAAAGTAGTGCTGTTGATAAAGTCCAACATCGTCTTGAACAATTAGATTATTTCGAAGAGGGCTCTCAACATAAATTAAATGTATCTCAAGCTGAGTACATTGGGAGAATTGAGCAATTAAATAAAGAATTGGTAAGCGCTTGGAACTCTGAACAAAGGGTGAAAGCTTTGAAGATTGTTATACAATGTGCCAAATTACTTTCTGATACGGATGTTTTACCATTTTATCCGAGCAAATTTGTTTTGATTACTGATATTTTGGATATATTTGGACAACTTGTTTATGATCGATTACGAACAAAGTCAGATTATTACAAGTTAGTAGTTTAACTATGTGATTCTTGAACTTCTTACTTACTTAATTTATTAAAATTTTTATCAGAACCGGTTTCAAATAATTATATTCATCATCAGCCTCAAAATGAACAGAAAAAATAAAATCTAGCATAAAACTTTAAACATTAAATGAACAATAATAAAATAAGGTTTTAAAATTTGAGGTCTTATTTAGTTAGTTGAACAGGGGTTTATAATAATATGAAATTTGATCATTTAGAATTTCATATTTGGGCAAGCTATCATATCTTTTTATTTCAAACATTACAAGAAGATCTAATTTATAGCTTTTGGGTTGTTTGTGGATAAGTTTTACGTTATCATAATTGATTTTATGTCCCGTTTCGATGTTGTGTTTATAAATGTTAGATTTATTATCAATTTTGTGTTCTTTGATTCTTGTTTGAAGTTTCCTACCCGTTTGCCCAATATACAGGCGTGTCAAATGTCTGGAATACAGCCAACAACTTCGCTATTTGTGGTTTTAAAGAAAAATGTTTCAAATACAAGTTTCTTTATTAATTGCTATGGCAACCAATATTGTTATTTTATAGTTCATTTCTTTTCTATAATACCTGCCAAATTGTTGTAAAGTTGGCAAAATTAACAGGGAGTTTTGATTTATCATGTTTTGAAATAAATATGTCACATTGACGTTTGAGCTTTCGTTATTCAAAAAGAAAAGGTGCAAAAAAAATTTTGTGGGGTGTTTATTTGCTATTTATTTACCTAGAAAAGGTGTTTTGTCCTATTTAATTACTTTGTAGCACGTTTTTACAACAAATACATATGTACTTCGTTAAAATCATATTTACCTATAAATTTATTAGTATTTTAACCTCAACTATTTAGTTACTGAACATGTTATTAAAAATCAGGAAAACAACATAAATTTTATAAGGGTCCTAGATAATACCAACAGAAACCCTAAAAAATTTACATTGAAAAGTATTATAGAAAAAAAACGAACTATATGTTTTTTTGCATACTTTGATAGAGGATAAATCCTTCTATGCGATAAACATATCAAATCATATGGTTTTATAAAAAAAAATCGAGAAAAAATGCGTTTTCTGAAGATATCAGAAAATTGCAATCAAAGTAGTCGCCGAAATAACGCCGTTGACAACTTTAAATGTCAAAAAAATGACAGTTTCAACAATTATGAATAATTAATAATGTATGGGTACGCACATTTAATGTAATTTCATCATTGGGTGCTGTCTTCGGCCGTTCACTTTTTTGGAAGATTTTTAACACCATTAAAGAATTTTTTTAATATTTTGGATACTGTGGATTGTATATCCGGGTAAATATTATTGAACAGTGTACAAACTTCACTTTGAGTGCGTTTTCTATCACCGTACCCATACATCATTAATATTTTGATTCTTTGTTCGCTTAATTGCGCCATATTTGTTTAAACTGTCAATTTTTTGACATTTAAAGCTGTCAACGGCGTTATTTCGGCGCCTACTTTGATTGCAATTTGCTATTTAATATTTTTATATATGATTTAATATGTTTTTAATATTAATATGATTTTAATATGATTTGATATGTTTATCACGTAGAGAAATTTATCCTCTATCAAAATATGCAAAAAAATATATGCATCCCATTTAAAATGACAATGTTGGTTGCCATAGCAACGAAACAAAAAACAATGTAAACAAGTAAATATCGCCGTAAAATGCGCCGCAATTAATAAAAAAAATTTTTTCTTCAAACGTCATTAAATGACAACTTTGTTGTCGTGTTTACTCGCGGTAGAAGTAAGTCATTGTTGCATAACGACGGTTGCTAAGATCAACATAGCAAAAAAGTACTTCAGCGTTATGGCGCTAAAGTAAATTTCACTTTAGCGCCATAACGTTGAAGAACATTTCACTTTAGCGCCGTATTATTTGCAACGTTTGAAGAAAAAATACTATGTTTTATTCGGAAGAGAAGCAGATTCGTTTGTGGCTGGTCCGTCATTGCCGGACTCACTTCGTTCGTCCGGCAAACTGTCGGACACGCCACAATTTTAACGGCTCATCTGTCATTAGCGACTCACTGCGTTCGTCGCTAAGCGACAGACCACGCCATAAAAAGCACTGCTTCTCTTCCATATAAAACAATATACTATTATTTGAAACATTTTTTTTAAAACCACAAATGGCGAACTTATTGGCTATATTCTAGACATTTGACACACCTGTATATAGCTCTGCAAGGAATCTTGTTTATTATGGTAGTTTGAAAGAATCTTGCTTATTGTCTGGCTGTTGGAGAAAGCCTATGTTATGTTATATTTTCGTACTTAATTTAGATTAAGCTGATGATGAATATGATTCGAAACCAGTTCTGATAACAATTTTAATAAACTAAGCAAGTAAGAATTTCTCCTTTTCTTTTTTATTTTAATTGTTTAAAATAAAAAAAATCCTTTTTTTGTTAAATTTTAAATTGCTTATTAATTAATATTATTAGACCAGGCATGAAATCATCCACAGCTTTACCAGAAGATTTTACAACCGACATCGTTCCTGAAAGTACGAAAGAAACTTGCCGAAATTGGTTCTATAAAATTGCATCAATTCGAGAATTGGTACCAAGAATTTATGTCGAAATGGCTATTTTGAAATCGTACAGCTTTTTAACTTCAAGGTGATTTATAACATGCACCATTTTTTTTATTAAATCAATTTTTGATTCATTTAGTGAATATTCAGCGGCACTTCTACGTTTAACTCGTATGATTCGTGGAATTGGAAATCCTTTGGTGGCACTTTACGCTCGATGTTATTTGTGTAGAGTTGGAATTACTTTGGGGACGTTAACCAGCGATAATAAATATTTAATTCAAAATTTGTACGATTTTTTAGATAATTATAACCAAGTAAGTTTATTTTGGAATTGATTTTGAATGACTCTTTCACAGAGACTCTTTTTATAGTTATTTAGCAATGGTATAAAACAAGAATTAAAAAAACAACACATCGAATACACTTCTTATTTAACATTATACACACCTGGTTTAGATTTTATTCTTCAAGCGGTTGCCGCAACGGGTGGTGATAATTTATTACCTTTGTGTTTACGAAGATGCGAACAACATGCAAATAGCGCCTTACTTTTAAATAGTATAATGGCTGCGTTTAAACCGATGCACGTAGCGCAAAGATCGCTACAATTTTTAGATTTAATAGCTCGCAGTCCGGATGAATACTTTCCCTCGCATATTTTATTAAGAACTTTGGGATTATGCATTTCAATTTCGCCACCGCCGACTGAACATCGACGGCAAGTTTTAAATTTAGTTTGGAAACAAATTTCGAATTTAAATAGTCCACAATTTTATATAAGTTGTGTTGAAGCTTGGATTGAGTATATTGTACGTTATTGTACGGTAAGTCAAAATTTAGCAATAACAAAAATACGAAGGTTTTCACGACCGGTGATAATTAAACTAAAACTAGAACTAACACTAGCACTATCTTTTTCTAGGAATCCTTCCTCATCCTTTCCTCAGGTTCTCTTTATCACATATCCTCTCTGCTCGCTGAAATAAGAGTTGAATCACGGACCTCTTGTGTTGTGGGTGGTGGTGGGATGATGCGTGTTCTTTCGATATACTCCCAGTTTCATGCCCCCATCTGTCTTCCTAGTGACCAACACATCCAAGAATGGCAACTGTTTCGGAATTTCTCTTGCTTCTGTTTCCACAGACTCTTCTTTAACGCTTCCTCTTCAAACATATCCACGTAAAAGTTGGGGATCACAGATGACAGTGGTGATCCCATTGTTACTCCTTCGCATTGCTCGTGCAACTCTCCCTTCCAGCTAAAATATGTCACGATAGGCAGTACTTCACCAGTCCTGGGACATACTTTGGCAAATCCTCTGGGTGAGTTTCTGGCGAAGACCATCCACGGCATCTTTGACTGGTACTCTGATGAATAGAGATTCCATGTCGAAACTTACCAGGATATCCTGAGGGTCTAGCTTCATACTCCTTATTGATTCTACAAAATGTGTGGAATCTCTGTTTTACCTGCAAAAGGAGACAGAATCTTGGTCAAAGTGTTTTGCTAGCTGATAGGTGGTAGGGCGTAATGGGACCCATATATCCTTGAGGCTACTGGGGAGTATCTTTTCGGTTGGGGCTAGTTCTAGGTCTAGTGTTAGTTCTAGTTTAATTATTAATAACACTTAACTAATGAACTAATTGCATTATTAATTTTTAGAATAAAGAAGTGAATCAAATTTTAGAAGATGTGATAAACCATATTTATCCAAATCGTGCATATGAACATTTATATTCACAATTAAAACAAATAATTGAAAAAATTGTTTCACATATGCAAGATTTTGAAACGTTACTTTCAATGGATAATTTTTTACCATTCCTCGATCTTTTTCAACAAGAAAATGTAAAAGTCGAAGCTTGCAAAGTTATTATTTCTTCATGCATAAGCAGCCAACATACAAGCGATCCCGTTATTATAAACGCTTTAATGTACACTTGTTCCATTTTACACGATTCCATAAACGCCTTAAGTGTTGACGATGAAGTACGACAAATCGGAGAATTGTTATGTATGGTGGTTAAGAAGGTTGATTATGGAAGAGATTTCGAACAACAATTAAGTTTTTATGTCGAAGCTAGAGGAGCTTTTTCAAACATTGATTCAGTTTTAGCTGAATTAGTACAAGTTTGTTGTTTTAATATCAAAGATATCGAAAAAAAAATCTATAAATAATTCTTTTTATGGTTTTAGTGTGTTAATAATTTAGCAGTAACACGTCATAAGGAAGTAAATGGTAATCATACCAGAAAAACGGGTGCTTTTGTAAGAGCTTGTGCTGCATATTGTTTTATAACGATTCCTTCAATACGTTCTGTAAAAACAAGATTGGATTTGTATCTTCTTTCAGGACAGGTTGCGTTATTCAATCATTGTTTAGGACAAGGTTTTTACCGTCGTTTTATTATTTAACAAAATGAATTATTCTTATATTTTAGCTGATGCATGTTTTAAAGCAGCTCTTCAAATAATACCAGAAGTAACCCAAACTGTTGATAAACAGTCACCAAAAACATATCTTTTCTCATACATCAGAAAGTTTTTATCAACACTTTTAGTAGTTCCTGATAGCCCAGATCGTGGAGTATTAAGCTTAACAAGGATTTTATTAAATACGGTTCAATCTTATGAATGGGATGTTCAAAACGGGACTTTATGTCAATTATATTTAAACGTTTTGGATCTTTTAACGGCTATGTCGCAAGATTTTTACTTTTACCACGTTGATAAAGGTATAATTTTATTTAAAAATATATTAATTACTTGTATTTATAAAATTTTAATTTTAGTCGAATCTAATGATACATTATACGGATCAGATCCCAAATTTATCTCGGAAATTAATCGCATGTGCTCAGTCGTTCTCAACGAAATCCTAAATCAATTAAAATCAATTGGACATTGTCGGAAACAAGCCGCGTTAGTGGTCGATTTAATTCTTAACGTTGCTATTAACGCTGATTTGAACGATGCAGGGATGTTAAATTTAATTTCGAATCTTTATGGACTTCTAAATAATCATGAGTATAAAGATAAATTATATATTGTAAGTATTTGAAATCAAATAATTTTCTTTAATGATTAAAATTATTTTTAGGGACGTTGTATCAATTATTTGAAGTATAAAAATAAAGAAAACCATCCGGTTTTAACACAATTAATTAATAAAATGAAACACCTTACTGTTTAATTTTATTGTTTTAATTATTTTTTTAAGAGTAAGAAAAGTAACAAAGAAATATATTCCCACTTTCAAAATGATGATTAAACTTAAATAAGAAAATTATGAAATACTCGAGGTTTAGATTCAAATATACATTTTTATAAACACCAAATGTTTTTTATTTAGGGCGTCCTCTGCCTTTACCTCCAGCACTAGCTTTCCCCCGCTTATTTGGCGTTTCTTTCTTTTCTGGAGCTTTTCTTTTTGGTGTGGTAGATAAAACTTTAAAAAACCCATCCAAACGACCTTGCGTTGTAGTTCCTCGGGCCTTAATAAGTTTCTTGGCACCATTTCTAACGCGTTCTTCGTTAAATTGTTTATCACCGCAAAGGAATTTAACTAAACCATCTTCATCCGGGTCTGTCCATTTCAACTATAAATAAAATAACAATCTTAAAGTATGTTATTTTAACATTGTAATTATTGCCTACATCAATTATATCAGTATTCATAACATCAGGTTCCTCAAAAAGTTGTCTAGCACCCTCATAATTCCAATTTTCTGGTGGGGGATACTTTTTATGATCAAGACTTTCAAGAATTTGTTCGATACTTTTATATTGTTTAATTAGATCAATAGCTTTTTTTGGTCCAATTCCTCTTATTGAATCAACATAATCACAACCCATCAAAATACAAAGATCAACAAACTATAAAGATATATCAATTAATTTATTATTAATAATGTTTTTGAATTAGTACCTGTTTTTGACTTAAACCTGTTTCATCTAAAACCCTATCTAAATGATATTCTTGTATTGGAAGTTTACGAGCTTCACTAACAGTTAAATGTCTTAAAAGTACTGTTGAACCAAATGTAAGTGCATCCATATCTTCTGTAGCTGTAGCATAAACTTTTCCAGATTTTACTAAAGCCGCACATTGAGCTTCAGCTTCGCAAGGGGCCTCAATAAAAGGAATCCCCATTAAAGATAATAATTGCTTTGCTTCAAAAGCATGATGAGAAGTAACTTTAACCAACCTCCGACTAAATTTTTCAATATCAGCTTCATTTCCAGCCTCTGTTGCTTTATCTAACGCTTTTTGAGCCTCCTCACGTTTTTGGGCTCTTTTCCCAAGTTCTCCTGATTTCATTTCAGGCGGTTTTCCATCAAACACATAAACTGGTTTTATTCCATTCTCAATAAGACGTATTGTCCGGTAGAAAGTTCCCATTAAATGGGATGTTGTTTCTCCATCAACCGATGTTAGTTGGGCTCCTTCACTTCTTACAGCAATTAAGAATTGGTAAAGACACATAGAAGCATCTACAGCTATTTTTCTACCTAAATTTTAAAATTATTAATTGAAGCGGTGTAGAGGTTAAGTTATAATTAATAAAAAATAAGTATGTTACCGAAATAATTTTTAATTTCATTTTCTTTAATTGCGTTGGGAGCAATGTCGGCTAATAACTTGGATAGATTCAAAATTCCCATGTTAGGGATAATTAAAAATTCGAGTAAAAAAATATAATGTGATATCGTTATAACCTTCCCGCTTAAAATCACTGACGTTGCAGTTCTGCCAATTTATAAAAATGAAACTGAAGATTTTTTAGCCTTGTTTATTGAGTTTATTTATTTATCTATTATTTATTGATACTTTTTTTTTAAATATCGTGTATAAACAAGATAATACAAGAAGTTCTAAACAGCCGTTTTTCAATTTATTATTAATGAACAAATTTAAACTTTTCACGCCGATAACATAATCTGAAAACTAGTAAGTAAAACTTCTAAAATTAACTATTATTTATATTTAATTGTTTAATTGTAATTATTTCTTAATCATAAAACCTGATTTAAAGTTTAAATGAATAAAAAAAAATTTTTTATTATCTTGTAGAGATGGCGTAAATGTAAAGTCGATAAAACAGATTGTCAAGGGCGAAATCTTAACATTTGTTGTCAATAAGGTTATATTTCGTCATAGTTTGATTTAATCACAAATTTGCAGTTGTTTTCTTTTGTAAATCACATTTGTCATTTATGTAAAAATACCATGTTTTCATTCCAGAATCAAAATCAGGTAAGTTACATTAAAATTCGTTAGCATGCGTTATAACCAATTACGATTTGTTTCCCATCACTTTTCAGGCTCTATTTTACTTATCCCAAGTGTCTACTAGTCTCGCACCAAGACAAACTGCGTACCTAAGTAAAAAATCATCCCAACATAAATCCAACGAACCCCACCCATTGTGCCCCCAAAGTTTCTATGAATCCTACAAGAATTTTAATAAACAATTTGCAAAATCCGTAAATATAGAGATCCTTCTCGAAAGCCACTTTTTAAAGCGTCAAAAATCGACGGTAGCATCAAAAGATACGTTTTTTGAGAATAACAATGGTTTTCCCGAATCGGAATTAAATAAAGAACACGTTCCGATATTATTTATCCAACGAAATAATGTTCATGCAACTCAAGGGTTTTATAATAACCTTCTTAATGGTTTACGGAATGGGAAAAAAATTCGTTTTGATGTTCAGGTACGAGGTTTTAAAACGGATCGCAGTGTTAAAGCTGAGATGTTTAGAAACCCATCCTTAATAACGAGGATGAAAAATTTTTTTTCAACTCCGGAATCGCACGATAAACAACAGCAAGTTGATCCTACAGTTAACAATGAAAGATTAAATAAAGTTTTAAATCAAGACCCTAATATTACTGATGCAGAAAAGCAAAGAATGAAGGTGGCTTTTGCTGAAGGCTATCTTTTGGGGAATAACCCTAATTTAAAAACGGGAAAAGCAGCAAGATATTTTAAAATCGTCCAGCAAGTTCTTACTATTGTTATCTTTTTTGCTATCGTTGTTAGTTTAATGGCTAGCGCAAACGGATCTGTATTTAGGTAATTATCGGTTTTAATTTAAGGTTATGTAATCAAAATTAATAAGATCAAAGTTCTATTTTAATTTAAAAAAATAATAAATCAATGGAAATTTTGCAGGATTCAATTAGGTAATCAAGTAGAAGTAGATCCTGAAGATATTAACGTAACTTTTGATGATGTAAAAGGCGCTGACGAAGCAAAACAAGAATTAAAAGATGTCGTTGAATTCTTAAAAAATCCCGATAAATTTTCTAGTTTAGGTGGAAAGCTTCCAAAAGGAGTTCTTCTTGTCGGTCCACCAGGTACAGGAAAAACTTTACTCGCTCGAGCGGTTGCCGGAGAAGCCGGAGTTCCATTCTTCCATGCAGCTGGACCAGAATTTGACGAAATATTAGTTGGGCAAGGAGCTAGAAGAGTACGCGATTTATTTAGTAAGTTGTAATCAACTGATTAATTTAACTTAATTTGTTTAAATGTAATTGTAGAAGCCGCAAAAGAACGTTCACCATGTGTAATATTTATCGATGAAATTGATTCCGTTGGAGCGAAACGTACTAACAGTGTATTACATCCTTACGCAAATCAAACGATTAATCAATTATTAAGCGAAATGGATGGATTTCATCAAAATGAAGGGGTTATTGTTTTAGGAGCCACTAATCGTAGGGATGATTTAGATCAGGCTTTATTAAGACCGGGGAGATTTGATGTTGAAGTTAGTTAATTAACTTTTTTTATAACAATAACTAAAAAAAATCTTTTTAAGGTGACAGTTCCAACACCTGATTACACAGGGAGAAAAGAAATTTTAAATTTATACTTAGGAAAAATTTTAGCTAAGGAAGTTGATGTAGAATTATTAGCTAGAGGTACCACTGGATTTACAGGGGCCGATTTAGAAAATATGGTCAATCAAGCAGCTTTAAGGTAACAACAACAACAATTTTTAAGGGGGTATACCACCTTTGCCACCTTATGCCAAATTAAAAAAAAATGTGTTTTTATTTTTGTTTAAAGTGTAATTTAGACTGTCTAGAATGACAATCAATTGACAGAATAGTATATTCAAATACTATAAATAAATAATACTATACTATAGTTTTATAAGACAGGCTTGAAATGTACGAATTCAAGTTGAAAAATGCGTGGCGAACCCACGGGTGCTTTAAGTCTTACGAAACGTGTTTTTTATGCTATTTTTTGTAGTTCGCGTGTTTATCCTTTTTTTTAACAAAAATAAAATAAATTTTGACAATGTAGGGAAATAGGTATGTAGTAGTTGGTAACACTTGAGATAGAAATTTGAATTGATTATTAGAAATTGTCAAAACAAAATGTATTCACCTGAAAAAAATGTTTCATGTATACCTCCCAAAATAAGAGAAATCGCTCAAAGTTCAATGTCCTCATCATTGTGGACCTTGTATTCGATGCTAAGAATGTGTTTCAACATCCATAGACAAAAATTGTCACATTGACAACTAGAAAAATTAATGACCCAATGTCACCAACTTGAACTAATTCCATAAAATGTTACTAAAGTCGCAATACTAATAGCTTTCATGTATATGCTCACCCAGTGAGCATATGAAGGCTATTATTCACTAAGGTTAAGTTAGCATAATTAACCTTAGTGAATAATAGCTCATTATATGCGAATAGAATACTATACTTTGTCCACGACTATTGAAATTGATAGTATATTGTGTCTCAAGGGCAGAAAATAGGCATTAGCAGCCCGAGGCTATTATACTCTGTTTTTAAACCACGAGGAGTAAACGCGAAAGTCAGATTTACACTAGGAAAAATCACCAGAAAATATCACTAGATATTTTGGCGGTAAATTTAAATTAATAATTATTATTTATTTATTTACTTATTATTGTATTTATTTTCGTTTGTTATCGTCAACACTAAACATACAAATTAACATTGAAGTTATGAGTGTATTTATTTCAAAATATAATAAAAAAGGGTTTAAGAACACAAAATATACAATAATGACACGAAACTGTCGAATTATCAATTACCTAACCTTCAAATTCAAAATCAAAATTCAAAATTGCCTGTGTGTGAACCTTCCTCGCATTCAACCAATCACGTGCAAGGTCAATCTGGTGACAAATTTAAAATACTCCTCCTGGTTTAAAAACAGAGTATAATTGCCAAAGAAAACTTCAAGGTATAATTAATGTTTGTAAACAAAACTAACCTTACCTAACATTCAGCGTCTGAAGACACAGGGCTAAACCCGAAACTTAAAAATATACAACTTAGCGCTGAATAACAATTAAAACTAGAACTAACACTTGCACTAGAACTATACTCTGTTTTTAAACCAGGAGGAGTAAACGCGAAAGTCAGATTTACACTGGAAAAAATCACCAGAAAATATCACTAGATATTTTGGCGGTAAATTTAAATTAATAATTATTATTTATTTATTTACTTATTATTGTATTTATTTTCGTTTGTTATCGTCAACACTATACATACAAATTAACATTGAAGTTATGAGTGTATTTATTTCAAAATATAATAAAAAAGGGTTTAAGAAACACAAAATATACAATAATGACACGAAACTGTCCAATTATCAATTACCTAACCTTCAAATTCAAAATTGCCTGTGTGTGAACCTTCCTCGCATTCAACCAATCACGTGCAAGGTCAATCTGGTGACAAATTTAAAATACTCCTCCTGGTTTAAAAACAGAGTATAGATAGATAAGGGCTGCTAATGCATTTCTGCACGTGTGACACACAACTGTTTTTCGCCTCCCATTAAACCAATCAAAAATAATTCTTCGTTCATTTTGTCGCAGTTTTGATTTCAACTGACGTTTAATGAAAAATTATGAGAAACGTCAAAAATGTCCGCAAATGTCAATGAAGACTAACTAGATTGTGATGAAAAACTATAAAGTAGGGACGTTCAGAGTTTAGAATCCCAAGGGCCGAAAATCTAGCTTTCAGTTATTTTTTTAGGGTTGATATGATTTACTTTCAGGTATGGGAGGCGAAAAAATTTATTTCTTAAATAAATTTTTGAATAAAATTTAAACGTCAATGTGACACAAATTCAATGTTAGCAACTGTAACCAACTTCACAACAAGTTGTCAAAATTAAATGTCAATTTTATGAAACGTCGTTTTTTTTACAAAAATTAATTAATTTATGCTTAAATCATACGAAAAAGGAATTTATTTAGGTTTTTTAATGTCACACCTTTAGAAAGATCTAAAAAATTGAATTAAATTGACGTTTTTTGAAATTTTAACGTTACAAATAATTATTACTTGATTATATACAGGTGTCTCACGTAACTGGTTCCTTAGAACTTTTTTAGGTTTCACTATTCATAGAGGTTTAAAATTTTGGTAGCATTGGTGGTTCATTCTAAACTTTCGATCTGAAATATTTTCAAGATGGCCGCCACTTCCGGTATACCGAAGTGACAACTTCGTTATTTTAAATGGAATGCTATGGCTTTTATTACAGCTTTTAATTATACGTAAAAAAATATGTTGACTTTGATAAAAGTTGTTGGTACCTAGCGTTTTTTGTTTTCGAGTTATTTTCATTTTAAATGTTTTTTTGCAAATTTTACCATGCTCTTATAAAATCTCATAGCTAACGTTCATTCAAAAAACCTCTGCATTGGCACGATTACTCTTCAGATGCTGTCAAATAGATTGTCTTTTGTTGTATCAGAATATCTTATACAGAGGTTACATTTGAAAGTAGTTGATCTTGGACTTCTAAATGTTTTGTGACATCTTGAGCAGTAACATCTTCCAATCCTAAATCGCAAGTCTGGTAAAGTCTTCAATTAGAATCTCTTGTTGTGGTTCTTCTTCAAAATCGTGCATTAATGCTGGCAGAAGTTTACGCCAAACTTCATTCCATGCCAAGCCGATTTTACATTATTAATGTATTGAAAGACTGCCAATAGTCTTCTTGACTGTTTTATCTAAAGTGCTCAAAACACTCATCATTTCCAAGAAACTATTGCGAAGTTTGCTATAACTCCCTAATCCATTGGCTGCAAAAGTGATGTTGTATTTGGATGCATGTAAACAACTTTGACAGCCAATGGTGTTTTGATTTCGTCAATTTTTTGTGAAGTTTATCCAAGAGAAGAAGTGACTTGGGTGTTAATTTTAGAAAACATTTTTCTTCACGCAAAAAAAAATCTTAAAATTATCTCTATTTTCGGGTCTCCAAGGCGGCGTACCCCCTTAATCCTAACCTTACTGAAGATTTAAAATTTTTTTTTTAGAGCTGCTATAGATGGTGCTGATAGCGTAGGCATGAAATACTTAGAAAATGCGCGTGATAAAGTTTTAATGGGTCCAGAACGTAAATCTCGTATACCTGACGAAGAAGCAAATGTTATAACAGCTTTCCACGAGGGTGGTCACGCTATTGTTGCTTATTACACCAAAGATAGTCATCCATTACATAAAGTGACGATCATACCCAGGGGTCCGAGTCTAGGTCATACCGCGTATATTCCCGAAAAAGAACGTTATCACGTTACCAAAGCGCAACTGTTAGCAATGATGGATACAATGATGGGAGGACGCGCCGCTGAAGAACTCGTTTTTGGCCCAGATAAAATTACTTCCGGTGCTAGTTCCGATTTAAAGCAAGCAACGTCAATTGCGAGTCATATGGTTAAAGATTGGGGGATGTCTGAAAAAGTTGGTTTGAGAACTATTTCGGAAAACAGTAAACCATTCTCTGGGGATGTTCTTGGGCCGGCTACTAATGAAATGGTAAGAAAACTACAAAACACACGCTCATAGTGAAATTGTGTTTTTTTTCTAGGTTGATAATGAAATAAGAAAGATTTTATTAGAGAGTTATGAACGTGCTAAACATATATTGAAAACACACGCAAAGGAACATAAAGCTTTAGCAGAGGCTTTGCTAAAATACGAGACTTTAGACGCTGAGGATATAAAAGCGATAATGAACGATAAAACACCAAACGTTGAATTAAAATCATAACCGAGGCGATTTTATTATCAATTTAAAAAAAAATACCGAGTAAATAAACGACAAATTGAACAGGTACATACGCGGAGATATCGAGGGTTTTGTTAATAACATATTTATATAAAGTGTAATAAATTCATTTCAACCTATTTTACTCGCGTTTTAAGTTCTTTTTCTTATAGATGTTAAGGATTTTTTTTTGTTTAATAATCCGTACTTTAAAGCAGTTCTTAGTAGTTGTACATAGAAGTTTATAAACCGAAAACAACTGGTGGGAATATTAGTTAATGTTGTTATCTATAAACTATTTACAAATGAAATAATCTTATAATAACAATTTTATCGTCAAATTGTACATTTATTTGGATGATTATGATTTCGTTTAATTTTTTTTGTTTCGAGTGACGCTTTATTCATATATTTTAAAATATGATTAAAATCTTAAAATAAAATATGAATAAATACAAATGTGTTTGTTATCCTTTATTTCATGTTTCTTTTTAGTATCAGTCTAGAATTTTTAGCATGTTTTAAGTTTAGTTCTCAAGATGAATTCCACAGGCTTACACAGGGTGTGTAGCATTTCCTCTACATAAACGTTGAAAAAAGATCGAACATTAAGTTTGCTCATTCTGAAAATAAATGCCTACTCTTTACCAAGAAGATTACATCAAACACTAATATAGATGATTTATCCCATCTAAGAGGCAACAAAAATCATACTAATGATGAAAACATATAGAAAATGGAAATCAGTCAAACAAATATGAAGCGTAGAAGAGAAAAAGTATCTATCGCCCTATAATATCACACAACCCTAAAATAAATAATATATCTGTAAAGTTGGAACTTTTAATCTTCAGTGGTAACTTTATTCCCACTAAAAATAACATTTAATAAAACATAATTGTAACAAATTATCTTCTCATAGCTTGTAATCTTGGCGCAGAAAGTTTAACTTTTCCTGGAATATTCCTTGCGAGTTGTTCATCTTTGACCGCCTTAAGCAAATCTTTTTCTCTTGCACTTATCGTTCGATCTTGAAGAAACATATTTACAGCTGTTTTTGCTGCCTTACCTCGTTTACTTGTACCAGGTGTAAGTTTAACTTTAAACCTACAAAAATAATTATATCACAAAAAAAAAAACACATCCAATATCTACAATTAATCCTTACTTGTAATTATTTAATGTATTATATGGTGCTACGACTGGAACAGCAAATAAAAGTTCATCTTCGCCTACCGGAATTCCTGTTAAAGCATCTATCATATCAACATCAGCTTGAATTGTAGTTTCATCATCATCAATATCAATGTTTTCCGGTTTTTGAAATGGTTGTCTAACAGTTTTTGGGGCGTTTTTATTGTTATTTTTACTTATATTGTCGTCTTTTCCTTTTTTTGTTTTTTTCTTGTTTTCTTTGGACGATCCAGCAGATTGTAAAATGTTCATTCTTAAAGAACGTTCTTCATCGTCTTGATCTTTGTATTTTTCTTTAATTTTTTTCAATTTACTTTTTTGTCCTCTTTTTGGTTGTAGTTGCTTTTTATCTTGTTTGATACTTTCTTTACTATCATGAGAACTTTGCCTAGACATCTTACTTTCGCTTGGTTTTCTTTCTCTCATTAATTTATCAGTAATTATTGGAAAATCATCAACTATTTTAATTGGTGTTTCTGGTAAAAATTGAGAAAATAATTTAATTTCAATCGATGGATTTTGTTCTTCATCAGATGATTCCTCATTTCTTATTTCAACATCTTCCAATTTTTTTTCTACATTTTTTTGTTTATTATCTTCTTCTCCTTCATTAACTTCTCTATCTACATCATCATTTGCATTTTCTTCAAATTCCTTCTTTTCCTCATCTTCTACCACCACCTCCAATTTTTTTTCATCATCATCATTTTCATTATCAGACACTTCAATTTCGATTTCATCTTTAATAGATTCTGAATCAGCCAAACTTAAACAATCATCATTCCCCACAACAACTTTTCTTTCCCCCAAATGTCTCTCTACGCTACCATCTTCTAAACGAAACAAGAAACCCAAACCGAGTATTAAGTGAGATGGGGGTAAAAAATTTTTCTTTCCTCTTATCATAAAACTACCGGTTGTTAAATATTCTCCAGTTGGGGCGGTTTTGCTTACTTGATCACCTTGAACCCAATAAGCGTTAGTTATCACTTTTGCTTCCCAAGCCACGCTACAAATAAGATCTTGATTAAAAATAATTAAATTATTTTTGATTAATCCCCTTACCTATAACAAATAGCCATGACTCCAGCTTCATTCAAAGTTTTTGGAGGAACAGGTTGTCCAGAAGGGTTTTTAATAACAATACTTGAGGCACCATGAATATCAGCATGGACATAAATATCATTAGGTTTCATATACCTAAAATTACACCAAAATAAAATTTCTTTTTCTGTTCCAACAAATTCATAAATCACCTTTTAACAATTAATTCATTCTGTTGTTGATCCCTTCCAGCAATAACCAAATAATTTTCTGAACTAATAAACCAGAAGAATTTTTCAAACCAATAAACTTTCCTAGCTTTAATAATATTGGTTATTGTATGCATTTCTTTTAAAGTTTGCTTAGTTTTTTTCTCCGCAGATTTAAAAGCTTTGCTTTGGGATTGAATCGTTTTTTCTTGCTTCTTCGCGGCGCTACGTTTTAAATCGTAATATTTTCTAGCATTTGCAAAAGCGCTTAGATCAAGATCTATATCAACGTTCATCGCGGGTAATTCAGCATCATCAAATGGATCAAATAACGAAAGCGTTATATGGTTCTTCTCCAATTTTAATTCTTTGATTTGTTTAGCGACGGGATCTCCGTTTAAAGTGGCATCTTTGACTAAATTTGCGATATCTTGCCAAGGAATTTGGTTGGCCAAAGCGGTTTGAATGGAATAAATCGCATTTTCAACTAATTTTTGATTACTCATTATTAATTCAGCTTTTTGTTTATCAACTTCTTGAGTTTTCTCTAAATCTTCAAGACGTTTTGTGTGATCTTTTCGAACGTTTTGTAATTTTTTCAATGCTTCTCTTTCTTGTTGTAAGGCACGTATTTCAATTTTTTGTCCCTCCAAGGTAGAATAATACTCATCAATCGCTTGATTAAAAGTTTCGAATTCTTTAAAAGGAGAGTTTTTGTGTTGGTCATATAAAAAGGGGTGAAATTCTTGATTTGAATAAAAATATTCCATTTGTTCTATATTTTCAGAATTAGGCCTTTCTTCTTTTTTCTGTATAATGAACCCTTTAGATGGGATTTTTTTCGCTTCGTTCATTAGATTTTCTGCGTCTAATATGGCTTCGTATAATTTGTTGATATCACGATCGGTTTTAAAATCTTTTCCTAATTTTGCTGAATTTTTAAAACCGAATTTTAAAAGAACGTGTTCTAATAACGACGGTCCGTATTCTAAATGAGGTACTAAAATTTTTTTTAATTGATCTCCATCCTTTGCGTTATTTAAAATATCACGAATCTGATCTATGTTTAATGTGCTGGATGTTTTTACCCTATCAATTGGATATTTTTCTTTAACAGCAAACTTAAACTTATCACCTTCTGTATGCGGACGTAAAACGTACAAAATGACTAAATCATAATCGGTCAATATTAAATTACCGCGATCATATAATTCAAGAATTAGATGATAAGCTGCTTCACTTGTACCAAATTGCATGTCTACTATCCGATCCGAACCCAGTTGATTTATATTTTCTAAACGTTTGTTTTTTAAATGTTTTCTCATCTATTTAAATGTAAAGATTTTTTCTGTTACTAACTTTATACGTATTTAAAATACAGGGTGCGGTAAAAATCAGTTAACTGATATTAATAAATTAATAAAAACAGATTCACTGCGCATGGTGGACTATATGGTAAGCAGAACAGAACTCGTGTTTACATATTTTTATTAATATATTAATATCAGTTAACTGACTTTTGCCACACCCTGTACAACATTACCTTCATACTAAAACCAGATGGAGCAACATTTTTTGGCCACTCAAAATTTGTTGAGTGTAATCTATTTCCTGATTCAATTAGTATAACATTCTTTTCTTCTGAACGTTGTAGACGAATTAAATATGTTTTATTGTCTATATCATAAATGTTGTTTACACGCATTCCAATACATCTATTAACGAAGAAACAATCAAATATTAATAACTAATGTATGTGATAAAACATATTATAACAATAATCATCTAACAAGCATTCAATGATTGAAATATGACAATTGTGCATATTCCAGTTTTGCATAACAATGCATCAACACTATTGTTTTGTCAAGACTAAATATTGCTTTCAGAAGACTAACTATTGCTTTCAGAAGACAAACATTGCTACCAAAAGATTGGATATTGCTCCAAAAGACTAAATAATGCTTCCAGAAGACTAAATATTGCTTCCAGAAGACTAAATAATGCTTTCAGAAGACATACATTGCTGCTAAAAGACTGGATACTGTTCTAAAAGACTAACAATTGCTTCCATAAGACTAAATATTGCTTCCAGAAGACTAAATATTGCTTTCAGAAGACATACATTGCTGCCAAAAAACTGGATACTGCTCCAAAAGAATAAATATTGCTTCAAGAAGACATACATTGCTACCAAAAGATTGGGTACTGCTCCAAAAGACTAAATATTGTTTCCAGAAGACTAACTATTGCTTTCAAAAGACAAACATTGCTACCAAAAGATTGGATACTACTCCCAAAAGAATAAGAATTGCTTCCAGAATTTAAACAGTTATCCATGTTACAAGTAAATGAAATATAAAATTAAAAACAGATTAAAGAAACTAAGATCTTATTGTTCAAGATGATTTCATTGACCTTATTTTACAATGCTACAAGTAATATGTAGAATTCCTATAAAACATTAATTTCTACTAAAATCTTCAGCTTTTTTAGTTTATTCTTTGCAATCAAATATGGTTTCCCTGCTGACAATGTTGTCCAATATTTCATGTTACTTTCATTATAACTCTTGTTTAATTTGCTTGCAGTGGCAGGCTTAAAGTTTATGTATTCATTAATTTCTTGCATTTAATTCATCACCTCCATGGAAATTCTTCTAGTATTTCTAGGAAATTTATTGTAGTTCATATAGTTGTAAAAACCATTATAGTTGATCAAAATTTGATATTAAACTATTATACATCTATAAAATTCAATATGTAACTTATAATTTGCTATTAACCTCACGAATGCTTATTTTTTTGTTATTATTATTACAATATTTTGTATTATTCCTAAGTACATCACAATTAATGAATAAGAATGAGGTTAAGTTTACTTACTTTTGTAATTCCGTTATGCAACACACAATATCGTAAGAATTAAATCTTGTTTTCATTTTATCGTTTAAACCAAAATGTGCGAGTATTTCAAATTGTCGTATTATTTATTTCTAAAATACGCTTCAAGTTTCACAATTATTACACATGAAACAGGCTCATGTCATCTTGACAGGTTATTTTTGACAGATGTGTAGTTCCCTAACTAATCAACTCAATCTAAAAAAGCTATTTATGATTATTCATCTTTATTCATCCTTTACTGCCATTTTAAAGTTTATAGAAACCCTTTTTATTAAATTTGGTTTAAATTTATATTTAACAATTGTTTTTCAATCAAAAAACAGATTTCTGATATATGTCTAGTTACCTACCATACCAACCTAATTTTTTTTAAATAAAATTTAAATAAAATATCCGTATAATTATTTTATCATCTTTATTTAATTATTATTCCTGCGTATTTTAATATAAATTCAAATATTAATCAAAATATTATTATTTATAAATAACTTTAATAACCGCAATCTAGTTCTTTGTAGTTTTCAATTGTTTTATATAACCTATTTGCAATCTTTCAAAACATCCACAAGAGTTATAAAACGTCACAATTTTATTTAAGGTATTATTTATTTATTTAAAACTTACTAATTATATTTATGTATATAGTTTTTCTTGTCACGACACGCCCCTGTTTTATGTAGCAACAAAGAGTATCGTACGCCAATGGAAAACCCGACTTTGTTTCTTGTGGGTCCGCTGCCCGTTTGCCTGCCTGCTTGTCTGCCTGCCTGCTGCCTGCCTGCCTACCATTCGATCATTCCATTCGTGAAACACGTTTCGTACGTGAAAGACGCGACGATTGCGCGGTCAGTCTGATGGTTAGATGGGAAGGTCGATTTCGTCGCGGGTTATTAATGAAAAGTTGAGTGAAAATTCGAAGTGAGTGCCCAGCGAGATGGTGCATTTGGAATTTTCGTCCTCGGGTAAGTAAATTCTAGAGTTTTACTCGATTTCCGTTGTTCGAACGTGGGATATCGAAAAGAGGGTTGCAACCATAAGGGCGGTATTGATATTTTGGAAAATTTGCATTACATATCATGTTAATACCTCTGCGAATTTTTCCTGTAAGTTTTTAAATATTTCTTTCTCAAGAAAATCATTTTCTTAAAGTGTTCTTAGAAGCTGCTTATCTTTTAAACCTAATTGATTTAAGAGATTTTAGAAAATATGCAATATTTAACAACATCATTATTTGTTTGTTGTTTAATAATGTTTTAAAATATTTTATTAAATTTGTAAATGTCACCCCACCCTAAAAAGGTTGAATCATATGGTAATATACACCTTCACCCTCTTTAAATGCTTACACCCTTTTTCTGACACAAATTAAAATTAAAAGAGAAATGTGTTGAATGGAAATGTTTTAGTCGATTATAAGAAGGAAAAATGAATGAAACTCTTCCCACGCAGATATTTTATTATCAAACCTCTGATAATAATGTTATGTTTTCGTTATAATCTATTTTCGCATTGTCTCTTTACATATTAGTTACGAAAAAGTCATTAAGATAGTTGTTAAATCGATGTAGTTATTAAAAAACGATTTTCTTTCGTAATGCTGCTCAATTACTTCGGCATGAGTTGATGATTTCTTAACGATAATTATTGGTTTTTAAGGAATATTACAAAATTTGTAATATTTAAATGTTTTTTTTTTTAATAAATGAATTTAATTTTGTTTTAGGTTTTCATTTCTATCATTTAAATTATTAATGAGGAATAAGGTGTATCGAATTTCTACTATCATTGTAAAACCGCTGATTTACTGGAATATTTTAACTAATCGATACTTAGATAAGCTGATATTGCAGTAATTCTTTTATAGTTATTCCAATCACATTCTACGGTAGTTTGTAATACTACTTCTTGATATATAAGGTTATAATTGCTAATATTATATGCTCAAAGCGTCTGTAATTGCTCGTAACCGTTGCTTTATGTAAATGTAATGTAATACGTTAATTTAGATCTGTTTAATTCAATATTTTAGATTGGTTAACAGGTTGAGCAAGTTAATCTTGTCTTTTTTATTGATTTATGTGTTTCTGGTTACTATGCACATTCTGATCGGCCACTTTAAGCTATTTTTCCTCACAGCAACAAATTTTTACCCTAGATTTTCCACCTACTTTACAAGACAATATCTTCGTTGTCTTTAGAGATGGCGAAATATTAAATACACCACTAGAAAGTTTGATCTTTTTGTTATCTAAAAATCTTCTCCTGTCGATGTATTGGTATCATCAGTGGAAAGAAATAAAGAACGTCTCCGTGTACCGAACACACCTCAAAGTCAAGGACGGTAGAATTTAAGAGGACTGTTACATCTCGCGAACAGGTGACCGTGGTTGGGTCGACCTTCCACGTTCTTTTTCCTCAGAGACATATCGGTCGGCATTTTCTTGAATGTCTTCCAGTAACTAAAAAGAAAGAAAATCCTATTAGACAGTGTGTCTGCAGTAGGATGCGCGATAATCGTGGCAAGAAAATTAGACCGGAAACGCGATACAATTGCTTGGATTCGTTTGTTTGTATCCACGAACATTGACATTATTATACGCGGTTTTCGCAGTTTTTGGGGGAAAGTTTGCAATCATACCACCAACTAAAGTTATATAGCACTACATAGAGCGGAAAATTTCCTATAGTTTCTATATGATCGCGAAATTTTGTAAAGTAGATGAAAAAACATGGATAAAAGTTTGTTGTTGAACGGTTTGTTGCTGTCGTCGCACGGATCACATTCCAATCGGCCAGTTTAAACTATTTTTCCTTTCACAAAATGTAATATCGAGTTTTTAATTGTTGTTTACTTTCAACTTTAAAACTCATATCAGTTAAATGCGATTTTTGTGATTAAAAATTTCTTTCTTTTTCTTTCAACAAATATATAATTTAATATTTCTAGGAAAATGTTTTGTTTGCATGGATTTTACTTAACGGTACAGTAATTTAAGTTTAACGAGATTATAAGTGAATGAATAATATTGATAATTTCAGCGTTTTTATTTTTTCTTGAAACGATTAACCTGCGTTGTTTCTACCTGCGAAGAGTACTCTCTACCGATAACGGCAGCTGTTCCATCGTCGCCTGTGGATTTCTGGTTTTAGCCCCGTACTTAGCACGTGCTTCGGGGCCAACAGCTGCTCTCCACTTATACTCTGGAATACGGGCTCGCAGTCCACAACTCGTTTCCTACGAATAGCCAATAAATTCTACCTGATTCCCGGAATATCGAACGTCCTAACTAGTAACGAAGTAAAAGTAATATAAGACTCGCGAGAAAAAACCAGAAGGTTGGCGATTAAAGTTTATTGCCTACGCCGGGATTCTTTTTATAAACGTCTCGACTATTTTTATCCAATAGATAGCTAGGTGTTTATCACAAGAAAGACAATGGAAGCTACGAGGAATTCATTTGACAGTGGTTGTTATTGTTTTTGTAGTAATAAAGTCACTTATCAAACTAAATATAATTCCGTATTGGGCTTCGGATTGTTATTTTTGTGATTGTTTGGTTTTAGGCTCGGAAACAGTCCCGAGTTTTGTTCTCTTTGTTTTATTTACATCCCAGGGTTATTCCTCGGAAAAAATAATGGCTTTGTGGAATATACGTGAGAAGCTTAAAAATACAATAAAGGGAAAAAAGGAAACGAATATCCCACACCATTCTTAACCCTAAGCACTTTGCATACAATGCCTGCTTTACGGTCTGGAATTTATTTGAATTTCTTAGGATGGGGGAGGTGAATATGCAATTTAAAGACTGAACCGTTGGTAACGATGCAATTAACTCTGGAGCCAAACGATCTTTATCATGATTGAGTTAATTACAAATTCGATCGTTTCTTTTATTATTGTATTCATGTTTATTCAGTTGTTTCTTGTATAAACATGGAATAATTTTATCTTCTTCTTGTTTATCAGTCTTTGTTATTAAGCTGTTTTTTATTATTAAATAATTTATTAAAAATGTAATTTGTGTTTTAGCCACTGTGCCAGATGGAGGGGTGCCGGATATGACTCGGCTGACCGTTTTGGACGAAGAGGTCATCAATAAAAATTTGAAAGAACGTTACGTCAAAGACAACATTTACGTATCCTTTTTTATATTTTTATGAAATCGATCGACTCCGCCCGTATTCATGAATGGGACCCAAAATACTAACAGAAATGAACTTCAGAATCTATTTTTAGACGGTTTCGTGACTTTTAATACCGCTTCATAAATAAACTCATAAATCGCGTAATTTCCATGAAGATTATTTCTAATGAAATCTTAGAATTTCTAATTAAGAAAATTACATTTCCTACTGAAAATTGTTATTTTATTTTAACACGGAAGTTCTAAAAAAATTCCTTTGCGCGTGACTTATCGACCATATTGGCCGAGAAATGTACATAGTAAAACCGATTGTGAGTCATCATCACGGAGACCACTTGTGATGTAAAAGTAAAACGGCCTCTCGGAAAAACGCTTTCTTTTAGATTACTCACATATACGAGCTTCGGTAATGACACGAAACTCGAGAGTGTTTTTAGTTAATTGTGTTAAAGGAAGTTAAAGAGGAAATTCACTTTATTACTATACCATGTAGTATACACATAGGGGACTGCTTATTTTTTTTAAGTGGATACAATTAAAGAAATTTTTAATTAAATTGTGAAGAGTTTGTTTTATTAAATATCTTTCTTTTATAAAAAAGAAGTCACATAATGTAAATAGTTCTCACACGATACAGACACGTTGTGACGTTAATGCGTTTAGAATATGTTACATCCTCTTGGTTGATTTACACGCTCGAGTTTTTTTTCTTTGTCGACATTATGTAATTCAACCTCGTTGTTCTTTATTGTTATGACTACCATTATTTTTATTCCTTAACTAGCTTTTTTAGACTTACACCGGATCAATTTTAGTGGCGGTCAACCCCTACAAAGCCATCAACGTATACACGGAGGTGAGTGACTACCCAAATAAGTACCTACCTGAGCATTTCCTTTTCGTTGTAGTTATTTCTCCGTTATCCGTGTAGAATACAAGGTTTGTGTTTCGAATGTGCCAAGAGACAATAGCCAGACTCAGGGGTCCGGACGGCGCGCTACGGAGTGGTCTTTTTTGTAATCTGTCTGCGTACCTCGGTGTTGTTTCCTGGTGTGTCACCGCGTGTAAAGTCTATTGTATACCGGCCACTTGGAATGTCGCTCTTAAAATGGTCCTCTTTCTTGACGAAAATGAAATCGGACTAAAAAAAAATTATGGCTCAAAATCTCTTTGTTCTTTCTGCTGATGTATTTTTCGATAGTCACTTTTGAATCATTTTAAGCTTGTTAATTTAAACTTCATAATTTACATAAATAGAGTTTTTATAGGATTTGCAATTAAACGACAAAATCTTGAATTCAATTCTGCGTAATTTGATTTAAAATAATCTTTAGTGGGTTTTCATAGGATGTGGTATGCTTATCAAAACCGTGATAATATACTTGTAAGATGAAAAAACAGGAGCTTATTTGTTTTTACTTTATCTTTTACCTTTTTGCATATACGAAGTATGTAAAGCGAAAATATTGTAATTGTGCAAAAATTCGATCTCAACATTTAGTTTAATACATCATCAACTCAACTCGTTTTCTTTTCATTCATGAGATTCCATCTTATCGTCGTATTTGAGATAATTATTCGTCTATCGTACCCTCCCATGTTTCTTCTTCTTTCTACACACCAAAGAAGAAATTAGAGGTTATAAAAAGGTACCTCATTTTATGGAAGTGAAGACTATCGCTTGTAGTTGATTGTTAAGTGCAGCTCTTGCAAAAGATTGTGATATTACGTTTTAACCGCAATTTCTATGTATAGAAAGCCACCAATCAAGATTTCTTGTATCAATGATGAAATCCTCAAAGGTTTTATATCTGGATTTTTCATGATTTATAAAGAAAAATTCACTTCTACAGTCAGCAAGGAAACGTTTATTTAAATATCGACGTGCAAAACAAAAATAATGTGATGGTGCCATGCATAAACCATATATCAACATTCACAGCTACGGGTAAATCATGCAACGGTTAGTATAAATGATCTCAAGAAAATTTAAATAAAAAGATCAATAAAGAACTTGGATATTACACCGTTCCAAACACATCGCTTAAAGTTGTAGACTCGCGTAGATTCTTATAATCCCAAAAATGGTTTTTCTAGTGGAACATGCCACGAGTTAAAAATGAGTGTTGCCAAGAAAATTATTCTTAACGTGGTTCTTATCTTGTAATTATTGAGTAATTCTAAGTATTTGTTGGGAACTATTTATCCTCACGAACTGTTATGAAATGAACAACAGTTATGCTAAGTAACAAGTAATTTGTTACGTTACAAAGAAAATTAACACAAAATTTACATTGTGTAAAAAAAATGTTATTACTTATTACGTTGACATTATATAGATTATGAAAACTTTATCAAATAGATTTATCAACAATTTTAAATAATTTTTCTTAACAAGTTTGAACGCTTTTGCTGTCATCTGAAAATATTACAGAATTTATTAGGTTTAAAACTTATTAAAAATAGTAATGTGACAAAGTTGAGTGTAGGCTATTCCTCTTATTCGATATTAATCTCTTATTCATAATGCTGATTCTAGTCTTAATGGGTTATTAATCGATTTAATTAAATAAATGTCCATACTTGATTATTTATATATTTGATTTAAAATAATCCATATATACATTTTTGAAAATAGCCAGTCCCCATTCTAAATGAAATCTGTTTAAAATATTCTGCATAAATCATATAGTCATTTAATTTTGGTCGTTAATAGTTGGATTTGCTTTTTTGCATTTATGCGCCGTGAACTATGCACTTTATTTTCCGCCTGCTGCTACACGTAACATATACGCATTGTTTACATTTTTGTTTTCATGTAGACAATGTACATTGTCGACATAAATAATGTCGAAAGATTGATTATGTTATGATTTTAATCGTTTAATATGGATGCAATATTTCTTTGATGTTGCATTTTCATGGGACATTGACTGGAAAGTAGGCGTCTAAAATATAAATGTTCAGGACAAAAACATTTTCTTACAATCTTTGCTTTTAAGCAAAAAAAAGACAAGTAGCGTTGTTGTAGTGTTGTAATGTGTTTTTTACAATATATTACTGACTTTGCTGTAGTAATGGTACCTTCAATGTAAACTTGCTTCTGAATATCCCTCTGAAGAGACTATACATAAGAAGTTTGTTAGCATAGTAGGCAATCAGCATTAATTTTTTTTTACATTGATAAAATCCATCTATTTTAAATGGAACTAAAACTAGATAAAAGAAGATGCCCTCACCTGATTTTTATAAAATATGTTTGATATGCAAGACATAGGGACATCTAGAATGTATCCGGATTTTAAAGTCAAGTGTTGTTCTAGATTGCTAAAATTTGCCATATTTGCCTATTAAGCGTTGTACACTTGATCTAGTCCAGAATTAATTTTAAAGTGTTATTCGTTTTTTTTACATTGGCGAGGTACGTCAAAGTAAAAATGAGATCTGTTTTACATATGGAATAAAATTAGGCTTACTTTTGATTCATCAACAAATAGTCTAACCTACTCTGGCTAATTAAATTAACAATAGTGTTATGTTATAGAAAACTAACCCATCCCATTTTAAATTATAAGTTGTGATGCTTCCAGAAATTGGTATTTTTCCACTTTCAGAAATAAATTTATCACAAACGTAACCAAACAGGCCAGAAGAATTAACTCAAACGTGCTACATTTTGTATATTTAACTCCAACCTCAAACACGCAGCATTTAATTCTTTTTAGCACGCCTATATGCAGTATATTTTTTATTTTTGTGATTTATGAGGTTTTTATTTCAACGCATTTAGAAATCTATCGAAAGTTAAATTAAGTAAATAAAAGATAAATTAAAAGTACGTTAATAGAGCAATCTCATTTATTAACAAACCATGTTAGCGATTCCATAACTTTATAAGAAACTTTATGGAGCTATATAAAACTATGCTATATGTTGTTACTTATTTCAATCAGCTGTCAAAGAGTGGTAAAGTGGGTCTGTAAAGTGTTGCACTTATTTAATTTAGTAGTTGCTTTGAAATCGAATTTTTATCGAATTACAATACTTTTCCTTTATATACAACGTATATTACATTATTCATGAAAATGGAGCAGCTTCTTAATAAAGTGCTGTGACCTTTATACCCTGTGTTTGCCACACCGTGAATCCTTTCTCATTCCCGACGAAGGGAGAGACGATTCTAAAGCTCTATAACAATGTAATGCTTCATTCCCCATGGGAATTTCTCTTTCATGCAGCACCGAACAAAATAATTATTTGAAAACAAACTCGGCTATGGGAATTTTGAATCCATTTTTTCACTTGAGTATTTTCCTATAAAACTATTCTTTTGGAATTATTGAAAATAAAGGAAAATTACTGCGACCTTGATACAATTCGATTTCTTTCAAGGAAATCGGAAACCGCGAACATCCAGGTCGCATTTCCCGCCGAGTCATTTCGGCACGGATAGGTTAATTTCCTGGAATTTCTTCGCTGAGGCGCGGTCCCTCAGGATCGGTGGGCGGCCTCGCGGAGATCGATCGATTCAGCCCTACATTCGACGCGACTCCCAGCACCCCTTTTTGCCCACGCGAACTCCTCCACATCTAACCTATATTTCGTAACGCCTTACGGAAGCGTTTCCGATGAAAGGAAACCACGTTTCTTAGGTCAAGTAGCCTCAAAGGTGTAAAACTTCATATTAAAAATTTTCGAAAATAACTTTTTAGAACAATTTTTTTAGTTTTTGTTCCAAACCACTCTCGGTTTAGAGTACTTAATTAACCTGGTATGCGAAATATCCCGAAAGAATTCAGACTTCATTTACCGCATCCCCTTTGTCTGGGCCATCAGAATACGGTTGAAAGCACACGACGCGTACACGTCGATAATTACAATCACGTCCGAAATTAAAAACGGTGTGAACTCTGCGATAATAAACGATCAATAATCAAATAATTTCTTATCTAATATTGTTATAAATGATTTATTTTTGTTTAGGCCTATATACGAAAATATCAGGGCAAGAAATTTGGTATAGAAGAACCACACGTGTTCGCGCTTGCAGAAGCGGCCTACGCATCTCTAAAGACTGACAGACCAGGTTGCGGTAGCCGCAATCAAAGCTTGGTGATCAGCGGTGAAAGCGGAGCTGGAAAAACTGAAACGACAAGATTTATACTTCAGTATTTATGTTCGGTAACGAGCGGAGTTTCGACGTGGGTTGAACAACAAATTTTAGAAGCAAACACGATCTTGGAGGCGTTCGGAAATGCTAAAACGATTCGAAACGATAATTCAAGCCGGTTTGGGAAGTTTATGCAAGTTTGTTTTGATTCGAGGTGGATGATTGCGGGTTGTATCATCCAGGATTATCTCCTAGAACAGTCTAGGATTACGTTTCAAGGACCGGCGGAGCGTAATTATCACGTTTTTTATCAGTTGGTTGAAGGAGCGAAACGTAACAAAGAGTTGGCGGCACAGCTTCATCTTAAAGAAGTCGAGTTTTATAATTATTTGAATAAATCCGTTTCTGTTAAGACTGAGGAGGAAACAAAACCTTTGGATAGTTTGAGATTGGCGTTTAATGTACTTCAAGTTCCGCCGAGTATGTGCAATGGAATTTTTCAAACTTTATCTGCTATTCTTTGGTTGGGAAATTTAACTTTTCAAGTAATTTTTGGGTTTAACACTTTTGGGTTTATTTTATAATAAAAATTTTTTAGGATATTGATGGAGAACGTTGCCAATTAACACCGGAGGACGAAGAAATACTCGGTATTATATCGAAACTATTAGGTTTAGAAATGGAAAATTTAAAACAGGTTGTGCTTATGAGACAAATAAATGTCAGAGGAAATATTACTGAAATTCCTCTTAGGCTGCAAGAGGTACTTTTTATAGCTGGTTTAGCATTTTGCTGATGTTTCTTTCTTTAGGCTGGTGAAAATCGACACGCAATGGCCAAAGCTCTTTATTCACGCACATTTGCTTGGTTGGTCAACCACATAAATACCTGTACTAACCCTGGACAGGATTCTAGTCGATTCTTAGGAGTTTTAGATATTTTCGGTTTTGAAAATTTTGCTGTTAACTCATTTGAACAGCTGTGTATAAATTATACAAACGAAAAATTGCACAAATTTTTTAATCATTACGTTTTTGCTTTGGAACAGTCAATTGTAAGTAAAACAGTCTGAAGACCGAAACTTTCTAGTTCTAAGCAAAACATTAATTTTTTTAGTATAAAGAAGAAGAGATTCAATATAATCACATCGCATTTACTGACAATACTTTATGCTTGGAACTATTGGAGAAACCACCCAGATGTATTCTAAGACTTTTAACTGAACAATGTCATTTACCAAGAGGTTGCGATGCTTCTTATATTTCAAATTTGCATTCGGAATTTGAAAATCACGAAAGATATGTTAAAGGTATTTCTAATCCCAAATAATTTTATTATTTCTTATAAAAATTTATTAAATAAAAACTTTTAGGAGATGATAAAAGAAAATGGGAAACTGAATTCGGAGTAAAGCATTACGCTGGTACAGTAATGTACTCAGCTATTGGATTTGTAGATAAAAACCGTGATGTTCAACAAGATGTCTTTTTCGATATTATATCTCGTAGTTCAAATGAATTCGTACAAAACTTAAGCGTTTATCAAGACTTGCAAGGTATGGTGAATAACAGAAACACCATGAATGGTACATCAACTACAGGAACAGTGCAAAGAGGTACCAGCAAAGGAAAACCAACAGTTTCCGACACCTTTCGTTATCAATTACAATCTCTTATTGACGTTTTGCAATCAACAACTCCATGGTATGTTCGATGTATAAAACCGAATGGATCAAAAGCCGCAAATAAATACGATGATAATTTGGTGTTGGATCAATTAAAATATTTGGGAATGTTGGATATAATTCGAATAAGAAAAGAAGGATTTCCAATTCATATGGCTTTTGAGGATTTTGTTACAAGATATCATTGTTTATCACCATCAAAACTACCCAATGATCCAAAAATCGCTTGCGAAAGTATAATTAAAAATAAGAACGTGCCAAAAACCGAATGGCAAATTGGAAAATCAAAGGTGTTTATGAGATCCCACGTTCACGAACCTTTAGAGGAAACTAGAAATGTTATGGTTATGAGTAGAGCAATTCTCATACAAAAAACCTTTAGAAAATACAAAGCTAGAAAAGAATATATTCATATAAGAAACGCCGTTTTGAAAATTCAACACGCTTATAAAGGTTGGAAACTTCGTATTGAGTTTTTAAGAAAACGAAGAGCAGCGATTGTAATACAAAGTCATCTTCGTGGAGTATTTGCCCGAGAGGTCGCCACCGCTTTACGGGAAATGCGTAGAGTTGAAGAAGAAATGAGAAAACGGGAGAAATTAGAAGAAGAAAGAAAAGCCAGAGAGGCGGAGTTAGCTCTCCAGGAACAAGAACAAGAAAAGAAATTGCAATTAGAACAAAGTGAACAAGCTGCGCAAAAAGAAATAGCAGCTTTATCTCACATGGCTGAGCAACTAAAACCTCGCTTAATTGAACCGCCTGCGGAAGCTGTAGACTTAGATAATTTATTTGCATTCCTTTCTGATGTCCATCCACAGACAAGAAACCATATAATCGAAGAAATTGGTGAAAAAATGAATGAATTAGTTGAAGACTTAGACGTTGAACTTGAAACGGTCATACAGCAAGAACTCGAAGGTTTAGCACAAGAACAACTCCAAACTAATCCAACTCCTCCAAAATTGGGTTTACCATCGCTTCCAGAACCTACAGAACCACCTCCACCTCCTCCACAATTTGACAATCTACCACCACCTCCACCAGAACTAATTACACCACCTTCTGAAGCTGAAAAAGATAAAAGTAATGAACCAATATACGAAGCAGTTTTACCGCGAGATGAACCTCCATGTGTTTCACCACCACCTCTTCCAGCTCCACCTCGTTTACTTCCGGAATCACCAAAACTAAGCCCACCAGTTTCAAGAAGTAGTAGTGCAGTTCCATCTACTTGGAGATATTCGCAGGAACAAGAAATTAATGGCGGAGAACGTGAACAACGTCGTAAATTTAGGGTCGAGAAAAAATTACAAGAGTTGAATGAAAATCAAGATAAAGAAAATGTCGAAGACACTTATCACGATATGCTTGAATTTGCAGAGACTTACTTCAATGGACATGAACGAAGTCCTGAAGGAACTATTATTGCTACTTTGACTAGAAAACGACAAAGTTCTGAATTGATACCGAAACATGAAATGATTGTCTTTTATAAAGGAAATAGTATACCAACTTCTCATATACATATGTATGATCCAGATAATGTAAATATAGCTGTGACTATGTTTAGGGTAAGATATTTTGTATATTTTTAAAGATATTTTTTTTTTATTAAAAGTGGATATCTTATAGGATTTGTCTAAATATATACGAGGAGAATTGAATGCAGAAAAAGAGCTATCTGTGATTCAAACCATCATTGGACACGCTTTGGAAAGAGAAGAACTTCGTGACGAAGTCTTGGTTCAATGCATTCGTCAAGCAACAAACAACCCACAGCAAGATGGAACAGAAAGAATTTGGCTTTTACTTTGTTTATGCGTAGTTTCGTTCCAACCATCAAAGCTACTCCATAAGTACTTTATATCGTTTCTCAAGAAAAACTTAGCTCAAGGTGGAAGAGTCGCTCAATACGTACAATGGTGTTTGGATAATTGCAAAAACACCAGGGCTTCCGTACGTGAATTTGCTCCTTCAAGCGTCGAAATTGCTGTATGATTAATTATTGATTTTTAGAAACAATTTTTGTTTACATTCTTTTTTAGGCTATGAAACGACTGGGAACAATTGTGTGCCGATTTTTCTTTTTGGATGGCCGAACAAAGGCTATTGATGTTCACCCTACAGATACAGCAGGAGATGCTGCACGGAAACTAGCTGAACGGTTGGGTTTACGCACATTGGAGGGTTGGGCAATTTATCAAAGTAGACCAGATGGGGAGGAGCATGTTAGGGCACATCATTTTCTATATGATATTATTGCTGCTTGGGAAGTGTAAGTATACAATATGATAGATTTTTTTATGCTTTAAAGTTTTTTATTTCAGTAATCAAAATAAATTAGCTCCTGCTGGTGGTTTAACAACTTTAGGGAGGCGAAGCACGACAACAATAAGCGGTGGAGACAACAGATTCATATTTAAAAGGCGTCTTTTCCGATCAAATAGGGAACTTAGTCAAGATCCTGTTGAAGTTAACCTCCTCTATGCGCAAGCTGTACACAGCGTTGTCAAAGTAAGTTAAATATTTGGTTAATATTTTGTCTTAAATTTTAATTTTTTTTGTTTACAAAATAGAATGATGATTTCCCTGTTACTGAAAAAGTCGCATTACAACTCGCTGGATTACAAGCTCAAGTAGCTCTTGGCGATCCAAAAGATAATAGTAAATTAGAGTATTACACCGATATTGATACATATTTACCATATAGAATAAGTAGGGCTCGTGGTGATGATGTGTGGGTGCCGATTATTGCACATGCTCATCGTCAATACGGTGCAGGTCGATCTGAATTAACAGCAAAAGCCCTTTACTTATCTTGCGTGATGCAATATCCTTTATATGGGACAACAATGTTTTCTGTAACATACCGAGGTTATTGGTCATATGGAAATTCGTTAATACTCGGCGTAAACCATGAAGGATTGATGTTGATTAAACCGGACGATAAATTTGTTTTGAATGAATATCGTTATCAAGAAGTTGAAAGTATCATGTTGGACCCTAGTGATAGTTTTATTACAATTACACTCCAAAGACACCCAAATGACAATAACCATAAGTGCTTCGTTTTTGAGACTACACAGAAAAATGAAATTGGTTCGCTAATTGCTAGTTATTGCCCGTCTTTGGCCGGATGGATAAACGAATGTGAAGTACAGACTAAAAAGATTAAAGGGATTACAAACGAGGATAGAATCAGATTGTACCATAATTTGGTTAATTGTCGACGAGGTATGGTCGATAGTGAGATTTTAAGAAAACCAACGGACGCAGCAGGCAGTTTCTTAAGAAATACTTTAAGAAGATTAAGCAAACATAAATTAGATAAATTACGACAAGAACATGGTGGTGACTCTGGTGAAACTTACAAAGGTTTTCATTACGCTTTTTGGGCTTTTAGCAGACAGCCTTTACCTCAAAGCATTAGTCGATTACCAGAGCCTGAAGAACAAGTTATGATACAAGTTTTTCAAATTATTCTAAAATATGCCGGATTAGGACAAAACGGTGAAGTAATACGACGCGCGGAAGACGAACACATCACTCTTTTACAAACAATTCTCGAACGTTGCATGAGGAAGGAGTCGTTACTTTGCGAACTATATCTCCAACTTATAAAACAAACCACTGACCATCCAGATCCTAATTCAAGAGTTAATTTACGTCACTGGGCTTTACTATCTTTGGCTTGTTCGGTGGTTTTACCACCACATAAAGCGATTAGACGTTATCTTATTGGCCACTTAAAACGATGTAGTTCAGATTACGTTACAGAGGAAGGAAAGTTTGCCCGATTCGCTGAAAAATGTTTGCAAAAAACTCAAGGTACGCGACGGCGACAATGGCCACCGTCAAGAGAAGAGATTTTATGCACCATTAATAGACGCCCAGTTTACGCTAGATTCCATTTTATGGACGGACAATATCATTCGGTTGAATTTCACCCCTCTGCCACTGCCAAAGATGTGTTGGAAATCGTTCGAGATAAAATTGGCTTAAAATCCAACGCAAAAGGATACGCGATTTACGAAGTCTTGGGAAATTCCGAAAGAAGTTTAGCCGCTGAAGAAAAAGTTGCTGATGTTATGGCGAAATGGGAGCGTTACAGAGCTGCTTCAGCAGCTAACGCTGTTAATGCTACTGGAACTGCAAAACGTGCACGACCTCAACATCATTTCTTCTTGTTTAAGAAACATTTATTTATGGACAATTTTATTAACCTTGATGATAACGTTGAAAAGGAGTTGTTGTATCATCAGGTGTTGCATGATTTGAGAGCCGATCGATTTCCTATTACTGATAAAGAAGCTGTAAGTAAAATTATTAATACAATAAAACTTCGTTAGAACGGAATTCGGTTGCTTACCTATGTGTGACGTCACGAACGGGCCTTCGAACTGTACACCTATTCTTAGGATGTAGCATTCCTCTTGGATTGTACAGTCCGAATTTGGGTGCATTAAAATTATTCATACTTCCCATATTAATCCGTTATATCGAGGTTTTACTGTGTAATATTAATATTTTTATTTTAAGGCTAAATTTTTTTATAACTTATTAATTAATTTCATAATTGGAGCTTTCTATATAAAAAATATTTATTACAGATGATGTTAACAGCTTTACAATCTCAATTAGAATTAGGCGATTGTACCGATACACCTCAAGATTATCGCGCAATCGCTTGCCATTGCTTACCAGCCAGAATGGTACCATGTCTTTCCCAAGAAGGTGTAGCGATGCATCATCAATCTTTACGCGGAATGACCTCTCCGGAAGCAAAACAAGCTTTCCTAAATCTAATCCAAAGTTGGCCATTACATAAAGCCACTATCTTCGACGTAATGGTAATTATTACTTTTATTAATTAATGATTAGAGATTAATTTAATTTTTTCTAATTTTTAGCAATCATTTACATCAAATTGGCCGAGAGTTTTATGGTTGGCAGTCGATCAAAAAGGACTTCACCTTTTAGAACATAGATCTCGTAATGCTCTTTGCACATACGATTATAATAGCATTTTAAGTTATTCGCCGGCATTAAATTGTTTAATGATAATAACGGGTAGCGCGTGTAAACAAAGCAAAGTCATTTTAACAACTGCTCAAGCGTTCCAAATAGCGACGTTAATCAGAGAATATATGGAAGTTTTACAAAGCGAATCGAACGAAACTAGGAAAACCCAAGCACCCAGAAGTCGTCCTGTAAGCGCTTTACACCCGAATGCACCGTTGGTTCCACCTCAGCCCAGCTAGAAGAGGGTTACGTTCGCCGATCAGGTAACAGCTGCTGTTTATTAAAAACAAAAGGAGTATTTGGGCGGGAAGAAAAAATTAGCGAAATTGTAAATTTTTTGAGTTATGTTAAAATGAAATGCAATAGCAATTAAAATAATAAACAGCAGCAGTAAACTGGTTGAGCGAACTACATGAATATGACCATATTTTTGAAACAAATTAATAAGACATACACTGAAAATGATGTTAAACATAATCAAAACTGCCAAAGATATAATTACCTGTATCTACACCTAACTTGATAAAAAAAACTTGATAATGCTACATGACCTTTAACCTGAAGAATAATAAACAAGTCTTAACAAGAAAAATCTTCTGCAAGAAGATTTTTAGAACCTTTGACCGTTTTTTAAAACCAAAGACTCGTTACCATTTTTAACGTGTTTATTGTTTCTTTAACGTTCATGTGATGTGTATTTACCTCTAATTAACGATAAAATCTTTTAAATCTCTTCTTATTCAAATCTAATTTTATTATTTTTTAATTCTCTAAAATATGCTCTCTAAAGCCTGATTTTCAAAATACTAACAAGTATTAATATTGAAAAATTTGATACATATACATGTACATAAGACTGATTTACAAAATGCCAGCATTGATTAAGGTGGTTTTATTATTCAGTTCTTGTTTCTTTTACGTTTTATTTGAGATAATAAAATATATAGTTAGGTAATCGTTAACTTACGCTAGGACAAGCGGTAACAAAGGATGAAAAAAATTAATAATTAAATAAGAGAGAAAGAGTGAGAAGTAAGGATTAATTTGAAGAGTCTTTGTATGAAACGTTGAAGCAAGAAAAAGAAATTATTATATTAATTAAGAAAACTAGTCAGTGTGTACATAAGCAAAAAAAATGATTTGTACAGTTTATTAGCTTTTCTGTTCTTTTCTCAATCATTTTAAATTATTTAGGTAGTAAGATTGTGTCTTATCTCGTATATTAGGATTATTATTGATTATAGGCAATGGAGAAACAAGCGTTTTTTTAAATGCAGTGTGCGTTGAAGCTCTCTATCTTGTAAATGTTTAGATTTCTGTTTTTTATTAGCATATTTTATTAAAAATGAGTTATCACTTTCAGTTTACTTGAAAATTAAATCCATTAAAATAATTATAGTAATAAAAAGTAAAAGTTGAATCTGTTTATTAGTGGGAAGTTTTTAAAAGAACGCACTCTGTATAATTTTAATTTTATTTAGTCTTATGTGTTTTATATTTGCGTTATTCTGCGATCCTTTCGTGTTTTTATATTCGATTGAGCATTTTTTTAATTATTGATAGTTATCCAAATATTTATATCTATATTAATAAAGATGCCAGTTACAAATAACACTTTTTTTATTTAATTGTACATTAGATAACGTCTTTTGAGATTGTCATTTTTGCAAATCATTCACTAATAAGTAGAGTCTAAATTTCATGTTTAAATAACGCCTTTTAGAAGGCCCATTGAATCAAAAGATCAACAGAACTTGCCTCCTTGCTTTTTTGTTGTAACAATTGGTTTTATAGTAATATTTTTGAAAGCTTTTTCAACATTGCAAGTTAAAGCAATGCTATTGAAAGTAGAATCAACTGCATTGTCCAAATGTTGAGATGTTTCACTTGATAAGTGCTATGAAATAAATTAAATATCTTAAGTTAAGGTATTTTAATTTAAAATTTTTAATTAAACTTATTATAATACTAACTTATCTTAAACTAGCAAAAATATGTATAAATTAAGCAACTTCCAAAACATCACATGGTAACCATCTTGAACTTTCTAATGCATCCCACAAATTCATATCCTGTTCAATCATTTCTTTGTTCATTTTATCAACATCTACTGGCAATGAATGATCTATAAAAAAATTGTATATAATACATGAACACCTTTATAATTAAAATTATTTTTATTCCCAACAAATTTCATTATTACCAATTAATTCCAAATCATCTTCATCTTTTTTCTCCATATGATGCGCCTGCAAATCTCCACTGTATCCTTCATGAACCATTTGAGTACCATCACCACTTTGGTCATAATAACCTTGCCAAGATGCGTAATTTTGCCAATAAGTTGATGGGTCATAATATTGAGTATAATCGCTAGCTGTTGTGTAAGTAGTGGTAGTACTTGTGGTGCTAGTTGTACTTGTTGTTGTGGCTCCTTTTGGCTTTGGAACAGCATTACATATCTTTAAGGCTTTTGTTCCTAAACCCACATAGCCATTCATTGAAGTTAAACTGTCCTTTTGTTCTTCTTCACTTCCAAATCTTACAAAACCATAACCTTTACTGAATCCGCTACTATCAAGAATAACTAAAAAATAAAAACACTATACTTTGATTATTTCAGCAAGACTTTAATGTACCTTTTGCAGTTTTAATTGTATTGTATTTTGAAGAAAACACTCTGTATAAATTATAATCATCAACATCTGGACTTAAATCACCAACCCAAACTGAAAATTCTCTATCTAATATAGATCGTCCTGTATTACTGGCATTGTTTAACCGAAATCTAACAACAGGAGATGTTCCCGGAATGGGTTTCCCATTCAATTTATGCATTGCGTCAATTGCTTCTTCGTCGTTTGCAAAATGAACGAAACAATAACCAGCTGCTTCACCAGTAAATTTATTACGCATTACTTTAACATTTAACGGGTTTTCTCCCATTTTTCTAAACGAGTTTATTATAAAAGTTTCCGTCATGTAAGATTCCAGCTAAAAAAGGTGATAAAATAATTTACAAAAAACTTAATAAGTAAACAAAGTTCTCACGCTTCCCATCCATAATTGACAATGAACCATATTAGTCATTTTGAAGCGATTTTATGTTTTCCCACTTTCCACAAAATTTTAAATCTTTAAAGACAACGGAAAAGTTGAGGTTAAATAACAAATTCGCTATTTGACACGCTTCTGTCAAAGCATGTCACAAACATAAAGGACATAAAGTTTTAGTCGTTTATTCAATTTATAGTTTAATGTGAATGAATAGTATAAATATATTAATACAATTTATGAGTACTTGCAATTTAAAGTGTTAATGAGAGAATTTATTATTATCTAACACAATTTAAAGAAGTATTCTTAAGAAGTAATTTTATTATGTCGCGGTTGGTATTAAATTTATCACAATCTCCCTAGGTTTAAAACTTGTTTAATGTTAGGTTACTTTTCAAAGCATCGGTGAAATATGCTATCAAAATAAATCAAAAAGTATGTAAAAGTAATATGAAAGGTTTAAAATGGATGAGAACAGTGAAAGACTATGGAAAACATTCCAAAAGTTAGGTATAGAAGTCGGAAATGTGCGAAGAAACGTTATAGACGGTTGGTTTGATACTGACAACAAAGAATTACTCGATTTTTTAAACTTTATTTCTCACAACATTACCGAAGACAACTTTTTAAATCCTATTGAAGTTGAGACGTAATTATAGAAATTATCATTAAATAATGATGAATTAATCTTTTTCTTACTTATTAGGTGCAACCTGCTGAAACAAGAAGGAATCTTGTTACATGGAAGGGAATATGAATCAGCTTGTAAAGATGTTTCAGTAACATATCCAGGTGTGTTTGATTATAAGCAAAATTGTGTGGATGTAGATATATTAGAACACCAAGTTGTGCACATCTTGAAACAGAAAGATTATTTTAATGATGCAACCCGACAAATTGAGTAAGTGGAGTATTCATTTTCAAAAATGATTAATGTATATGTTTCATTTTGTTAGGACAAGTTTTAGGGAAGTTGAAAAAGAAGCTGTTCAGTGTGAAGGTAAACGATTAAAATCAACAGTTGATTTAGAAAGCGCAACAGAATCTTGTGTAGAGCTCGCAATAAAGTTGGATGAATTAAATATACAAATTTTTCAAGAATTTTCACTTTATGAATCTGTATGTACAATGAAGAAGAGCATTTCTTAATTTAAATTAATTTTATGATTTTAGTCACCTCCTTTGCAATTTATTGATATATCTTTTAATGAATTTCTAAATAACATAAAAGACACTCTAACTCAGTTGAATATAGGATGTGACATGATACAACATCATGAATTTGATGATAATTTAAACTATATAAAGAACCGGTTAGTTTCATGTAATTTTTATATATTAAAGTTTATAGATAATTAATTGTGGTTTGTAGAGCATTTACAAGTGCAAAATTAGTTAAGGAGAAACAGATTTTGTTAGAGACTTTAATGGCGAAGAATAATTTTCTTATCAAGTTGGATATTATGTCTTTAATTCCATTAAGTAGAAATATTTTCAGGTAAAACATTTATTTTTAAGTTTATTTTTAAATTCCATTAATAATTTATAGTGAAAGAGTAAAAATAGAAAGTAATATTTTATCAAAAGAAGCAATTCGTAATATCCACATGGTGCAATTGGAAACTAAACTGTGTGAGAGTATAAATACAACTATTAATCAACATAAGCTGTTAATGGCCCAAGAAAGACTTGCTTACATAGAGTAAGAAACTGAATATTAAGGTGTTATAATTAGTAAAGTAATATTCTTGTTTTTAGAAATAAATTAAATTTTACATCAAATGTTTTAAAATATATCAATCAACTTTCTTCATATTTTATTATTATGTATTCTTTACTGAATGTCAATCATTCCAACATTCAAATTTTACATGAAAATGTTTTATCTGTTTATACATCTATTAATGACAACCTTCAAAGGTGCAACATGCGAATTGTAGGTAATTAGATAAATAATAATTATAATTTATATTAATATCACACTATTGTATTTTAGGAAACAATGGAATCCAATATACAAGAACAATTAATTTATAGAAATCTTCCAATTGAAGAAAAAAATGCTTTTGTGACTGTGTTAATAAATTTTTTATTGAATGGCAATACGAATGAAATGAATTTCAACTCGCTTTGTAATCATGTAAAGCAAGTGAGAAAAGAATGTTTAGATATTAAGAGAAAAATTTTTTGTTATGAACCGGAAGTTTTTGAAAAACAAATCAATGAATTGTAAGTTTATTTGCACTTATTAACTAAAATACTTATTTTATTTTTACAGGGAATTAAATATTAATGTTATTAAAAAGTTTTTATCAAACGGCCCTACTTCTGAATTTGTAACACTTTCCTATCATTTATGTAAAATATTTAAAGACATAGACAGTTTTTGGTTGTCTCAAAACAGTTCCATTCATTCAGCAGTTGATCTTTTTCATAAAACTAAGGTAATATATAATATTAAAAAGAAGTTTTCATAGTTAAGTTGTTGTTTGAATAATTTTTTTAGCAACAAATTGCTGGTAATGTGTGGTTGAAACATAAAAGGTTATTATGGATGTACTTTTTGTTGGAACCGAAAAAATTGCAAAGAGTTATAGATAATATTGAGGAAGAAGTGAGGAATCGCCAGAAAGAAAATTTGAAATAATATTTTTTTATAGCAATTAAATAAAGATGTTAGGCTTAATGATGATGCTTTTATTTTCCCATTTGTATTCTATATATGTATAGGCGAGTTAAAAAAATGGGAAAGAAGATTGTATTTATACCAATGAACTCGGTTTAGGACGTACAAAATTACGTTTGTTCAATTTGATTGAAAGTTTATATATATTTGTGATTAATTTGTTTAATTTAAAGCACCGGGTTGTATGAAAAAAACTATGTGATCAGATAGTGGGCAATTTCTAGTTTGAAATCAAGATTTGAATAAAATTTTACATTTATATCCTTTGCATAATTGAACACTACTATAGATTATTCAGTAAATGTAAAAACAACCTTGAATTAAAACAAGAAGTTACACTAAACCCAGAAACTTTTGGGTTAAGCTGAGCGTCTTTTGAAAAAGTGTTGAAGTTTTGGATTCCAGGTTGCAAAATGCTTTAGAAACAATTTCTAATGTAGGGCGAGTTCCCACCAGTCTTCTCTATTCATATTGTTCCTGTGTTGAATCTCTAGCGCCTCTCGTAATCCTGTCGAAATAATGTCCAGTACCTGTTTGTGTGTATCTTCTTTCGAGGTATCTACAAGTTTCGTCTGATCACTATCCACAACAGAAGAGATCATTTATCCAAGCCTTGTTCCAACAAGCAGAAAAGGAGATGCGAGAAAACGAATTTAAATTAAGAAGAAGGATTTCTACAAGATGTACTCCAGCAGAATTACACTATGAGGAATATCCAGCGAGCCACCATACAACGCAAGCAGAGGAAAGACACAGTAAGTACTGCATCAACCAGTTTTATCTAGCTCCCTTATATTTCAGGATTGCGAGGTGCTAGAAAAGCGAAGCGGGAGTCGATCGGCAATCAGGCAGCTGTGTGAAGTATTACGTTGGCCCAACTGGGATTGTCTTCAAAATGAAGACAGCGGCTTTGGGGGAGTTGGGTAAGGAATTAGCTAAGAAAACATAAATTAAATATGTAGAACATACTACGAAAAGTATTCCATTTCAAATTAAAGGTCAAAATACTGCTAGGGAAGAAAGTCAAGTTATGCCTGCAAGTTTTGTGGTACTTCTGTTTCGCTGATAGAAAATCAAGCTGCATAAACTACACAATAACAATGTGTGTACATGGGCTGTTTATGTATAGATCAAAATTCCAAAGTAAGACAAAAATTAAACATAAAAGAATATCTATTTTTCTATTTACATTTCTATATTTCTACAGTTGTATTTTCTTTTTATTAAAAAATAAATAAAATACAGGAATTTCTCGTTTTACGCGGTGTCCCTAATATTCTTTATTTCTTCCGTTGTTACTCAATAATTCAATATTTTAATTTAATCGAGTTCTTTACACATCTTCATAGAACGTAACGTGTAAATTAAAAAATTCCTGTAATTGTAAATTTTAAGTATAGTTGTAATAGTCTTCTTGATTTACATTATAATAATAGTGAGGTGATACGTTTTCAACATCATCTTCCATATTAACGTGGATAGGATTTTTTAAATCGATGTTGTGTTCATTAACTTCAGAGCGGTTCACTTTACCTACGAAAAAAATTGGCTTATTTTCAATATTTACTAAAGAGAACCATCTATAATCTAAATATTATGAAAATATTACCTAAAAGTGTTTTGTTGAGTTGATGTATGATAGCTTCTAATACGTGCGGTTCTAACCTGGCAGTAATTTTAGTGCTATTACCGCTTAGAGATCGTTTATTTCGTGATAGTAAAGGCAGTGTAAATTCGGTCTGCGATAATGGAGTGTCATCAGAACCAAATTCCTGAAACATGATGTTTTTATCATTTAATTTTAACACATACAATACAAATAATTATAAATGGGATGAGTTAGTTCCAGTTAAAACTTATGTTTTAATTCCTATCATATCTTATACATAAGCATTTCAAAATTAAGATAGTTGGTCACTTAAATGCATCATCCAAAATTCATCGTAATTCTTTCCATAATGTTTTGTTTACTGATGAAGCGCATTTCAACTAGCTAGGAATATTTATGAATTAGAAATATTGCCGGACTTTTTAGAGGATATTTATTTACAACAATATTTTTTTAACAAGAGTTTTTGCGCCCAACCCACGTTATATCTGAGGGCTAAATATTTATTGTAATGTATACAGATTGTAAGTATATACAAAGTAATTGTTTCTATAACATAAATAATTTTGATTTATTTTGATTACTCTAAATTTTAAAATCGATGATCGAGTGTTGAAAAAGCCACTCTACAACGTATAACGTAATTAATTTTCGATTAAAATAGCGTTCTTTATTGTTATGTTGTGTGAATTTGTTGATGTATCGAAGTATTTTGCGTATATCTCATAATATTTTAAAATCATATATTTCTTTTGAGTGGTATTCTCCCTAGATCTTTTTTTATTTATTTTCTTATCTTTATCATACATTTCCGATAGCTAGTATGTCTGGGTCGTTCACTACACCAAGAAGGTGATCGACACTACCAGATTTTATTTTCCCTACATTTGTTATCTTTCGTAACATTTTATATATTCAGCTGCGGCGGATTTGTAATGTCAAACCTGGTGTTTATTGCGCCGTATTCAAAAAGTCAATTCACAATCCTGTTTACATACACTTTATTTTCGCATGAAATTGCTTTAGATTTTCTTTCATGTTTGGTAATCTCATAATATAGAGGTTAATCGATTAATTGAGTCTCTAGAGATAGGTCGTAATCTTGATCAAGCTTTTCAACATGAAATGATTTTTCAGTGTGGAAATAGCTCATCTCCACACTGGTGTTTATTGAAAATTCTGATTTCCAATATTTTTCGTGATGTTTATAAATACAGACAAAGATGCGACTATCTATTTAGTTATATTTGTGGTTCCAAATAATAATTGGGATTTGATCGTTAACACGATGTAGAAATTAATAAAAATAAAAATACTTACTAAACATTTTCCACTTATACAATAACCTCTTTTAGCAGAATTTCCCTTAGAACAATCTGTCCCAAATGGAAACCATCCATCTTCACCGTTTACCAAATAAAATCTGTGTTGAATGCTTTCATCTTGACAAGCTACTCTACACGGTCTATCAGGATCTTCTACAAAATTAAATAAAATAAATAATTATTCTAAAAATTAATCAAATTATTGACCTATTATTGGAGATATTTGAATTCCCAGTCCAGATAATCTTCTAACTTTATCTTTGTATTTTGTACAAACCATCGATGCGTGTTGAAACGGCGATTTAATTCTTCCACAACCCTGAAACAAATTTTATTTAAACGAATTTAAAACGACTTAATTTATTTTTACGTATTGATCTGGTTTGCAGAGTTGTATACTAGATTTCATAGTTTTTCCTTTCTTTACGACTAAACGAATTCCGGATCCGGGTGAAATACAGTTAAAATGACATCCGCTTGCGCTTATCCACACGGAATTGCTCTCACGTCTTCGTAATCCCGTTCTCCACGTGATTTCGTTAGAGTCTTTATCAACTGGGCAAAGATCAGCTTGTTGGACAAATTGTTGTTCGTCTAATACATCACAATGAAACTCCTAAGGATTATGGTTTTTTAACGGATTTCGTTCGATTTGTTTTTGATTGATACAACCTCGCATTTCCCGTTGATGCAGTAACTCGGTCTTCCATAACGATTTTTTTTTGTTAGACATGCAGTTCCATCTGGATAAGTCCAACCGCGACTTTTTGTCCCACCGTTCTTTTTTTGACACCAAATCATGCAAGATTCATTAGCTGCAACAAAAATTGCTAAATTTATTTTCATTGAATTGTTTTTGTTGACATACGATCGGTTGCAATTTTTTGTATCCCATTTCCGGTTAAGTCGCCATCAACTTCTTTAGCTCTCGTGCATATCTGTTCGGCATACTCTTTAATTGTTAATCTAGGAACATTTAAACATTGCTTTGCGTTGCAAGTTTGATACTTTTTATCAAAACCAATGCAGCTCGCTCCACTTCCTTGTGGACTAAAACAATCTAAATAAAATACTTGGAAATTAAAGTGAGTCAAATAAATTACTGCGGATTGTTGCATAATCTCGCCAATATCATTATCGATGTACTTCCGGTTCGCAATCTTCCTTCTTCTCCGTATAAGCACCCGGAGGCGCATTCACTATAAGTTTTCCAATCGCTCCAACCGCCATCAATATTTTCTTTACGGATTGGGATTGATTTCGAAACGGTGTAAGCTGCGTTTGTGCCTAAATTTTTTATTACACATTTTCCTCCTCTACACCACTACAAATAAATCAAAAATAAATCGATAATAATTATAGTGTACAAGAATTACCAAATTGTGCCCGCAAGATGTTCCTTCTAAAGCTGGATGAGAAGTCCACGTGTATCGTTCTCTCTCGCAGTGTAAATCTCGGCATACATCATCCAAAGGTTGTTGGGACGAATGTTTACTACCTTTACCATATTTTAACATACCTTAAAAAGAAAATTATGAAAACGTGTGTTGAATTAATTAATAAAAGATTACATTGTTGATTAGCATCGAATCTTTCTCCAGGAAGAGCGCCTTCAGCTCCATGATCTAATTGTCCCGCTGAATTTCCATGATCTAATAAACATCTTGATTGAGGAGTACTAAAAAAATTGTTACAATATCTACCTTATTAATAATTTTTTTGAATACTTACTCTAAAAACGTTTCTAAATATCTTCTACTACAAGGTGACCAAGTAATTTTCCCACTTCCTAAAGTTGGCGACATAATATAACTTGTAGGATCGCAATCATTATCAGCCATAGGACCATCATGTCTCATTCCTAAACTAAAATACATTAAATATTAAAAAAATTTTTAAGAATAAAAATTAATAAAATTACTTATGTCCAATTTCATGGGCGACAACATAAACACTTTCAAAATGCCTTCCTTCATTTACAGTGCAGCTGCTCGTTAAAGTGCACATTCCAGCAACAGGAGCTAAACCCACAACTTGGCTGGATATTTTTCCATGTTTTCCTCTTACGTACAAGTCTAAACCGGTTAAAATAACCGCATGATCCCAGTGTTTAGGCTCGCGATCGCCCGCTGGATTTTTGGTTCTTTGCCAATTGCAAAAGTTCGATAAATATCTATCGATATCAGGTGATCTCGTTAATCCGGGAGTTTCGTCTTTTAAAATTTCTAAACGTTTTAATAAAAAATTAACCGGTCTACCCAAACTTGGATCGTGATACAATAATTGCACGGCGTTAATCATCGCTAAAACAAATCTAATTAAATCTCTTTCCGTGTCAACAGGATAATTTGTTTTCATGTGTTCAAATAAATCCTTATCAACAAATACAGCGGTTTCTACAAATATGGGGCTTGGTGAGTAACTGTCTCTTTTAATTCTTTTTTTGAGTGTATTTGATTTTAAATTTTCATCAAGATTTATTACACCGTAAGTTTTATTTCGGTTCAAAATAGAGCAATCGCCGTTTAAATTAAAAATCGGCTTCTTTATGATAATATGAGGTTTTATTGTTCGATTTTTAAGGAACCTTTCAGGCAGTGGTTGGATTATAAAGTAATCTTTGTTAGTAGAATGGATTATTCCACGAATAATGGAATCTTGACAAAGATCCAACGCGGACTTGTTCGATCTGTGGAAGCACTGGAGCTCTTCTAAACGGTGGGGGATTAAATTTGAAGTATCATTGAACGTCTCGACGTACTTAAAACTACTCGAAATTAATCTTGGGCTAGGAACTAGACGTATTGTGAAATTTGGTTCGAGAAAATCACCATTTTCAAGTTCAATTTTTAAGATATTTTTTTCTTTTCCTGTGTTTTGATTTAAAATTGGATGAACTATTTTGAATGTTGTATCTAAAAGAGATAAAGAGAAAAATGATTAGTTTTAACATACTATATTTGATGGACAATCGAAAAATATCGATTTCAGGATGTGTTTCGAAATGTGCACACATTTCTAATAGGTACGCAATAATGTTCAAAGAGCTTAACTAATTGCTTTAACGTTGCTTTCTTGCATAAAACGCGGAAAAGGTTCTTTCATTATCTCACTGTTTTCATGGTAATTACAAAAACAAACGCTTCTTTCGACAACAACAGATTTGTGTTTACCGTTTGAAAGTTAAAATTTGTTCCGAAATTATGTCGAAAAACCCATTTACTTTTACCGAATTCATTTTGTTAACTTTGGGCTTTATAAATTGTAATTATAAAAATTACAATTTGTTATTTTATAATGGAGTGATTCTTTGTAGATTTCCTGCGCGTTCTGCAAACCTCACGCCCATAGACTTCTTTTTGTGGGAATATCTCAAAGACGAAGCATATTTATGTTTTATAGAATTAATGAAAGTTCGACAGGATACGGCTGGCAAGGAAAATCCTCACACCCACAAAATAGAAGCAATATAGATACAATTAAAACAAAGACACTTAGCGCAGAAGAAGTATCCTTGAATGTGGCTGCGAGAAATGGGACTTTCTGCCCAACATATTAACTGACGGAGTCATAAAACTAAATGAGCATCAGGTAAAACACGGATGCAAGATGGGAACAGACAACATTGGAAGAACGCATCTTGGGAAGTATTCAAGACCAACATGAGAATTAGGTTAACAACTCAGCCAGAATAGGGGTATCACTATGTACCGAGACCAAACTGAGGATATACAAAGCTTGCGTCAGGCCAATAATGACATGTACTGCGAAGGTGCGGGCAGACACAGCGGAAACCAACAAAATGGCACGCACCAACCAGATGGCGATTTTGAGAGTAATCACTGGAAACACGCTATGGGATCAAAGTAGACGCAAGGAAGTTCGGGAGGAATGCGAGACGAAAGATGTGGAAGACGTATGCACGCAGGCAGGAGACTCTGGAATGAGCAAGTATCACGAATCATCAGGAATGGATTGCTAAGGATTGCAGACCAGCATCTAAAAGGTCGTCCGGACAACCTCCAAAAAAATGGAAAGATTTCTTCTGTAGAAAAGAAAACACCGCAATTAACGTAATCATTAGAACCATAATAAATAAGATCCATTGTAAATAGTATAGTATAGAATAAAATATTGTATCGTTTGTTATATTATTTTTTGAACATAAACGAAAAATTTAAAATAAAAAATTATGCAAAATTATGTAAGTAGCACTTTCAAATTAAAGAATATCTAGTTGTAAAATTTATATTTAGTACTTGTAATGGTAGGATTATACAACAAAATTTAAATTATAAGTTTATTATGTAATTAAGATTTTCGCAGCGTGCAAAAAAAACATTGGATGCTATACTTTCTCCGCGGGTGTTCAAGAATTTTTAGTGTTAATTTAAACCGTAAATATGTAAAATAACTAGAAAAAGATCCCAAGTATTAAATTGACGAAATTATTTATAAGGTGTAGTGAAATTGTTTATCATGACTTTATCGTGTCATTTATGATTGACATTTACAATAATTTTAAAAGATATCAATGTTTTCAGCCTGTTCTCTCCTGGTTTTTGCATTTGTAACGTCCCTCTCGGTTTTTGTAACTTTAACAAAAAGTTATGTAATGCCCGTCTTTACCAAAACTGGTAAATAATAATTATCATTGATATGATTCAAATAAATAAAATTTTAAAATTAGGTGTGGTTTCTACCGATATTAACTCTGACGATTTAAATCTAATCGATCGAGGTGCTTCTTCATTTTTTGGGTGCGTAGAAGATTTGATGAATGTAATGAAGGTTTGGTTGTACAACAACATTTTTGGAATAGAATTAAAACAAGAATCTGAAGAATCGCAATCGTTTTTCCAGTCATTGGTATTTTGATTTCTTTAACTTTATCAAATAGACTTCTACAAAATATTTTAGATGGTGTATATTGGATTTTATGATAAACCAGAACAAAGCGGATTTCCAAATTCGAGTAATTTATCGATTCTCGTCTTAATTTTTGCACTATATTTCGGATATGTTAGTCATTGTTTGCATTGAAATGTATTTTTATTACCCATTTATTTCTATTTTTAAGTTATTTATGGCGACGAAATGTTTTAACCTTCCCAAACCAATCGATAGATCTATTTTTATGAGGAAATTCGTCAATTATTGGAATACAAACGAAGAAAATGATTTTACTGCAACCCATGAGCAAATAGAAGAAGAAGACAATCCCGATTTGGATTCTTTTGGTTATTCGTCATGCTCCATCTGTTGTAATCAACGTCAAAAATTATCGTTGGAATCTCAAACTGATTTAACTAGACTTGTACAACCTGTGGAAATCGTTAATTTTCCATCTTGTGATATTTGTGATCCTGGGAGATGAATTAAAAATGATATCTATATTCTATTTATATTTATTATTATATTATAATACTTACTAGAAAAAAATGGATTTGAAAATGTAATAAAAAGGGTATGAGTAATATCTTGGTATTTAAAAGACTAATTTGAGTCATGTTTTAATATTTCTTCGTATATGTTATTATAGTGTCGTTAATATCGAATTAAATATTTTCATATTTTTCAAAAATATATAAAATGCAACATTTTACTTTTGTGTGACATAAAGTTTAGTGAGGCTTAAAGTTTCCTCAAAGTTAAAATTATGAAGTTTTTAATCCTTGTATTTTGTGTAAGTATTTATTTCTTCATTTTACTTTTATTTACTTTTAATTTTTTAGATTTCTTTTATTTTAAATTTAACGATTGCCGAAGATGATGAAATAAACTCAATAGATTACGATGCTTTAGCCACTTTATTATCAGCGGGAGAAAAATTCAATAAACAACAACCTGAACAGTTTACATCAGCAGTTTCTGCGAATCCCACCTATTTGTTATTGAACGCATTGAGTCCTAGTAAATACTTGAGTCCACACGTGGAGATTTTAAAAATAATCGAACAATGCATTAGATTGAAAGGAGAATTGTCTTCAAGACTTTACGCTCTGGTTGTTGATAATTCCGAGTTAATACAGGGAGTGTTTCGGTTGGTTTTCACTAAATTATCGACGTTGCATGGGTTTTCTTTAAAAGGAATTCAAACGTTTCGCAAGATAATAGAATTTAGTTTAAATGTTATAAACGGATGGCCAGTTCCAAGTTAAATCAACAAATAATAATAAAATTGCTTTTAAGTCTATTTAATTTTTTTTGTTTTTTGTTCAAATTAGGTATTTTTGATTTATGTCTCTTATCGTAAGTTGCTTAATCTTTTTCTGTTAAGTTTCAAAACTTAAAAACGAAAAAAATGCCTGCATTTAATAATCACCAATGATGAGTCGAGTGTTCTGCTTAAACTTTATCATTAAGATAAAAACCGCAGCGTTCCGTAAGTTATTTTCGATCTGAAGTTATTAATCAGTGATGCGAGATACGAAGCTTTTAGCGAAAATACTTATGTGCTTCGTTGATAATACGAAGGCAAAAAATTTTAGCTAGATACGCTTTAGACAGCCAGGCCGTGGCGGAGTTCGAAATTTCACAAGCATAATGAAGTTATGTGCGCTTATTATCAAATTTTTTTCTCAAACTATAAAAGATAGGTGAGATTTCGGTAGCCGCCGTGAACTGGTCACCGTGGTTTGGCCGTTTAATGAACATGTAGGTTAATCCTACTCCCCCAAGCCTATTCCTGTTTATGGACAAAATTATACAGGAGGTGTCGTTGAATTAGGGCTATAGAATGAACAATGATATGCTACATAGACGATGTCAGAAACGGAAGATGGTCTGCAAAGACAGCTTTTCAAATTCTATCAAGTAAGAATATATGATAATTGCCAAAGAACCAATTAAATTAAAAATGACTTAAGAAATCAGATCAATAAAGAAACATCTCCATCAAGATGCATAGATAATACGCTTTTATGGTTCCCCCCTCGATTGTGAAATTCTACTAATATCCTGTATATTTATATAAAATTTTAATATTTTTCGAGTTTCACACCCAGAAGGCTTATCTTGTTAGTAAGGAAGTATGAGTGGTTCAAAAATTGTGCAACTGTTTATTAAATTGGTATAGTAACTATTTATTTTGTTGTATTAATTTTTTGAAATAAATGAAGTTTAACTGTTTGGAAACTATTATAAACGAAACAAGGTCAAATCTTATCGTTGTTTAACTTTAAATGGCCGGCATACTTATTGCACACGTAAAGGTATGTACCAGTACATACCTTACGCTTATCGCCGTGACTATTCCAAAGAATATTCTTTCAAACAGCAGGAAACCTTTTAAATAATTAAAATATTTGTACAATTTGTAACTTTGCTAATTTTTGGCGTATCAAAATAAAATTTTTAAACAATTACCTGGATGTTCCACACCAATAATATCCTTCCATTCTTTTTCACTGAGAAGGCTCTTCAAATTTTCTTCGTTAACCTATAAGCCAAAAAAGATAATTAATTACTACAACAAGAAACTTGTCACGAAAAATGGATAATGGCTTGTGCGAAGGTAGATTTCGTAAACGAACCCAACCTTTATAGAACTTTACAAAGCAGCTTGTAACGTATATTAAAAAGTTTTGAAACTGTCTATTATGAAATTAAATATTCCTCGTTAATTGTGTGATAACATCGTAAAGCGTTCCGAATGCCGCACGTGAAACTAAAAAAAACTGAGTATGGTGGTAAAAGTTACGAAAGGATACATTTTCATTTCAAGTACGGCTAATTTGTAATGTTTAGTTGAGTAATTCAAGTCAAGACCTCAATACATGATATTAAAATTGAAATTAAAACCGAAAATTAGTGAGAGAAAAAATAATTTGTTATTTTTGTGTCTTGACCTTGTTTAGCAAAGAAACTAAATTATCTCCTCGTCTTGTGACATAAAACATTCTATGTGGTACAATTTTCCACAACTTTGATGTAGAAAATAGTATTATTACGATTATCTTTTTAAACGAAGCGTAACATTAAAAATTCCCAACAAGATTTTAATGTCAGTATAAATTAATTTGAAAAGTTTTAACTTTTCGAAACGGTATCGAATAATGTTCGATGTAGCAACCTCATATAGCGTACTGGATAAACTAGTTATCGTATTCCGAAGTTTCCCGGTTCACCAGGAGTTTCCTTGATGGGAAACAAGGACACGTGGATAATTACTATCGATCATCCTGTCCTGGAATTGTTTGTCCCCGTTTTACGCCAACACAGTCCTTATTCGGTATCAAATAACGCTATCAACCTGAAATGTTTGTTTTTGATCTAACCGGGAAACTAATTTATTAACTTTCCTATTGATGCTTTTCTACGACTCCTTTAACGACCCATTTCTATTACCTACTCTTTAAGGACTTCAAATTTACCATCCAAGTTGTTATTCTAATGAAATAAGGATTTATAAATTCTGTGTAATTTTCCACTAAAAAAGCGATAGATACGTGACCCTTTTTTTAGCCTTGCACGGTGTAATTAGTGATTTTGGCACAAGCCTATTATTCGCGCTCAACCAACGATGAGACGAGGTCAGGTCAAACACGTTCAACATCCTCAAAAAATCGTAGTGAACTCTACTAGTATCTACTACATACACGTTGTGTATGTTGTAAAGATCAGAGATTATAAGACTTTTTTAAAGTTTAAAAGTCTGTTCTTACTTTCACATAAAGTTTACGTGAATAACTGAAATGAGACAACAAAAAAGTATAATAATAAATTAATATGAAGTAAATCTGGATTATGATTTCTTGATGCATTAGGAATATTTTTTATTCAAAACGTTTTTCTCCATCAGTTTTAGTACTTGCGTTATAGTTAATCCTATCAGGGAAAATCGTCCAATTTTAACATTTTGTGATTTATGCTATATCATTAGAAACTGGTGATAGATAAGTATGAAATAATTATGGATTATGATTTCTTGATGCATTAGGAATATTTTTTATTCATAACGTTTTTCTCCATCAGTTTTAGTACTTGCGTTATAGTCGATTCTATTAAGAAAAATCGTCCAGTTTTGACATTTTGAGATCTATGCTATGTCACTAGAAACTGGTGATAGATAAGTATGAAATAATTATGGATTATAATTTCTTGAACCATTAGGAATATTTTTTATTCATAAGGTTATTCTCCATCAGTTTTAGTACTTGGGTTATAGTTGATTCTATGTATTAAGAAAAATAGTGCAATTTTGACATTTTATGATTTACGCTATGTCACTACAAACTGGTGATAGATAAGTATGAAATAATTATGGATTATAATTTCTTGATGCATTAGGAATATTTTTTATTCATAACGTTATTCTCCATCAGTTTTAGTACTTGCGTTATAGTTGATTCTATGTATTAAGAAAAATAGTGCAATTTTGACATTTTATGATTTACGCTATGTCACTACAAACTGGTGATAGATAAGTATGAAATAATTATGGATTATGATTTCTTGATGCATTAGGAATATTTTTTATTCGTAACGTTATTCTCCATCAGTTTTAGTACTTGCGTTATAGTTGATTCTATGTATTAAGAAAAATCGTCCAATTTTGACATTTTGTGATTTATGCTATGTCACTAGAAGCTGGTGATAGATAAGTATGAAATAAATATGGATTATAATTTCTTGATGCATTAGGAATATTTTTTATTCATAACGTTTTTCTCCATCAGTTTTAGTATTTGCGTTATAGTTGATTCTATTAAGAAAAATCGTCCAGTTTTGACATTTTGTGATGTAGCATAACATCACTAGAAACTGGTGATAGATAAGTATGAAATAATTATGGATTACAATTTCTTGATGCATTAGGAATATTTTTTATTCATAACAGCTTTTTCCATAGTTTTAATTGTTTGAGCTAATAAGTTTGTTTAATCACTTTATCTATCATTTGAAAATCAATATTGGTTTTCAATATCGGTATTTCTGGGTAAAAGATGCTTTTAGAACATGTTAGGTGAGTAATACACCTTTATCTCGTTTTGTGATTTTTTCACAAAGGCAAAGTATATATAAAGTTAATTCTTGATTTATAGTTTAGTTGAAGTTTACAAGCCATCCACATCACCATTGCATTAAGAATGTGTACACCTAAAGTAAGTGTATCAGATCTAGAGTTAGATATCCCATATCCAGTTAAATATGCAAAACGTTTTACGGAGTTCGAGTGGCCGTCTGTAATGGTCGTGTTAGAAGCCGGATTTGTTGTTTTTTTACCGAAGCGAATGGCTGAGAAGATAACAGATAATGAAATCTCCGAATTAAAAAATAAGTCTATAGTCTATAAAGGTAATACGACGAGTGTTGGTCGAGGAAGACCTGCATATATAGTTGAATTCCAGGACAAACATGTGTAAATATTGAATCAAAAATCTTTCCCAGAAATGAATTGTATTGCTTACTTTCATTTATAAATCATTATGTTAATTTTGAAAATTAATTGTATTCAATATACGCTTTAAAATGTATTTTTAGAATTTTATTTGTTATTTTAATGCAACTTTTTATTTCATTCCATTGTGTGATACATTTTTTTTTAAATCAATGTTAGGAACTTGTATTTTTGGGAAACATTTTCAATATGTTCCTGTTTCTAAAGAGTAATAGTTTATTCCTCTGTTCGTTTTGGATTTTTCTTAATAAAATTAACCTTAACCTAAGTACTAAAACCGATGGAGAAAGACGTTATGGATAAAAAATATTCCTAATGCATCAAGAAATCATAATCCATAATTATTTAATATTTATCTATTACCAGTTTCTAATGGTATTGCCTAAATTCCCAAAATGTAAAATTTGGACGATTGATAGAGGTGACAGTGTGCATCCTTGTCGGAGGCCTTTGGTGATGTTAAAGCTTTCTGATATTTGCTAGCTTATCTTTAATGCTGCTTCTGCCCCTCTGTATAATTATCGTACCGCCTTGATTAACGTAACATTTATTGACGTTTGCGAAAGCGCTTGCCACAATTTTCGTTGAGGAATGGTGTCATATGCCTTGGCGAGATCCACAAATAAGAGATATGTTGCTCTTCCTGTAGCTACTTTCTTCTCTGTGATGTAGTTTAGATTGAATATATTATCCATGCACGTTCTACCCGCTTTGAATCCCGCTTGTTCTTCCATTTCACATGTAGATATATAAATAATTAAATACATAAAATTGAAAAAAAAATCCTGTCTTTGCGTCACGCAAGATATATCCCCTATTTATGTAACCAGATTATCCTGTCTCCACGTGTTTCCCGTAATCCTGTTTATTAAACCCCTTAGTTACAAAATAAAACCGTCTCGGTCATCGATTTTCCAACATTCCAACAGGCTTCAGTATTCCGGCATAAAATCAAAGCGACCGTGAATATCATCCTGCATCTCGTTGTCACGGCAACGCTTATTTAATATACAAATTAATTGGCTGTGGAATGCTGAGTTGTCTAAAAGTCACCTATATTTATTTGATTTTTATTACTTTGAATGTAAAATTGTATTAGATTGTTTGTAGTTGTAAAATATTTATTGCAAACGGTAGGTAAACTCTCACCAAGGATTTTTCGCGTGAACAGTTTCAATGCAAACCGTAAAAATTAAGCGTGAAATTATCGCGCACACGCACTTGTTTTCAAACAATCGCCGACCGCGTCAAAATGACAGATCTGCGAATGGTGTATACTCATAAATATGGCGCTCAGTCATGGTTCAAAAAATTTTCTCTGTCTGTCTCGTTGATGTTATGTTGCGGTCGTGAACAATTACTAAAGGTTATTTGTTAATTGTTATTGCTTGTGCAATAATTTGTACGTACATTAGGATGAATAAACTGTTTCATTTTGAATTATAGTATTTGCTCGAACCCTCTATGCAAGATTTTCAGTTTTATGAACACCTTAAATTAAATGCTGATTATAATCTAATGCAGATTTCGGTCGCAGTCTTCAAAAATTTATTATATGATAGGATTATCATACAGAACCAATTCATAAAATAGAGTTCCACAAAATAAAACAAAAATACTTGACTGGAACAGCCACTATTGTTAAAGGATGACTAGCAAGACCAGATTTATCACCTTAAGAACAAAATCAACAGAGAATATGGTATGGGGCTCAGCGAGGTATAGAAGATCTTTCTGCACTCGTTGGAGGAGTTCTCCAGTAAACGCAGAATTGGCGAATAGTAATTGCTTTATGTTTAGTTCAGTTTTTGATGGAAAATTGAAGGAAACTTTGAAGTTATGTTACATTATTTCACGTTTTTGGACATGGACAAAGGACTGTTATACAAAATTTGAGAACCGCAAACCCTGGAGATTTGCAACCCGAAGGTAAAAAACTTTATAAACCGAAACTATGTACATACAGCATGTCCCACGACGTGACTACCATAGCTTGGGAGTGTGTTGCTGGGGTGATTTCAAGTCAACAATCCCAAAAA